TGCCGCTTAGCAACAAATAACAATACCATAAATTCTTAAAACAGCATTTAAAAAAGAGCGATATCATTATTTGTTCGCCAAGAGTTTACGCTAAAAATAATGTGTGCGACTGCATCTGATAAGAAAACTTAATCACGTGAGAGGAAGTGACAAAAAAAGAAATGGAACACAAATTTTCTTGATAACGCCAAAGAACTGTCTCCCCCACCCTTCCCCTGATGGTCATATCAGGCCTTGTGTGTGTTAATTTTGATAATAGTTATAATTGTGACAATTTCCAGGTGTGCGCTGGCTGTGAAAGCTTCACATCTGCATACAAAGTTGCTTCTACTAGTACGTAACTCCCATCTGCTTCTTATTTATTTAGTAAGAGATCAGATAAGATTATGCTTTTTCCATGGCCTTCGCAATTTGCTCCCCGATGTGATTTCTAGTCAAATATATTATGAAGTCTATATTCTGTTCTATTTCTATATGGGGCGTCCAAAAATGTAGGTGGAATACAATATAGGGTAGGTATCATTTAATGCGCTAATTAATTCCTTAATTACTTGAAATTGTATACTTTATCTCTAGCCGTTTAGACTTAGTTGTTATTAATGTTGAAATTAATGCCAACGTTAATAACAATATTATATATTAATATAACGAATGTAAAATTAATTATTAGGCGAATGTAAAAATGTTATATATCATTTCATTTTGGGCTTAAAAATACTTGAATGGGTCAAGCAATGACGTATTATGCCGATATCTCCATTTCATTGTCTGGTACAATATTCTATTTGTAACTACATAAGTAGCATTAATTTTAAATATTCATCATTGCTTTAAGTTAAATGAAATTAATCTAACTTTCCCAATTTTCGGTGCATTTCCCTGTTTTGTTATTATTAGTTTAATTTTTGGGCAAAACCGAACAACTCCAACACGAATGTAAGTAATCGCTTAAATATTTATGAATGTGTGCAAATAATTTGCTAAATTTTGTATCTTTGAAATATATTGTTAGCGCAATTAAAACCAAAAGAATATTATATGTAACAAACCTAATTGGGATCTACTTTTCAAAGCCCACTCGGGAATTAACATAAATTCGCATGCGAATTATTTTTTGTTTGCTTTGCAAATATATTATGAAGTTGAAACGAAATAAATACTATGGACTAGTACTAGGAGGATACAGGTCGTCCTCAGAAAACAATATAGAAGAGGAAAACAGTCTTGGCAAGAATGAAACCAAGCGACGAGTAAAGTGGTTGGAAATAACTGGCTATGTTGAGCAATGAGAGCATTAAGTTATACATCAAAAAAATATATATTTAAATAGAGTACTTAATTACGACTCCCAATTACTATTCTTCTAAATTAGTAACAGACAGTGTCACTTTTCTGACTGATTTCTGATTGTAATTTGAAGATGCATTCTCCTGTTGCGTTAGGGTATCACAAGTGTGGGCCATGTCCGACACACATGCTCTACATGTATGCAAAATAAACAGCAGAGACAAAGCGATGGCATCATAACAATTATTGCTCCGCCGGCCCAATTTGGCAGCAGACGACTGGCGTTGGGGGGTGCTGGGCACTGGTTAGTAGAGATGGTGGGCGGTTGATATGACGGCGGAAGTCTAAAATTCCATTGATTTTGGCAACGGCAACGGCAACGGCAACGGAAGCCATGAAAACGGTACTACAAAATAGAAGCAGGGGCGGAGGAAGAGGAAGAGGCGGAGACAGGGACAGCGGCGGGGGAATGGACGATGGAGGAGGAGACACAGCACAGCAGTAGTCGGCAGTGGCCCAAATTTGCAGCCAGACGGCCGAACTGCCACTTGCTTGGTAATTTATATCTTGCTCGACCCTTTTGGGCCAACACCAACACACACCAACACACACACACTCGTGTGCGTGTGAGGTCTAGGCTAAGGTTATGACATGCAGCCAACCATGTGCAAGCATTTTTGTTTAAACAACAACAAAGCGGTCGCAGTTGTTGCTGCTCGAGCGGCCGACGCGACGTCTCTGGCGACGCCGATGCTAGCGCCAGCGCTGGCGTTGTGCAATTGCCGCATTTGTATCTGAGAGATAGAAATGCTGCGGCAATTTTGCAATTGCTTGTTTTGCTGATAAGCCGCACTAAGACCATTATGTTTATCTCCGAGTTACGGGACATTCTTTCGCCATTTTCTCGTGTTTTTTTCTTTTTTGTTTTTTTTTGTGTTTGTGTTTGGGGCTTGTCTCTGTGCCTTATCTGGCAAAAGCGCACATACCTACATACTACAAGTAGTACATAGAGAGCTACTTGTATGTATGTATGTAAGCGCGTTCCGCAGTCGCCGTTGCTGTTGCTGCTCGTCAGCGTGTGTCGTCATCAATCGGCGCGACTTACTAGCTACCCAAGTGCCGTTTCGTCGTTTAAAAATCAAATTTTATTTAATTTTTGTAGGCATTTGATAGGCCAAGAGGCAGACCCGACAACAACAACAACAACATAGGCAACAACAACTGCCCCAATCTCCAATTTAAGACATTTTTGCAATGCAATTAAAATGCAATTAGTAATTATGCACAGATAGACAGACGTCTTTGGCTCGGTCCCCATTCCATTCGATTCGATTCGTCTCAACTCGACTCGACTCGAGTCGAGAGTCAAGTCGACTCGTTTGTCGCTTTGTCGCTTTGTCAGTTTTTGGTTTTTCTTTTTCCATGGATCGGCAGCTGGAGAGGCGCCTCCAAGGTGGCTGTCACAAGATTTTCTACCTATTCGCTGTTTTGTTTTATGGCCTTGTATTTGCTGGTATTTCCATTTCTTTTTTCTTCTTTCTACGAATACTCGTAGCTACGTACAAGTATATATGTAGCTACTATTTATATAATTACGTTTATCAGTCGCGTGGCGTGCGACTTTTTTCGACTGCACTGCGACAAACAAAAGACGCAAGCAAAAAGTGCTTTATGACATAAGATGTTCGGTGTACTCGACTCTTGGTGTTGTTTAAGTTTTGCTTCACTTACTGAGATTAGACAATCAAGAGAGGCCGCCCTCCCACCAGGCAAATGAAAGGCGGCCCACACGGCCTGCCGTGTTTCTGTTGCAACTTTTTTCACGCTGTGACTCAAAAATGTTTGCGAGTTCAATCGAGTTCAAAGCATTTAAATTTATTAAAAATTCAACGGCTAGACAATTTTGCGACTTGTCAAGTGGCAAACAAAACACACACACACTTGTTGTTGTTATTGTTGTTGCTGTCGGTTTGTGGTTACCTTTTTCGATTTGTTGCAATTTCGCTTAAACGCCACATCGAAACCGCAAACAAACACAAAAACAACCACTGCTGAAAACTGAACCACCAAACTACCTAACAACTTCCAGGCTGACTGGTCAATGGAAAATACAGCGGCATCTACAGCTTTTAAGCCAACTAATTGCTATTAATAAAGTGCAGCCAAGCATTGCCCACAAAAAAAATCGGAGCAAGCTAGACGACTTGGGTGGTCACTACCATGGGGCTTCGTTCAAAATTGAAGCCGCGCTCCAAAGCCAAACATTCGCGAAATACTGAGCAATGGCTAAAGCCTTACCCGAAAAGGGCAAACAACTTTTTTTGCAAATCCTACCTCATAAGTACAAGTCTAATATGCCATTCATGTACGACTAGGTGTAAAAAAAAAGGTGCACTCAAAAATTATTTGCAATTTTATCTTCCATTCTGCAACTACCTCGAGGCTTTAGTTTTTCTTTAGCATTTTTAAGATTATGCCCAAAACCAACAATTGACTACAAAAATTAAAACAATACGCAATAAAGCAACTCAAGCTAATAAAAGCTCAGAGCCACTGGGACAACTGAAGCGTTAAGAAGGATCCCGTAAAAAAAGACACAGACCGAGGAGAAGGCTGAGAATAAACCTTGAAGGCCAATTTAAAAATGCTGTAGACATTTTTGTATTTTTGCTGCATACAGTTCAAACGGATGTGTAATATATTACTAAGTGCACTCGAATTCTTACTATAGAAATTGTTAAAGGGTTCAACTGTAACCAGCAACCAATTTATTCATATAAATGTTTTAACCTTAATAATTTAATTGAAATTTAAGCTGTTTAGCTGTGTTGCTGTTAAGCTGTTTCGCTGTTAAGCTGTATCGCTGTTATGTTGTATCGCTGTTAAGTTGGAAGCAACGACGATGTTAAGCTCCACCGCTGTTAAACTTTCACGCTTTAACAGCAAATCAGAATTCTGTGTTTCTGGGTGGCAAACATTTAAAAAGGGTTTGTCTGCTTTAAAAATGTGTTAGCAAATATTTTGAATTCCCGACTACTAGTTCTTGAGATTTTTTCTTTGTGTAATTATTATTATAATGCAGTTGTTGAATTGTTCGCCACTAATTACCAATACGTTACCAATCGCACTCATACACCCTTTTTTACATTCATAAATATTTGTTTTATAAGAATTCCCAAAACAAAAAAAAACATAAGCCACTAAACTACTAATGTTTGACAACGTAACGAGTATATTTAAAAAAAAGAAGATTGTTCTGCAATCAATTGTTCCTGCCATAATTGCTCTCTTAATTGACGAAAAAAAGTTCAAACGATTAGAAGTTTTTTTTTTGTTAACTCTGCCAAATTTTTAGAATAATTGGATTTATTCATTTGTGTGATGGTGTTGCTTCGTTAATTGGCAACAGGCAGCCACATATTTAAATATTTAAGTGTGAAAAAAGGCTTGCATAACTTTAACTTCCCTAAATGGATGAACGTCGACCACTTTAAGAAGCAAGAATAATTGATTTATCAAATTAAACTTCTTCACAGAGTACTCCTTTTTTAATTTTAAATGTTAAAGAATAAAAAAAAGCTCCTTTGCAACTCTTTAAAAAGAAACATAGAGCGAAGTTGTAAAGCAAATTTGAAATCAATTTAGCCAGGTGAGAAACATCTAAAAGTTTGTTATAATAAGCATTCCCTGTCTAATGCTGTCTACAGAATATATATGTACATATATGTATATATTTCTTTGCATACATTGTAAGATACAAAATTTGATATGCCGCATTCCAAAGCCCCGAAGAGTGAAGGCAAAGCTTGTAAGTTTGTGAGAGCGATTGTTGTAGAATCGTTATAGACCGAAAACTCCCCCAGCTCATAAGGAAGACGTGTCTGCCGATCCTCGTTGCAAGCGAAAGATTATCCGCTACAAGCCCCCGCTGAATCGATCGCTAGGCCTCAGCTCGGACTATGTTAGCCTCCTGGGTATGTTCCTCTCCGTGTGTGGACTGACATTGAGGTTGAAATGGTGCTCCTGGCTTTCGCTTTACTGTTCCTGTGTAAGCTTCGCCACCTCTCGCGAGGTTGACTTCCTAAGTCAGGGCTTTCCCTCCTACGTGGTATGCATCAGCGCTTTAGTTATGGCATATATGCGCGATCCAGAGCCCATGACTCTTCCATGGAATTGAGTTCACATATTTCCATTCTGTAGCAATTGTCAAGGTTCCTTAACAAACAATCAATCTTGAATATAACAATGACTGCATCTTTAAAAGTTCACAGTCCAATAGACCGAATTAAATCAATCTAATGTTTGGGGATAAACATTTTGTCTTCTTACAAAAATTGTTTAAGCAGTCTTGCTTTAAAAGATTTTGTTGAAACGAGTGCTAAGAGTATTTCCGTTGAAATATTTTAGAAGTTGTTGTCTCCTCTAGAAACTTGTGACTTAAGGTATGAGACTTAAATCTTTTTGACCGCACAATAAAATGTGTTATGGAGAGGAAACAGAACTCACTTGTTTGAATACGTAAAACAGATCCGCAGACAAGCTAATTATTGTCAAATCGTTGGCAATTTTTTAAATATAACCGATTACGTATGTATTCTTCCAATCATCTACATAGTTGGCCATCGTTAAGACGTCAGAAGCATCAAAACATCAATTTTATTTACTTAAATTATTTAACACGAACGGCATCCATTTCATGGATTTTAGTTGATTCGCAACTTTTAAGTTTTTAGTACAACAAAACCATTTTATCCAACTTTCGGAACTGTTTGTTTTAAACAAAAGTAATACTTATAGGCAAAACAAGGACGGTTAAGACCCTCCCTGCTGTTCTTCATTACCATCATTGGTAGAACCAATCGCTCTTCAAAAAGACCTTATGTCAAAGGGAGACACATCTAATCTTTATCAACCGACATCCTAAGCTTAATGCCTGCTAACTGAACGACCAGACACATTCGCCAAGCAGTTGTGACTGGGAAAATATGTCCATACTTATAGCAGCTTCTAACCAATCCACCAATCGAACCATCCACAATTGCAACAAAGCAGGTTTCCAATTCTTGCAACATCAATACCTAAATATTAGTATTAAACTCTGAATTGAATTGGCGATATGGGCAAAGCGTCTGAGAGTGCTGTGCAGACCGGCTGGCCATTTGCAGAGCACTGGGGCCGCACACGATTCGAATGCAAAACCACTTCGTTCAGATTTGAAAAGGTAAATTCAAATTTATCGCATTTGTTGTAACTAATTGTTGTAGTGGCTTGTAATTAAACACGCGCGAATATAAACAAATCCTAACCAGGCGGACCGAACAGTGCAAACAAACACTGGCAAACAAAAGGCCCAGCAAAAAGCAAATGGCAAAAATGCCAACAACAACAGCAACAACAACAACAGCAATTACAACAAACTGAATGAATGTGAATGGTTTTTTCAACAAGCAATTTTTTTCTTTCTCTCTTCTTTTTTTTCGCAATTTTTGTGGCCAAGCAAAATATTTTGCGCACACGACCGCCAAGCGTTGGGCCGGCACAACATGCGGCATGTGGCATGCAACACCATTGCCACTGCCACTGCCACCGCCACTGCCACTGCCACTGTCAGTGGCAATACAGCAATAGTAATAGCAACAGCAACAACAACAACCACAGTGAATGAAAACAAACATAAACATGCGGCAAACTTGGAGATACAGGAAACATGGCCATCTCAACGCTGGGAAACGTGCGCGGCACGCAACATCAGCAGCAACAACAACAATAGCAGCAACAACATGACGCTAACCACTTGAGCACTTTCGTTTTCATTTGGCAGTCGCGTGGAAAGCGCCCGCTGCCTGCGCGAGTTGTTTGTAATGTAAAGCGCGCATCTTTGAGATACAGCCGTCGTCGCTGCATCTGCATCGGCGTCTGTTGCTGTTGATGTTGCTGTTGCAGTTGCTGCCTGATATCGATCAGCTGTGACGCAGCTCAAGTGAAGTTGTCAGCCCGCCTGGCCGTCTGTCTGTCGGTCCGTCTGTCTGTCTGCCAGTCTGCCTATTTATCTAATTGTCGAGTTTTTCGAACTTTTGCAGCATCCGTTGCCAGCTGATCGCCGTCGTTTGCATGTTGGCCACATGTTGCTGCTGTTGCTGCTGCTGCTGCTGCTGCTGATGTTGCTGCTATGAGTGCTATGATGCAATTGCAATTGAATAACAGAGGCAGTGAAATTGCTGCCCACTGCACATTGTGCATTCAAGGTCTCATCCGGCTCTGAACTTCGATTTCTCCGGCCAAATGTACGTGCTTGTTGTGGCTTGTGACCAATTTTTGTTGCTCCACGGGTCATGGAGCATCCGTGGATTGTCGCTAGGCGCATGCGTAAAATTTGATATTATTTTATAGTTGTACATATTACGTTTCTTTTTGCTGCTGCTGCTGGTGGTGGTGCTGGGAAAGTTCATGGCACTTGAATTGGGGCTGGGAGGTTTTTCCAAAATCTGTAAGCTGCTATTGTGCAAGCGAACAACATCCACGTTCGTCATCGTCAGTGTCAGCGCCTAACAAATACAAACAGACTGCAGCACGCATACGCAGTGTGGCCTCCATTAATTGTAAGTACAACACCAATAACAGCAGCAGCAGCAGACGAAGACACAACACCAGCAACAGCAACAGCAACAACAACGCCTACAAAAACAACCAATTGACTGGCAGGCCAACAGCGACTTGGCTTAAATGATCAATCGGCTGCTGCACAAACAAACAAACAAACAACCAAACAAATAAACAAACCAACACACATTCATATCAAAAGTGTTGCTGTTGCATTAACAACTTCCCCATTGCTTGAGTTGCTGTTGCAACAAAAAACAACAACTGCCACAACAAGCAAAATGACTTATGAGTTTGTGCATCAACGCGGAATTCAAGTTGAACGAGCGGGCGTCAGCAGCTGCCGCTGCTGCTGCTCCTTCTACTGCCGCTGCTGCTGCCGCATCGACGTCGTAATGAAAACGAAAGTAACTCGCACTCACACCCATTTGCACTCGCTCTCACACTCGCACTCACACTCGCACTCACACTTGCAGGCACACTCCTCGCCGGCTGCCACACACTCTGGCCATCATTCACACTACAAGTACAAGTATTACGCCGATATTATGCACATACATTAGCATAAATGGCATTTGACAGCACAATGCACAACACGACGGGTAATCGCTGTAATTAATATATTAAATACCTCTACCCTAATCACTTACTCAAATGTCACTTTTACAATGTGTAGAAATGTGTGAACCACAATAAATGCCACTGTCTACACACATACATATGTATGTATTTATTCGAGCACTTGTACTTGGCACGTAACGCTCTCCGCGTGGAAAACTCATTCAATTCATACTCAATCCGTACTCGTGTTATTGATTCTGTCACGACAAAGAGACAGGCGCTTTACATAAGAATAATGTGAGCTGTGCTAAATATTCCCAGTTGCACGCGTCTAAAATAAGATTAGATTAAGCGCATTTGCATGCTAACTAGAACGTTGGAAGCACAGAAGCCGTTTAAAACTAATTGTTCGACTGCAGCACAAATTGGCATCACTCAATACTATTATTTTATTGCAATGATCGAGGCTTTCAGAAGCACAGATAGCAGCAGACATCGACTCCAAAATCAAATGTCACGCATTCTTCTAGATCTAGGCCCTCATCGCTGGCGTAATGGTGTGTAAATGATTTTGTAGTGGCGTGGCCAGCCGAACTTACCCTTTTGTTTTGCTGCCACTCTTTCATCGTCCCGCGCTGCTCTTTCACTTTCGTTGGCGTTGCTTTGTTGTTATTGTTAGCGCTGGAGCTGCTGCTGCTGCTGCTGCTGTAACTGCCCACGGGGGCATGCAACACTATAGCCATAGACTGACTGAGCCGTTGACGGAGACGCTGGTGCTGGCGCTGGCGCCGACGTCGCGGCATCGTTGTAACCGAAACGGTACATTTTTGTTGGCAAACTTGAGCGGCGCACAGTTGCATTTTGGCGCTCGCCACAAACGATTCGCATACCGCAGCAGCCACAGCATAACCATAACCATCAGCATCACCATCAGCATCACCATTAACGTCTCCATCAACAACAACCATCAACATCAACAAGCATCCCAGCTGCCGAGCAGCCGAGCCCACTTGAAAGCCATCTCCCAAACAGAGTCGGACCCACGAAGGTTTGCGAGTAGGTTGTGGTCAGCGACAGAGAAGCTGACCAGAGGCGGCCAAAGAAGGGCAAACAACAGTTATTATTGCCAGTATTGTTGGAATCGCTATTGTTATTGTTAATGCTGGCAAGTGCCCGCGGGCTAACCACCACCAGCAGCAGCAGCAGCAGAAGCAGCAGCAGCATCAGCTGGCCAGGCTGTTATATAACCGCCCGCTTCTGTTTCTGGCCGCGACGGCGCGCATGCGCGTAAATTACGACGTTGACTTTGACTTTGTGGGAGAGGGGCACGGGTACTAGTACGGGCACGGGTGCGAATACGGTTACGGCTACGAGTACGCCGCCCACTGGCTAATTAATGTGCACTCGAGACGAGCGCGCTCGCAAAAAGAAAAAGTAAAGTGAAGCAGCGCTGGGAAATATAATAAATTGTTGTACTTTAAAAAGGTCTACGCCATCAGCGTCAGTTATTAAAGAAGTCAAAGCCAGCCAGCCAGCCAGCCAGCCAGCCAGTCATTCAGTCAGGCAGTGAGGCAGTCAGTCAGCCAGCCAGCCAGTCAGCTGCCAGTGCGCCGGACGCCGGACGGTGGCATCTCATTTGACTCCAAGCGTGAAAGTGAAAAGCAGCAGCAACAGCAGGATCCGCCAGCTGGGTCAGTCATGCGCGCGATGCGCCACTGAGGCAGCTGAGGCAACCCAAGCCCAGTCCACCATGTGATGCAGCCTGGCCGCCGTGCAGCAAGAAAATGAAGCCACAGCAGCCAAGCCTCTTGCTGTTCAGTCTACTGCTGGCAGTAAACAATGCTGCCGTCACTTCCAACAAAGATGCGCCATTCGAGACAGGTGAGTCGAATCCACCCATCTATCCCCATGATTCCAAGGTCATATACCTATCCCATCCGCAAACAGCCTATCAATCGGTATTGCGACAAGCGACTGTTTTCCCTGCATTGTAAGGGCGATTAAGTAAGCATTCATCGCATTACGCAACAATCTCTTTCCCTGTTGACATTAACTAATCTTGTTCATGCTTGATTAAGTGTTTGCCTTCTTGTAGCATGTATCTATCTATAGTTGAACGAGTCACTTAAGTAATTTCCCACATGCTATACAACGCACGCTCAAGTGTTTACGAAGAGCGATTAAGCACACATTTCATATTAAACTCGTATGTGACTAGACATATAGAAAAGCCCCGTCTCAGCACGATTGCTAACAATTTGTTTAAGTCAAGCAGAAGAGGAGTGCTTTTTATAAGCTAAATGAAAGTATTTCCCCAGATCATGCAAAGTATTAAATCACCATCTTTTAGAATTATAAAGGGACATTCTACTTGAGAATCTTGGAATGTATATTAAAGGATATTTGTATTGAAGGATGTCAGATAATGTAATTATTTTCTTTGACTTACTGTTCTATTTGCACTCTCCCGCAGATTGCGGCTGCCGGTCGGTGCGACGCTCATCTCGCATCATAGCCGGTGCCACCACCCATGAGGGTCAATTTCCTTGGCAGGCCTCTCTGGAGCTCCTGCATCCCTCGCTAGGCTTCCTGGGCCACTGGTGCGGTGCGGTGCTTATACATCAGTACTGGATACTGTCCGCCGCACACTGCGTACACAAGTGAGTTGGATTGAACGTCCGAATGACGCATGTTGCTAATTTTTAACCCTCGCAGCGACCTCTTCAACCTGCCCATACCACCGCTGTGGACAGTAGTGTTAGGTGAGCACGATAGAGGAGTTGAGTCGGGCTACGAGCAGCGCATCCCCGTCGAGAAGATTGTGCTGCACCGCCGCTACCAAAACTTTCGTCATGATGTGGTGCTAATGAAGTTGTCCAAGCCGGCAGATCTGACCCACACCTCCAACATACGACGCATCTGTCTACCGTTTTTATTCAAGGATGAGCCGCCTGCTCCCCCCTCTTCAGGCGAGCTGGGGAACGATGCACTCAGCCAGCAACTGGAGCTCGCAGATGTACCAGAAAAGATCGACAACTTCCTGCGCAGTGTACAGAGCCGAAGGCGCTACAGAAATGTCACCGCACCCAGCATGCGCGAGCTGATGAACATGAAGATTCTTAGCCGGCTGAAGCAGGCGATGGCACAACGCTCCGCTCGAAGTGTGAAGCGCTCGAGGCGGCGGAACGACAAGCTCATGAAGCTGGGTCAGGAATCGGGTCAGGACCTGGAACTCAGTGAGCCCAAGCAGCACAAACATCTCGAGGAGACACAAGAGCTGCCCTTCATTGATTGTGTGGCCACAGGTTGGGGCAAGGCCAATATCAGTGGCGATCTCTCCAACCAGCTGCTCAAGACTCATGTGCCACTGCACCACAATCGGCGGTGTAAGGATGCCTACGGTAGCTTTGTCAACATACACAGCGGTCATCTGTGCGCTGGCAAGTTGAATGGCGAAGGCGGCACGTGCGTGGGCGACTCGGGCGGTCCGTTGCAATGCCGCCTTAGTAGGGACGGACCCTGGATACTGGCCGGGGTCACCTCCTTCGGCTCCGGCTGCGCCATCGAGGGCTTTCCGGACGTGTACACACGCACCTCATACTACATGAAGTGGATTGAAGACACCATTGCCTCACACTAGAGATCTTGATTATGTCATGTATTTTATTTTATGTTATATGTAGATTGTAATTGTAGCGTATTAACTCAGCTGTACATTATGTAGTTAGCCTAGTTAAGAAGTACCGTGTTAACGTTAACTATTACGTAAGCATAAAATGTTCCCTAAGTTGTTTCCAGTGAGTAAAAGTAATTTATACCAACGCTCCTGCTTAGCTCTTAATATCACAGTGGGACCACCTGGATGGGTGGCCCGTCTTTTGAGTTGAGGTAAGGACATCGCAACATCCGACGACTGTCGCTGAATCTCATACGAGTCCGAGCTTATAGGAATCGCCGTTTTGTAGTAGGTGCTGCTCCTCCGGCTCTACTGCCTCAGTCTGCTGTTGCTTGAGAAGTGGCAGAATAGGAAGCGCCAAGGAGGCAGTCAATTCTTTTTTATGCTCCACCTTCCGCGGCGCTGGCGGCCAGAAGCAAAGCAGTAGTGCGGTACTTAGCTGGAAGAGCCCGCCACCGAGCATGCCCAGCGCTATGGCCCACTGCAAGACGGGGCAGATCGTGAAAAGCAGGTGGATTAGAATGCGCAGCGGCCATGGTAAATTGTCAATTGTAAGGTCCACCCAAAGGAGCGGCAGCACCATGTTCTCGAACGGAGACATCAATCGATTGAACTTCACCTCGCCCACCACCTGGTTGGCCTGCAGACGTACGTGCGCGTTCAGTGGAACACCCAGTTGCTAAGAGCAGAGGGAGGAAGAGGGTCAATCAACAAGCCGGTCACTTTTTATGAATAACAAATTACCGGCTGCAGCGTGAAGGTGGTAGTAAAGCGGGACTTGTCTGGATTTAGGCCCTCAAAAGGCTCCAACAAACTGGGATCGGCGTGCATGAAATGTGGATAAGTAATGGCCAATGGCATGTCTAAAAAAATCACAAAATTTAAACAAGGTTAGCTTTCTTTTAATTACATACACGTCTATACTGGAGTAGCCTATAAGTTAACTATGGAGAACCCCAGCTGATTTGGAAGAGCATCCAAGGCACATTCCCCCGGAAACTAATGTTGATGGGCTCTAAATTCTTTTACTCATTGAGAATCATTTTCAGCAAGCAACTTACTGTAATAGCAGGGCGCCACACTGCCCACGCCGCGCTTCAGACACTGGTTGCTTTTGCAGAAGCACGAGGAGTTCACATTGTCCAGGTCGCTATCAAACACTGTCGGCTCCATCACAAACTCGTGGCCTTGGAGCCCACGGAAGTTCAGAGTGCGATTGAACTTCATGGGCAGCAGACGACAGAAGGTGCGCCGATAGATGAGAAAGGTATCGTTCTCGTTCATGTCGCGCGGAAAGAGCGTCGCATCATGACTACCCCGGAACCGATTACACTGAGTGCCGCTGCAAAGATGTGCACCAGCTTAGCTGAGTAGCTAATGTAAACAGACTAGTGCTACTTACTTGGTAGCCTCTTCGTACTGCCACTGCTTGAATCCGTGCTCTCCATTGATGCTATTCAGTGAGTAGCCTCGTGGCGAGCCGGGCAAAATGATTCCATTCCTGTCCCTACGCTCCGGCAGATTCATGTTGACCACGTTGCTTTCGTTACCCTCGCGAAAGAGCTGCAAGCAAGGCAAATGAGAAGAGGTCTGTCAGTCAGCGAAAAAGGGGAAAATGGGCCACCGTTCACTTTACCTTCTCCATGATGCCAAAGCTAGGGAAATCGATGAGACTCGGCACAAACTTGGAGGCCAAGTGCACCAAATGATCTTCATAGCCCCACATATATTCGTGCACACTCATCTCAAGCATGGGCTTCGAGTTCAGACGCTTGGTCAAGGCACTCAATCCCAGCGCTGCGAACATGGAGAGACGAGCCGCCTGCGTGGACACGCCCATGTAGGGAATGTTGGGCGCACGTATGCGATCCACCTTCGGGTCACCCACCGAACGCTCCGGCACGAAGATGTATTCGCGACGCGGCGTATAAGTGACGGTGTTGTTGGCCTCGTTCAGGGTTATGTTGTGGTTCGACAGCACCTCCTGGTAGGCATATGGGCCGACCTCCACTACTTTCAGCTTGGCATCGGTGCCCGCAATGAATTCGTCCACATTCGTGTAGTTGAACATATAGACCATGATAAACACATCGATCGGCGGGAACTTCCACAGTGTGAAGAGGATGGTGTTGGGACTCAGGGTCAATTGCTGCGAGAAAAAAACAGCAATACATATCGGCAATGATAGCAACTCAGGTCCAGTACCCGCTCAGGTCATGCCACTTACCCAATCAACAATGCGCTTCAAAGGATCTGTCAGCAGTATGAGTGCGCCAAAGAAGAGCAGCGTCATGCCCAGAGCGGCGCGTCGCAGCAGCTCTGCGAAATAAATTGGAGCACGAGGTGAGTTATGTAATTAAAAACGTATATACTATACTATATGTATATAAGTTATTGCGAATGTTGCACACACAGTTGAAGTTCAACAAGTTTGCAAAAAAGCTGACAGTTTACGTATCGCGTGCAGTTGCCTGCCGACCGCCTGCCTTCCTTCCTCTCATGCTATTGACCTTCGCGTCTTTATTGTTTTTCTGTGTTTTCGGCAATTTGTCGGCATTCTCAGCCGGCATTTCGGTTGGCAAGATCTGCGACCTACCTCAATGGCAGGAGCAGTAGGAAGCTGACAACTGACAAGTGTGTAAGCAAAACGCCGACAAGCCAACCACTAACGAGTTCAATAAACGTTCTTCGATTTTATGATACCCGAAAAATGATCAGCAACAACAACAACAGCTGCCAGTATGCGAAACATTTTACGATTCCTGGGAATAGCAGATAGGCCAAAAAAAAAAAAAAATACATGTATGTACAATATAAATTCGTCACGTCAGACCTTGCCTTGCTCAGAGGTTCAAGTTCATGAGTACATGCTTCGTAATGATATTTTGGTAGCATCTTTTGAGATTTTCTTTCGAGTGTACTCGCATAGTATATGTATATATGGATACTATATGATGTACTGATGTAATTGCCAAGTGCCGAGAGCATAAACTTGTACTATAAAGATACGATCGCAGCTTCTACGACCATAAAAATTAGACGCAATGTTTCATTTCCTAGGAAGTTAGTCTAATCTCGCATAAAGCAGATCAACGTGCTATTAGAAATATTAATAAACACATAAAAGTTTAAGCAGTTTGTGTTATTGATAACGACGTCGGAAGAGCAAAATTTCCATAGCTAGCAGATTACAATGTAATATGTATTTAAGGAAGCACTTATGATGTCTCCACTTCCATCGCTCCATGGATTCTTCAATAAAGTATTCAATTTCTTTCATTTCTCTCTAAAAAAGTTTATTGCAAATCTGAATAATTGCAGTCTTTTGAGTGGGGGAGATAAATTCTATATCATTTGTTTCTATATGGGAGTGAGCATTTCCTTTTGTTTCCAACATTTGGTGACCCTTTGTTCACAGGGAAAACACACTCAAATGCTTAACATTGTTGTCGATGCAGTGACGTTCAGCGCATTATTTGAAAATAGGCACAGCTTTTAGTTACATGCCAAGCTATTGTTAACTCTATTCATTAGCTTTTAAGTGAAATTCCTGCTAAGTCTTGAGTTGACAAGATTCTGTTGACATAAATAAATCATGAAATTAGCAAAAATATCACTGCATATATTAATGAAGGGGCTCATGTTTGCGTGTAAGGTAAATGCCCCGATAATTGCCAATAGTCGCCAATAGTTCAGGCATGGGCCAGAAAGACGGCATCCTAGCGTACTCGTATTTATTGATCGATTGCGATCACCAGCCATTAAGTCGCTAGGTACAATTCCATCAGTTAACATTAGTTGCAATTTAAAAGCAAACCAATAAACATGTAGGACTGGGGAGGTAGGTTAATACTTAGTTATTGCTCACCCTAATAGAATGGAATGGGAATCGGAATTGAACTTGTTACGCAGAGTGATTCGATCAGTTAATCTGTTTTGCGGCAAAATACTAATGGACTACTATAAGTACGGTTGTACGGCATTACACAAAATCGCTGCAATTAAAATAAAGACCCCGTTTACATACCAATTAATGAGTCTGATAAAAACTAGTTATTTCACACTTAATTCTGCTCGAACTCGTTTTATTTCCTTATTAATTGTATCATTGAAATGGGGCTTAAGGCGCTACCGAATTTCGCACTCTGATCGCAAAACTAAATCAAATTTGTCAACTAAAATCCACTTTCCCCATTCAAATAGCTTTAAATTACTATTATTCGTACTCTATGAACTCTATATGTTTAACCGATTTTCAATGGTCAGGGCTAAGCTGGAACTTTGACAATAGAGCAGCAAACAAGTGCTGCTTGCTTGCATGGGATTTGGGTAGAGCCCCATTCAGCAGATCATTGAACCAGCACAAGCCCCTAAGCCAATAAGCCATAACGCATAACGCACTGCGGCAACAGCATAAACTCATTAACAATTCTGTCTCCGGCTTTGGCGCAAATAAGTTCAAGATTTCACAATCAAAACAAAATGCGACAAACTCAGCGATGAATAGCAACAATAACAACAACAGCGAAAAGAAGAAAAAGAAGAAGAAGAAGCAGAAAAACATCATTCATAAATAACAGAAACATTTCTTTGATAAGCACAACAACAAAAAGTATCCTTGCCTTGAGTCTGACAGCGGCAAAGATACGAACACCCATTAGCCACAACTTGTCCAAAACGGCCTAGTCAGTCACAGTTGCGACCGTCGCTGGTGACGGCGCCAATAAATTAAGCGCTACACACAAAGCTCTCAAATTATTCTGCTGCAACGAATCTGGCATATACCGCCGAATCGTGGAATGGAGCATTATGCAATTGCATTGCCAAACTGGCCAACTCGCCAGCTAGCCAGCTGTTGGCTGTTGGCCAGCCCAGTGAACCACTGAATGAGCGGCGCTTGTCTTGTCTACATCTTGTTGCCCTCACTTGTCGCCGTGAATGAGTGAGTCAGTGAAGAGCCGAGATGCTGAACTTGTTTCCGACAACTGAACGGCCCAGCATTGGCCACAATGCGCCGCTGCTGCGCATGCGTGCGTGCGTGCGTTCGAGCCGAGTCTGCACTCATGTACAAATATATGTATCTCTATGTCTCAGTCAGTAATTGACAGCTACTTGAATACACTTTATACACACAATACACCTATGTAAATATATAGTGTGTAGAGATTGTGATTGTGGCTTGTGGCTTGTGTGTCTGAAGTTCAAGTTCGCTGCAATTGGCGGTGCGAGCGCATAAAAACCTGAAAATGTGTTAAAGATGCAAACGCAATTTTCGAGTTGGCAGCTGGCAGCAGCCAGCGGACAGGGGACAGCGGCAAGACGAGCTTAGCGAGGCCCAACAGCCGCACTGCTGACCCACTGAAGTCAAGAATGAATTGTTTTGTTTCTCACCGCGATCTGTTTAAACACCTTCAAAATGTGCGAGTATCTGTGTATGTGACTTCCGTCAAACGACAATAAATTAAGCAAATACACGCCACAGCCAGCCAGCCAGCCAGGCAGTCAGACGGCCAGCCAGACAGCCAGTCAGACAGCCAGCCAGCTAGCCAGCCAGTCAGATACGCGTCAAGCGGTTTTGTATCTACAAGATATAACGTTTGTAGCGTGCGGCACTGGAGCTTGTTTCGACGTTTTGTCGTCATGTTTGTTTGCTTGTCCGCCAGTGTTTTGCTAATGATTAATCTCACATTGTTGTTGTTTGCTTTTAATCATCACCAAAACCCAGAACCCTTAAATAGTCGCAGTCAAAGTCTCGCTAACAATTAGACGCCTGCCAATAAGGAAAAGTAAATAGCGAGCCAAGTTTACAGCTCCGCTCAGTTACATCTCAGCTCAGCTCGAATCGGCTCAGATCGGCTGTTGGCTTTGAAACTGATAGCCTGCCTTTTGTTGGCTATCTATCGCATTATAATTGCTTTGTATTTGCATTGTTTGCTGAGCCGCTGAACAGGCGCGCCAATACGTTCAGTTCATTCTACTCTGCTTCGCATTGTTAACGATTTACAATTCTCAGCTCTAGTTTAAGAAATTGCCAACAGGTGTGTTGCCCGATCGGGAAACACGCTCACACACACACTCGTGTATTCTGTAAACTATAGCGAAAGTGTTTGTACATAACCTACATATTTGCCTTCATAAGTATTTGCCTGCCCTACTCCACGTATTACTCATAGAGTGGAGCTGCGATTCTAAGAACCGGGCTGTCACTTTCTATACGAATACTGTTGGCAGGCACCATTATGGGATGTACCATTCACTGCTCTTCCTGGTATTCCATACCGCATATAGTAAGTGGTTGTTATCGCCACTCATTTGCATGTGTTTGCTTCCCCAATGGAGTACAATAAATTATAGACAATTACAATGTGAGTTGGAATGGAACTGCTACTTATCAGTCCGCCAGCCATTTATGATGCTATTAAAGGGCAGTTCAACAAAGCCAGTTCACCGGAACAGTTTGGTCTCCAATCAGCAATGAAAGCCCCTAAAAATAACTAATTTTTTATCTGCTCGTCATTATTTGAGGACATTTCCTTGTCACCAAGTTGTGTTTTGTTTCGATTTCTGCAATTAAAGCTTTTCCCTGTAAACCTAATCTCTCTTCAACTTAACCCCTTGCAAGCTTTAGTTTGATTGTCAGAAACTTAAACTGAATAATAATGAAATAATGAAAGTGTCACTTAATATTATATGTATTTATTCCCTACTTCCCCTTTCTGTGGTCTCTTATTGTTGCCAAGCAGGTGATTAATGAAGTTAGGAAATAAATGAAAAATCATTAGAACAGACCTGCATAGGACACCAAATAGCAATAAATACATAATTCTACTTTCCTGCATTAGTAATTTCAAAATCATAGCATTAAACAAAAATAAGAATCTGAAACATTTTGAAAGTACGGAGTAAGCCAAGATTGAAATTCAGTTTTCTAAATATAATTCAAGAGGAGCTAACATACAAAAAACCTTAAGACGGAAAAATGAATAAAAATAACTATTTTTGAAATATTAGAATGTTTAAAAATAATTGCAAATACTACAATAAAAACCTGATAAAAATGTTGCGCCTTGTAGCCTATAAATTGTCAACTAATGTTGCTTAAATTAAATTAATTGTTTAAATAAAACAAATGTACAACTACTGTCTTAATTAATTAATTAAATTAAATTAAATTAATATGTGGATGTATTGGTTATATTGAAAAACCATCGAAGTAGGCCTTTTCTCACTTGTTTTTTTGAGCCATACCTGGCATTAGTAAGCGACATATGTATCTGCTCAGTATAATGAACTCCTTGAAATACTTTATCTAATATTGTACTACACACTTACTAGTAGAATTATCCATTAGGCAGCAAGTTGCTTTTCTCACTTGCTCTTCTGAGCCATACCTGGCATTAGTAATCAAAATATCTGCTCAGTATAATGAACTCCTTGAAATACTTCTTTTTCTTTCTATTAATTTGGCGCCTTGGCCCACTCATCTGGCTTATCGATCTTTTAGGCCAATGTGGTTAGCTCCTCACAGGTTGCCTTCAATCTCGGATACGCGTACATACTTCGTTTGCCCTCAGATGCCACGAACTGATCGAAATCGAGATCAGCCGACTCGGCGGGCTTCATGGTAAGACGGTGTACGTGATACTCTAGTCATAACCGCGCTAATTTCAACTCAAATTTATGCACGATAAATTACATTTACATTGAGGTCCGTTAATACAGACACGTATTGAGACTAAGACTTTGGAATTCGTTTATATTCAATGACTTTGCCGAATCGATCTGACAAGATATCTTGCTGTATCGAAGCATACATGCACGTCTGTATCCATGTGTGTGTGTGTGTGTGTGTGTGAGTATTAGTAATTACTAACTGATTTCCACAGATACATGCATGGACCCATCTACACACACAGTACTTCTTCAACTTGTATGTAGAAGTGGCCCTCTAATTTGAGCTTTTATAATGTGAATCGCATTACATATGTAAATCTGTTTGTAAACATTCTCAACATTGTTTATTTATAGATCAAAATGTATTTACTGATATGCCATTTTGTTAAGCTACATATTTATCGGTTTGTTGTCTTTGTATCCCTGTACCCGACATTCATAGTTGTACATACAAGTATACTATATGTGTATATAACGTATTCATATGTGTGCAAGATTGTCAGAACAACTAAGCAAAATGCTTGCCCAGGCATTAGTTGTTTACCTTTGATTTCCAAAACCAATTGAAATATTCTTCAAACGTTATAGACTCGAAATTGCTTGTACTTGAAAGACAGGTTTCAATCTTGATTTAACTGATACTCGTACTGTTTCTGTTGTTGAAAAGCCTCTATTCTAATTTTAGTTCACTATCCCTATAAATAGCATTTTATGTTCATGCCCATTTCCCCACTTTAGGCGTCAATTTGCATTGAAATGCATTCTGTTTTGAAGTAAATAAGTATTGTGTGTTTGCTAAATCAAAGGTCTGATCTCTCTTGACATACTATATGCTATAATAGGCTTAATCATATTATTGTAATAGTCATTGCCTTTAAAACACTGGAGAGGGACGTGCAAAGAAAGCATTGCTTATGTTAAGTAACTAAAAGCATTTTTAGTATATCTCCTAATAAAAAGAATTTTGACTAAAGTTGTGTCAAGCTGACTCTTGAATACTCTGTAGCCAGCCTTTTCTTCCACCACAGAACTGCAACTTAAATGCACTTGCTATGACAACTATAAGATATAGTTCAGCGACTTTGACAAAACTGCAGTTTATATGTGGCGAGGCACAATGGAAAACTTTTAAATAAAATATGTACTTAGTGCTAAAAGCGATTTCTGCACCGATCGATGGGGAGCTATACAGATCTCGTAAGCTCGAAATTTGATCAAGATTTCTTCAATTCATTTCATTTAATTTAGCAAGAATTGCATTTATGTTCAGAACAGATCAAAAATTTATTAATTGTTGGAATCTAAAATGTATGTTGAAGCTTTATTTTATCTTCACAGGACTTCTTTTTTATTATTTAAAATTTAAATTTAAAATTCATAAAATATTTGTATGAGAGCTTTCGGTGAAAAAGAAAGGAGCTGCTATTCTGTTTTTCATAAGATACGTGAGGACGTGCTTTTTCTATTTATCGCATGTTATTTTACAATTTCACATAAATAAAGTGTCAAAGCAAAAGCCTGAGTTGCAAATTTGAAAACACTGAGCAATATGGAATATATTAACGCCCACTCAAACGATGATCAATCATTATGGTTATGAACCCTAATTGAGTTCAAATCAAAATAGTTCTATGTGTTAATTAATTAGGAAATTCTTGTTGGAAACAGCTGAGATGTTTCGTCTTATGAAGCATTCACTGTTCATATTTGTTGTTTTTTATTTTTTTATTTATTACTCACTTAACGTAACGTTTGGCAAGCCATTGACAATTTTCTAGAAGTAGGGAATGGGCGGTGATTTCAAATTGAAATTCAAATTCTAGCCCGCCCCTTCGCAAATTATTCAACCGAGCAGCAGCGAATAACAAAAGCTTTGCTCAATTTGGTTGCTTAATTTTTTGAGTGTTCGGATATTTACTGAATGGCGTGATGGCATGCATTAAATGGACATTTACGATACTTTAAAGCTGCGACTTGTACATTTTATAAGTATATTTAAAATTTCTTAACGGCCAGCCATAATTTTGTGAGCTGCCGAAAGCGAGCGTTAAACTTTTTACGATGCTGCCGCAAGCCAGCCAGCCAGCCTGCCAGCCAGTTGCTTGTTGCCTGTTTGTTGTTGCCAGTAGTTGGTAGCTGCTGGCTGCATGGGCGGCTCTCTTAAGACTTTGGCGCGATTTTGGCATGCATATTGGCCAAAAGCTAAAAGCCAGCCACTGCTTGCCCAACCAAATACGTGGGCTTAATTAAGAGCACATTTCGGTCATTTTTGGTGGCAGATTTAGTTGGTTTGTTGGTTAGTTAGTTTGTTTGTTTATTTTGCTACTCACTTGCATTGCGCTGATTTTGATTGGCAAAGAGTTTCATTTTGGGGCTCTGCTTTAGGTGTGTGGGTATCCCTTCGGCCTATTTCGAAAAGCAGTCGCACAGAGACTAATTAACCGATATCGCCCAATGCGATTTATCACGAAAATCAATTACTTATCGCAGCAATTTTCAATTGATTTGTTTTGTATGTGTTTATGGGACAGCCGGACAGCCCCGCGAGCGAATTAAACGATTAAGCCGTGCGACGACGTTTCAGGCCACTTTGCATGGCCACACTTGAAACTAATTTGATGCGATTTGATTCCAATACAAATATATTATAGTACATAGATATGCATATGTTCCTAATATGTAGTTATATGCGAGTCTTTTTTATATTACATTGATAATGCACAAATATCTGTGTCTATGTTTATTTCTCACTGCTTTAATGTGGGTTTATTTGAAAAAGTTTATTGAATTGACGATTTACTGGATTACTACAAGTATATTCGATTATTTAGCATTTAGCGGTTTGATTCTGTTTTCAAATTACTTATTTTTTTGCACTTGAGTTGAAGTTGTTGTGACTTTTTTGAATTGACTGACACGCACTTCCTATTCTCACGAAATTTGACAACTTAATGCGCACAGATCGGCTACAGTGGGAACCTTTATATGGACTCTTGGGCCAGCCAGCTCGGCTCGGCTCTGACTGAGACACATACCGAGCTAAGATCGAGCATCGAGCACTGAGCACCGAGCACCGAGCATCGAGCACACAGCACCGAGCATCTCGCAGTAAAGCGCGAAAAATCTTTTCATGAACCGGTCCACTTTCAAGCCGCTGGTCGCCAGTCGCTGTCGCTGGCGCTGTGTGGTGTGTGGTGTGTGGTGTTGGCGGCGACGGCGGCGGTCGTTGGGTGTCACTAGTGATCACAACTACAACAACAACTAATAGTGCAACAACAACAACAACAAGAGCAACAGCAACAGCACTAAGTGTGTGTACTTACTTGGCTATCATTTTGTTTTTTGTTTAAGTGTTCGGCTGGACGTTAGTGTTGGTTCGGTCGTTAAGGCCCCTGCGACTCAGATTGGAGCAAATGTGTATGTGTGTGTGCTTGTGTGTGTGTAGGGCTGCTTAGAATAATTTACTCTCCGACTGGGGGTTACTAGAGTTCGCCACTTGCCACATTGTTGTTGCTGTAATCTGTAGTTGGTTTTCGCTACAGTTGCTTTGTTTATAGCAGAGCAGTTAGAGATCGCTGCCAATTCGCTGCGACTGCTGTTGTTGTTTCGTTTTAATAGCACAAATGACTCTATTTAATCCCTAACAAAGCTGGCTAATTTGCGCTAAACACGCACACGAACCGCGACGCTTTTGAATAAATGCATGAGGTGGTCGCAATTAGAATCTACTTGTATTTCTTGACGCACACCACAATTGACTTGCAACTATTAGGCAGCAATGCGGATAATGATCTATGAACCGGGGGCCTCGCAATATATGTCACGTGTCCAATGCTCCAGACAAGAAAGTGCTCGGCATAACTACTTGTTTTTTTTTGCCAACATTTATGACTGAACATTAGCTGCCTGGATAGATAGTCATTACTGCTAGATTGCTAACAAGTTGCTAAGTACGCCCGTCTGCTCGGCTGGGCCAGGGTTCAGGTCACTGACGCACGCGCGCCCATTAGACGAAAACCGACGTGCTTCGGTCCAATCCGACCCCAGCCGATCCGTGATGCTGCAGATTCTACCCGTCTATGCCAGAAACCTATGTGTTATGTGTTTTATTTGCTTAAGCAATGTGCTTTTGTGCTTTTGTTGCCGCACTTAATTATAATGGCCACCAAGTCGCTATTTTGGGAGTCACTTTTTGCGGCCATTGTCTCTGTTCTGTTTTCAAACTCTTAGCATTGGACTGTGTTGGGCGTTAAAAAGCAGCACGCGCAAATGGCTCTAAATATTCGGCTCGGACTAACTGGCGATTGTCATGTTGTTTATGGCAGCACGCACCATAATTATAGGCCATTTTAGATTTGTTATTTTTGCAGCTGGTGCGGTTATTATTTGGTGCTTTAAGCACTTCGGGAAAGTTTTGCGACGTAGAAATGTGCGCGGAGCTTTTGCTTCGACTTTCCACCAAGGACGTTCCATAAACTGAAAGCTCTTTGCTGTAAGGACATTTTCTTTTTACGTTAAACGTTAGAAATTCAGAAACTCTATCATTCAGGCGAGACTGCATACAGTCCAAAAAATCGTATATACCTTATGGAAACCATCTCTATTTGAAAATATAACTCTTCCCATAGTAAAAATTGTCAACATATTTTCGCTCTATCTTAAATATCGCTGGCAAGAAATTAAAAAACCTAAAGCTGAAGGTCTTAATTCGATATCTACTACAAGTATGATATATTTAGTTGGTTGCTATTTGTGATTGCATTTTAGCTTTATAAATATATCAATAATAAATTAACAGCTTCGTTTAGTTTTGAAATAATAAGATAAAACATATTTCTTTAATTTATCTAAAAGAAATATTGTTGAGTATTTTGGTGACCTTCCTCATAGTTATTTTTATTGTTTGGCCGGCTCGAGGTCAGAGTAAGAAAAACCAATTTATTTAATTTTCTTTTCTTTTTCCGATATATTTCGGTTACGCCACGGTAACCGTCTTCAGGGCAATTATTTAAGCAAGTCTGCTCTGTCTGCTCTGTTAGTAACTCCAAGTCAAACAGAGCAGACTTGCTTAAATAATTGCCCTGAAGACGGTTACCGTGGCGTAACCGAAATATATCGGAAAAAGAAAAGAAAATTAAATAAATTGGTTTTTCTTACTCTGACCTCGAGCCGGCCAAACAATAAAAATAAAAGAAATATTTTGAATATAACGCTGTTGTTTACCATTCCATAGCTACTGATTCTATTCAAAAGGTAATGCGAAATAAATTCACCAATTTTAAGTCTGTGTAGAAATACAACAGCGTAGACTATTTTACGTTCCTCAATAGCTGGACGAGAGATAAGACGAAGCGGACGTCGATAAGGACTATTGTCCGGAAGGGAATGTTTTTAAAAATCCGGCCTTTTTTGAGATGCATCTATATGTACCTAGAAGACGGGCATGGCAATAGCTTCTTCTATCTACTAGACACATCATTTTAGTAAAGACTTTTACTCTTCGGTTTCAGGATAGAAAAAAGCGAGCTGGTTAGGCGTTTTTGTCTAGACTCAGCTTCGAAGATTGCTTTCTGCTCAGTCCTTGTCTAAGCTTTAAGGTAATACAGCTAATTCTGTTTTTACACGGTTTTGATTTAAAAATGTTTGATAATTAAAAATGTTGTATATGGATACACGGTTTTTATTTTAAACGACTTTTTCTGGAACCAATCTACCGTGTAAATACATAATTAGGTATATAACTATCCTTACCAATTCATCATAATAGTCGTTGCAACTAAATCAACTGGCAATGCTATAGAATTGGATTGGGGCCTTTACTTCAAATACTCGTACATGAAAACCATAGCGCGGTAGTGTCAGCTCAATTGGTATGGAAATTTTCCTAGATCCAAATCAGAGCAAGTTTTTGAATGTTGTTCTTCGGACCTGTTTACTTTCCAACGACAAGCCGCTACTTGCGTATTGTTGGGTAAACCCAAAGGGACATTTTTGTCATAAATGTTGCTTCTTATTTTTAACTGCAAAGCCGTCTACAAGTACAACTAGGAAGTTTCCCACCACAGCTACAAAAGCTGTATTTATGATCAATTTTGTATTTACGACATTTTCGGGGAAAAATGTATTCAAATGAACAGACGATATGGCTATATGGCTAAGTGCCTTTTTGTAAAGATTATACAAGTATATATACTCGTAGCTATGACAGGGGATTTTTGTTTGTCGAGAAAAACAAATTTCATATTATTGTTTTGCTTGGAAGAGCGGTTCTAAACTTGAGACAGAGAGCTGTCATAATCATTAATAATCTAAAAATTTATACATAAAAGTAATACTATCCTTTTTAGAAGTTGAAAAAACTGGCCCCATAGTTAAGGCCATCTTTTCTTATACGTACGAATATATGGCGTGTATGCATCAACATTTTAAAGATAATTAATATAAATGACGTACTTATAGTATATACGAGTATATGTTTTGAGAGCTGTTGTTGCTGGATCGTAATACCTTTAAGATTTCTGTGCTCAAGTCTAATAGGTTGGGCTTTGTGTTGATTAAAACTATAAATATTAGTATTATGAGTATTTATTGTCTTATACCAGTTTGAGCTTATATTTTTGCTTTGAAGAATCGATAATATATATTGGCTTGAATAGTATTTGAAGGGCACAGATGTTAATGTAACTTGTTCTCCAAATACGTTCAAATGTAGTTGGATAGGTATCCAAATTTGTTTACTCTTTATGAGTGAAGTAATCCAAATCATCGATAAAAGCGGACTATAACCAAATCGAACGCTAACTAAGGAATAAATTGTGAAATAGTTTAAGCATGCAGAAGTGTTTCGATTCTAATAAGACTTATTGCTGAGGGGAAGCCCGCAAAGTACTGAATATATCAGACTTTGGGACAAACATGTATGCAGGTGCCAGGTCGCTATCACGATATAAATATACTTGCAGTATAAAACGCTTAGCTCTTTCGCCCCTTAATAGACGTAAACAGATACACATATCTAGATACTTATTCAAATTTGCCAAATCATTCTGTGCACATACTCGTGTTATACACAAGTGTTGACGTTTGCAAAACATTATAAACATCAACTTTAACCCCGGCTTTGTTCGTAGATGCGAAAAGTACTGGAAAAGTACTCCTTTTCTCCATACCTACAGCTTATAGCGACAAAATATTGTAAATATTTACCAAAATAAACAGAAGCATATAATTAATATCACATTATTTGAGCAAACTAAACTACGAGCAAGTTGAACAGCAGCTTTGATTGTGAATCTGGACATTGTTGGGCTGCTAATTATTTTTATTTTATTATTATATTTTATATTTGTATTTTGTTATGAAGACATAGGCTACGATCTGTTGGATGAAACAAAAGCAAGCAACTATTTGAGTTGCAAAAAGTGTTAACTAGTTGCGAAAATGCAACGCCTGTTAGCACAAGTGACGTTTATGTAGAAGAAATAAACTTCAAAGGGATCAGGCGATTTCACAGATACGTACAACTGTTAAAACAACAAAGGCATCTACGATCAATAATCGGTGCGAATAAACTATAAGCTAATAAACATATCCGAGAAAGTCAATAAGATAATTGCAAGTTACAAGTCTTGGAGTGTTTTGTTAATAATAACGAGAAACGTTCCAAGCACAATAAAGTTAAGGCTGTAGCTTTCAAACTCAGAATGTGAGTCCATTTAAGACTAATTGAGAATCGTGACCTCCCGAAATAATGATTTACGTTTGAAACAGAGCTCAACAGGAATACAATACAAATACTTATTAGGCCAGTGCTTGCTATTTGGCTCAACTTAAGGGTCAGAACCTAGATCTTAAAAAAGCTAAAGACTCTACCAAAATAATATTTAAACTACGAGCCAGTTTCAATCATGCAAAAGAAAAAGAGCCGATTAGAGATAATGGGACGTTAGTTTCATCCTGTAAGTATAGACTTGCTTACTTCTTCAATAGAAAAACGAGGGAAGTATCCATCCGCAAACATATTTTAAGTCAATTATCAATAAGACTTTTTGGCAGCTCTCATCTCTCACCTCTCTGTGTCTTAAAAAAAAATTCTTTATATCTACATGGTTATGGGCCGCGACTTATATGCCCTACTGTTCAATACCTTTCATCAGAGCACATTTTCGGTTTATTTTATACGAGTATATATGGTCACCATTCATGAATTTAGCAACAACTATGGACAATTTTTTGATACAAAAATTATGTATTAAAACTAGTATATTGTGTGCTCTGGTGATCTGACCAGGGTCGGCCTCGATATATTTTCTGTGTCCGTCAAAAAGGAGCCTCATTGCAAAGTTTCTACGCGCTAGCTCTAAATTTGTGGGATGATCACTACTCCCCTTGAAGCAGTGAGACTGACATGGACACTTGGCTATTTGGATTCGTCTTGTCATGTCGTCAACAATTTCTAGCAAAGGAGGGAAAAAGTCTCTAAAAATCAACAATTCTTCCTAAATTAATCAAAATATTTTGAAATAAACACAAATAAAATCTTGTAAAATATATTTTATCTTTAAATAAAGGTAAATGAAATCTTTTAAAATATATTTTATCTTTAAATAAAGGTAAATGAAATCTTTTAAAATATATTTTACTATCAATCGCATCATTTCGGGGGTTTATTTTAAAAATTAATGATTGCATTAAGTATTAAGGGATGTTGATTGAAGATGTATTGGTCATAAAGCATTCACTAGAAACTATTCTATGTTGAGAGACGGGCTAGTCTAAGTGAGGCTGATTGAAGATCTATCGGTTTGTTTTCTTTCTGTTACTAAGATTGTGTGTCTAAGTGTCTAAGATTTCCGCCAGGAACTACACGTCATCACTTTTTAATGAAAATGTGATGTTGACAGCCGTTTAGTTGACTTTGTGCATACGCATAAAATAAAATAAGATAAGTAAACAATAAACATGTAGTCAGCGTTTTCCATGAATGTAGTTACAACTGCTAATCCGGTTGACATTTGTTTCGATCCATAGTGCGTGTTAAGTGCTCGCTTCCTGACTAATTTGTTTTTGTTCTCAAACTGTGAAAACAATGCCCATTCTATACTGCGGCCCAACAATTTCGAGCCATATATACTTGTATATAAACCTACATATGTAAATTTAGCTGGACACGCGATGCGTTTTCCAACACGTGCTTATCGACTACTTGGCGAATATTTACAAGTAAGTATAGGAAGTGCATATGCAAATTGTCAACAGTCGTTCTTAAGGGATCCCCCTTGCGTGCATCGCCAAATTACAGACTAAATGCGAACTAACTGTGCTGGTATAGCGGAGTTGGAGATTGCATAGCTGGGCATATTATTTTCGATTGTTTGGGTGCGTTTTGCTCAGCTCGGCACGAGAGGTGTCAAAGATGTTGAAGCAATAAAATCGCGAGTCCATCGCTCGGTCGCAGCAAGGGCAGCACTTAATGGTCCGACATGTCAATACAACTTTTGAATATATGTGGGGAATTTCGTGTGAAATCCTTGAACTTGACGCTGACCACTGGCATGAACGGCAGACACGCCAGCACTCCAGCACTCCAGCACGCAGTCACGTAGGCAGTCGGGGACTTACCGCAGCAGCCTGCTCTTCTGCTGTTTACTTGCAGCCAAGTGGCAGAGACAAGGCTCTTTAGGGTGCCAGCCAGCCTCCAACTGAATGCAACATTGTCGCTCACATTAATATGCAGAGCTTAAGGCAATATTCTAGATTCTGCCCAGTATTACGAGTATCTATAACTCTGATTGACCATTGACCAACTGAGCTTGACTAGCAGCATTTATTTAATTGGGGCGGCAAGTCAAGCATCTAATCTAAGACTGTGTAACCAGTTGAAATCTGTTGATATCGAAATTAATAATATAGGAAAATATCTGGCACTGTCGAACAATGAGGAACAAACACTCGACTGTTTTGAGCAGCCGGCAATTACATTTAAATGCGAAACGTCGCCGCCCAGTTCAAATGAATATTTAACGAGCTTAATTGCATTAAAACGAAACACACAACGGAGCACATAACACCACATCTAGACTAAAGCATCGGTATATAGTAATAGCACAAAACTAAAGCTAGCATGTATTTTAATAATTAGCCGTTTATAACTAATATTAAAATGATAATAATATATATAGCATATATATGTTGATGGCGGCAGAGTGAGGGGGGCTATGCATGTAGCAGCATTAGCGACACTCTGATGTCACACACTCAACGCCACGTATACGTAATAAAGCATAGCAGTCATATGCATGTGCATTACGTATACGCACCGTGCCACAGATTACATTTGCAATTGATATTGAAATTATGACACACATGACCCCAAATTAGCCAGCAATATATGACGATGGCGGTGGCGGTGGCGATGGCGATGGCGATGGCAGTGACGCTGACATTTGCACGTCGAGTTCCTTATCGAAGTCGCGCAATCGCAGCAATCAGAGCTACCTCCATCGCAGCTGCGATTGGCAGTCTATATAAGCCGGCAGCAATTAAAAAATAATCAAAAAATTATAATTAATGATAGTGGCGCCAGTGTTTGCAGCATTTGCGGCATTCGCGGCATTTCACGGCATTTACGGCGTTTCAGGCCACTCTATCCATTCAGGTGCGAAGCGTTCGAGCGCCCCTTCGCATGGCAGCAGGCGTTAATCCTCCATCCATTTGCCTATCGAAATTTGTCATTAATATTTATGCATTTCTGCCGTTTCTGCGCTCTCATTAGATAACTGTCAGCATTTGTTAGCACGACAGTCGCATTGAACTGATTCCGTTCCAGCTGCTCGCAAACTTCGCCGTCGCGTCGGCACGTAATTAGTTTGCATATGAATAATATTTTAGAGGCTTCCGCGGAACGACCTCCCACAAACCCACAAACCCCACAGGGGTTCTCTTATCAGCCACCTACTCTTTGTGATGTGCATTCGGCCGTCCTATAAAAGGAAGTTGCTGCGCGCACTCTGCCATTATTTAACCTCGTGAACTCCGTCTGTTCGGTACTTGTGGCTCACCTGGCTGTGTCTCTTCATCGTTCCGGGCACCCGCATCAACACTGTGAACGCATTCTGCGTGCCGTGCCGCCAACAAAGCACATTTCACTTTTCAATTCCTAATACTCAACCGTAGGGGTAAGTGAAGCCCTACACAGCCTTACACGTAATACACAAAACATACGCTCCGAAACAATCTCACAAACAAAGGGGGCATTGTGTGAGTGAAAATGCTGAAAAGTTTTCGTGCAGCTTCAAAACTCATGTTCAGCTCGGCTTCAATAAATATCTGTCAACATATGTACAGCAAAATGAAAAACTCTTCAATGCTCAGCACTCTACTGCATTAAGTAAATCAAAAGAAAGTGCACTGAGAGTCTTTTAATGTGCAAGTTGACCAATTTGTACAGCTTGTATACCCTGTAACCAAAGGGTGAAAGGGTATACTAGTTTTGTGGAGAAGATGGCGTAGCAGACCCCATAAAGTATATATATTCTTGATCAGTCGAGTCGATATAACCATGTCCGTCCGACCGTCCGTCTGTATGAACGCAGGGATTTCAGAAAGTATAAGAACTAGAATAACCACACTTGGTATCCAGATTCTCCTAAGTCCGAGAAAGTACGCGTTTGAGTTTTTTTCGATGCACCCCCCACTCCCCCGCAAATCGAATTTCAAACTCAAATTATTACATCCAATTAGTTATATTATGTGTCCTTATGTTAAGTTTCATCATCATCATCTTCAATTCTTCAAAGTTATAGCCATAAATAAAATTAATTAAATTATTTAAATTTTCCTCTTTTGTGGAGAGTATAGAGTTCTATTTTGTTGAAATCAATTTATTTGACTAGCATTCATTCATTGACTTAAAGGCTGGCATGGAATTTTTCCCATATGCCTCTCCAATCCAGTTCAGGCCCCACAAACCCCTTTTCAAATTGTTTGTTCTCTACCGTTCCATAGTACTTTTCTCATTGCATTTGTTGTACTCCTTTCACATATTCAAATCATTTCCCAGAATTCCATATTTGCATAATTCCGAAGCTTTCGAAATGCGTCACTAAGTGCATATAATATGCATTGATCTTTATGCGGAAAGTCAGCAACTTACGTCATTTGATCGAGCAATGTCTATTAAAAATAGATTAGAGGTAGAACTATTAGGCCGCCCCAAATGCCACGCCCCCTTAAGTCAGTGCTTGTTATGAGCTCGTGGCCCTAAGAAGACCCCTAATAATAAGTGGTCATTAATGACAGGCCATAAAAGCGCCGATTAGAGCCGCACATCGACTTAGATTTAAATTGCTGATATTATCGAAGTTGTGTAAGGAAAGAATAGATTAGAATAGGAAAAACAATTCAGTTTTACAACAATTTGTTAAACATTTACTAAATAGTGGTCTGCACTAATGGGCGCAAATGTAACATTTGTTGGCAGGCTACAAGAAAACAAGTGCGTGTTGTTTTTGAATCGACCTCAAAAATTCCATTGCTCCATCTAATTACACTATTTAGTCATCGTGTCAGTCCGAACTAACCATTCCCCATTCAAAAAGAAGAAGAAGGAGAATCCATTACCATTATGCTTGAACTCTCGTTTGTACATTTTAAAAATAAACTACGCATTTTATAATTTTAAGTTGTTGGCAACAAATCATTTTAGAATGTTCTCGGACCTTTTTAAATATTTAATAGCAGAAAACACCGAGATACTTGACAAACACACACCTAAAAAAGTAAATGCGAGTTCCCCAAAACTCCATGTCCCACCACCATCAAATAAACTCAATTACGATTTTAATGAGTTTAAAAAGTGAGGAGAGAACTTAATCTAAACCTTTTTTGTGGTTCTGCCATTCGGATCGTTTTCTTGCGATTAGACGCAACTAAATAATTTGTTTCTCCCAACTCTGCTTCCATTTGAAGTTCGTGCTCTGCTGAATATCTTTCGAATCGAATAATCAGCCACAAACGCTTCTATTTTTGGGGCAAATCTTTAATAATTCTTACACATTTTGAAAACGAGCCACAATTCCATAGCGCTTCATCTTACCCCCTTCATTAGGCCACCTAAAGCATTCTAATTAATTTCTCGTCAACTGCCAAACTCCATCCAACACAGCCACATCAGCCTCCGGCGCATTTCCGACATGTCCAACACATTGCGATGCATTCTGGTCGTGTGCGTGGCACTCGCCCTGCTGGCTGCGGGCTCCAGCGTGGAGGCTTCGAACTCGCGACCACCTCGCAACAACGACATCAGCACCATGGCAGATGCACTCAAATACTTGCAGGATCTGGACACCTACTATGGCGACAGGGCGCGTGTCAGGTGCGGTATGGATGGTGGCGGCCAAAGTTTAGTTTTCTGAAATGCTCTTCCTTTCGCCGACAGGTTTGGCAAACGCGGCTCCTTGATGCAGTTGCTCCGCAGTCGATTCGAGAACAGCAACAACAACAATAATGCCGCTGATTTGGTAGGTTGGTGGTGGGCGGGTCATTGGCCAAAAACTGAAACTAAAACTGCTTTGCATCCAACAGACTCATCAGGGCGCGGAGTTTGCGAATATTGAGGAGCTACTTTAAAGGGACGTTAATGCTTGAACACCGAAAGCCACACTGAAGACGACGCCAGACTCTACTCTAACAAGTTGTTGCATAAGTTTTGGAGCAATAGTTTAAGCCACATAAAAGAACAACAAGAAAAACAACAAATGAACAAACGCTGTAGAACACAAACACATGCGCTTCTTATAACTTTCTTCAATGTTATCAAAATAAATTAAATACATACTGTATTCTGTAATATAAAAGATACATTAAAGTTACTTGCAAGCACTTGATAAATAAAAATCACATTTTGTTTACAACTCGCTCTTCATTCCTTATCTCTCTCCAAGCGGCTACAGCGGAAGAAAGCTCTCAATGCTGGCGGATACTGCACAGGAGGGGAAAATTTGAATTAGAAATAGATCAATCAGGTGGGCACGGAAAGAGTTAGGGAACAGGAAAGGTGTCAGCCAAATTTTAAATAAATTAAATCCATAAATGAACGGATTCTAATAAACATATGACAGATGATCAGAAATACATATATTTATGCTTACAATGCGCATTTGTGGAAGATATTGGACGCTTGTTTCTTAGAAATGTAGACCAAATATTAATTGGATTTGGATTTTGAACAAGTGAAAGTTTAAGGAATAATTAGGAAAAGCTATATATACATACATACATACTTTTTGGGCGTGTAGAAGAACTTTAAATGAGTAAAATCCATAATGGAACGAATTCTAATAAACATGACAGATGATCAGAATATATGTATTTCTGCTTACAATGCGCATTTGTGGAAGATAATGGACGCTTGTTTCTTAGAAATGTAGACCAAATATTAATTCGATTTGGATTTTGAACAGCAAGTGAACATTTAATTTAATTTAATACATACACACTTTTTGTTCGTGCAAAAGAATTTTTGCGTAAAACCTTGTCTGTTGGCAAAAATAAAGTCTACTTTTAGGGGCAAAAAGGGTTGAAAAGCTACGTGGTTTATTATCTCATAACACTTCTACCAGAACTATTCCAGTTTTACCAAGTATGGGGGTGGAATGCAGTTATATATAGTAGATATTAAATAGCTGAACACCAACTTTCTTATTACAAGATATGGACGACCAATGTGCTATTGTTTCATAAAAGAAAACTTTAAAGAATGTGCTTAGCTACATGCTAAGAATTGTTCCCCATCTCGTGGCCTTTTTAATAGTATGTAGTTGGTACTTACACAGTGGAAAGATGGCTATCAACATGAAGGTGACCTCACAATGCGACTCCACGTTGATGCCAATGAAGGTGGTGCCAACGACGGCGCCCCAGCGGCACCACATCAGACTAATGCAGAGGGCTTTGCCACGCAGTTGTGTGGGCACAAACTCGAGAAGCGCGCCGCCCAGTAGGCTGACAACCACACCAGGGAAGGCGATGAAGAATACAAAGCAGAAAAGCTGCAGCGTGGGCTGAGTCACAAAGATCATGCTGAATCCGCAAGTGGACGAGATGACTAGTGCTGCGATGAAGAGCACCTTCCGTGGTATGAAATAAAGGAGGACCCAACACGCCTTGTACAGTATGATGTACGTAATGCCCAGCGTGATGGAGTCGTTGAAGCCCATAAATCCGTCGTTGCAGGCCTGCGTTTGGATGCCAATGAAAGACAGCGCTGCCATGCCACAAGACAATGCCACTTACCACAGTTATCTCTGGCTCACTTTCCTCTAAAGCCTCGATGGTGCACTCGCCAAACAGCAGTTCGCAGAAGCTTAGGTCCGACTTGTCGCCGCCGCGCATATTAATGCGATTTCGCATGGCCGTGTACCACAGACCCAAACCGTTGGCGCTGAGTTGGAGAAAAGAGAATTATCTTAAGTTAGTCAGGTTGGAGTTGAGTGGGATATAAGAGATATATTTTTAGCTAGTCAGGACATGGATTACATTCTCACTAATTCCAATTAATCTCCCTTTATATTCCCATGTGACATATCTGCATATCCGCAATTTTGAATTAATTGATAAATATTCTTAAATATGCAAACTGGCATCATTTATACATGTGAAAGCAGACTTCATAAAATACGCTTTTCATGAGTATTTAGAAGTCGGAAGAGGCTAATTTTTTTTTATATTTGTCCACGCTTTTATGATCTAAGACTATAACTTTCTCTGGGGAACCATAAATACCGTATTGGAATGCGAAAATGAAAACTTACATCAGGCCCAGAGTAAACATCACTAGATTACATCCGATGTAGAAGACAACGTATGGCTTGCGAAAGAGCGGCATGGCGTCGTTGAACATCGTTTGTATCAAGTTGCTGCTGGCCTTTTTTCGCTTCCTCTCAGCGCCGGCCTGGTATTTTATCATCAGGGCCACCTGGGCCGGTGTCAAGGGATGTCCAGTATTCCTTTTGCTCACCCAATCCATGGCGGCCAGGCCTTGCTTGGTATCACCATTCATAAACAGAAACTTGGGGCTCTCCGGCATGGCCAGCAGCATGAAGAAAGCAATAACGCCCGGCAGCATGAACATGGCGCCGAGCAAACGCCAGGGTCTGTACGTCAAGTTCCCCCAAAGGGGCACCTCGAAGTCCGTCTGTTTTGTGGCCAAGAATAGCGTGGCCATTGAAGGCGTGTAGAGCATAGCGAAGCCAGTAAACATGTACATGTAAGTGATGACACGGGCGAGAATCTGCTTGTTGCAGAACTCGCTTAGGTAAGTGACGGCGACAAAGCTTGGACCCGCCACACTGCTTGGCAAAGGATGCCTTAAATATTTGCCAAAAATGAAATAGCAAAGACTTACAAAATACCGGTTAGAAATCGCATGATGAAGAAACTGGTGAAGCTGAACATGAACATGGAAATGATCGAACAAATGTTGCTTATGGATATTGTGCGCAGCAATATCCAACGTCGCCCCATCTTATCGGTGATGTAGCCCCAGAAGTATGACGAACAAATAATGCCCATAAAGCCAGCAGCTGTTATAGTGGACAGCTGGACGAGATTCATGTGTAGGTCACAGACAGCCGCCGGCGCCACAATACCCATCCCCATAGTTTCATGTATGGTCATCATCTGCAACAGGCCATTGGTGATCATTGCGTATAGATGCACCTTGCCGAAGCCTGCGAATGGTATATGTATGTACATAGTTGATAGTCAATGGGGAGAGAAATTTCTGCACTCTTATACCAATTTCTTCCATCACAACATCGAAGGCATCCAAATTGTGGGTCATTTCGACCTCAAAAATCGGATAAAACTTCAAATTTCAAATTCTTTGTATAGTATTTATTTTAAGTTATATTTGTATGACTAAAATTTCTCCGCCAACCAGTGGATTTAGCCCAGCTGTATGTTCTCCACCTCTTTGATTAGATCCATGTGCTTAAACTCGTCCGGACGCTTGGTGAACGTCTCCAGCAGCTTCAATTTGCTCTCATCCGTTTTATAGTAGAACATTTGCAATTCGTTGGCCAGGCACTGCGCCTCCTGGGCGGTCAGCACCTTGGTATCATATTCGCCGCGCATCAACACAATGCCCTTGTCTTCTACTTCAGTGTAGTGGACGAGAGTCAGGCACTCGGGCGCGTTCTCTTTGTGCACTTGGTAGGCCAGCAGGGGTGTGAAGTGCACGGTGTTTGCGGCAAACTGCAGCATTATGAATTCAAAGCCCTCGCTGCGTGGCAAAGGCAGCAGGAATATGGGATGCTCCTTGGCACGGCTTATCAGCAATTCATACTGCGACTTCGTTAGAGTGGCCGCCAGCACATCCTTGGTTTTGTGGTACTCTAACCAAATCTGGGATATCTCTTCGGCGCTCTTGTCCGCAATCAGTTCCAATTTCATGACGTCCTCCAGCTTCTTGTGCGGCAATTCGGCGTCGCTTGCTTTTTCCAATTTCTGCTTTGGATTCAGCAGCTCCGAGTACGACCTGAATTAGAGTGTTGTTTAATGTTCTCGACTATCTCTTATAGGTATTCACCTGGCCTGGCTTTTGCCATCTTTGATAGGATCGACCACACGCTCAATTCTATCTAAAAACTCCTCGGGAGAAATTTGCTGAATTTTTGCTATTTTGTCCGCATACTTCCCATAGTATGGATTCTTGTCCTTTAACTTCTCCAAGGCTTCCTCGGCGCGCCTGGGTGCAGTCATTGCAATGCTACGCGCAAAAATCGAGTTCTTATGGGGAAATATTCGTAAAAATAAATTACGAGCGCTAGCCATGCCGTGAGAAATTACACAACCAACATCTAAATGTGACAGCGCTGCCAGACTAATGTCAAGAAATCACAAGTATGGTCACACTTATGCTAGAACGAGCAACACTTCTGAATCAGCTGATGCTCGTTTTATAAACAACAAAATGAGTAAACAGCAAATATTTCCTATTAACTTGGGAAATCTGTCGGCGAAAGAGCGCCACAGTTATGTCTTGAACCAGTATGTTCTTACAAAATCCGCCACCGAGGCACGCAAACACAAGCGGGACATTGATGTGATAAGGGAAAACCATCGGTTCCTTTGGGACGAAGATGAAGCAAACGAAACGGAATCTTCCAGCTGGGAACAGCGCTTAGCACTGAAGTACTACAACAAGCTGTTTAAAGAGTATTGCATAGCTGATCTGACGCGCTACAAGGAGAACAAAATAGCACTACGATGGCGCACGGAACAAGAAGTCATCAACGGTGTTGGTCAATTCCAGTGCGGGAGTCGTCATTGCGGAGTCCGCGAGGATAGCGGTAATGGCGAAAAACTGCGCAGCTGGGAAGTGAACTTTAAGTATATCGAAAAAGGTGTGCCACTTAATGCGCTAGTCAAGCTACGGCTGTGCGCTATTCACACGGAGCAGCTTAACTACCGCACCAGAAAAAGGGAATACAAGCGCCTACGTCGTAGGGAAAAGGAGCAACGCAAAGCTGAAAAACGGCGCAAGAAACACAAGGATGAGGACGACGAGGATGATGACCAAGAAGAGCAGGAGGAAGAGGAGGCCGAAAAAGAAGCAGAGCCCGAGGTGCCGTCTGATACAATGCCAAGCGGTTCTCAGAACGAGGCACTTGCGAATGCTGTAGAAACTATAGACGACGATATTTGGCGTAAACCACTTCAGGTGGAGGAAAAACCTTCGCGTGAACAGGAGTTTGCACAATACCTGGATGATTTACTATTTTAAGTGCAGTCAAAATAGGGCTTTAACATCAGTCGATCGATATTTGTTTCTATTATAGATCAGAGTATACACAATACATCCATATTTAAGAAAATGTGTGCGAACATTTATTTATTTGTATTTTCTATTCATTAATTATAGACACATTTCAAATTCGATAATTTGAATTTTAAGAGAAAATTCGATTTCACTGCAAACTAATTTGAACTGTTGAATTTTTGTTGTTGCGATGTTTTTGTCGTACAACAAAACATCGACGATACATCGCATTCGACCAATCGATGCTTCAGCCCTATCGATAAATTTCTTACACTGGTCGCGCTCAAAACCTGTTCTTGTCAGCTTGCTTCAGTTGGAAAAGTTAAATCGTACCGTACGTTTGTGCTGGCTGATGTCTGTGCGTGTTGTCATGTTTATGTGGCTGTGACTCTGGCTGATTGTGTAGCAAACCGTGTGCTGCGCTTAGTATAGATTTTTTTCTGCGTGCTGCTGCGCTGCGTTCAAAAGAAGCGAAGAGTGGTGTAAGAAAACGAAGCAGAGTAATTTGTCGTTATTGATTACCGCCACCGTGCTCCAACTCCAGCGGACAAAAACAAAAATTAGGCCATTTTTAAGCCAATAAATAAAAGTGTTGATGCTGACCGTTACATTATTGGCGGTGGCGCCAGCAGCGGCGTAGCCCAGGTGCATTGCATAATTGTTGGCGTTTTCTGTTGGTGCTCTTTGCTTGAATTTTCCAAGAATTAATAATTAAATGAGCAAACGAGCAAAAACCGACCAACAAGCTAACATCGTTGAATGTCTATGGCTGTACACCGCTGGCTGAAAAGCTCAAACGCTGCTAACGTGCAAAATGGCGAGAATCGGCGGCAACGGCAGCAAGCTATGAATATATGGAATCGGAATGTGTGCATAATAATGAAAGAACGCTGCAAGTGAACAAAACAAAAATAATATACGATAAGCCGAGCTTATTGCTCTTGCTACTGCAGCAGTTGTTGTGGTGTTGTGTTTTAGTGGTGTGCTTGATTCTTGGGCAATGGCAATGCTTTCTCATGTGACATAACGGTATTTCGCTGTGTGCGTGTGTTTTGGCTTTGCTGTGCAAAAACAACCTTCAAAGCCCCAAAGTGCTGCTGTTGCAGCGGCAGCAGCCAAACAAAATTTACGGCAGGAAGCTGTCGCTGCTGTTACCAGTGTTGCCAATTCTTGAGTGGCAGAAAAAGCTAGATCAGCAATTAAAACAAACTAGAAATAGCTAAACAATTATAATGCTGTAAACCTTTTCCTGTAGTACGATATGAAAATAAATATGAATCAATAACTTGTAAACAAGAATGATATTCAAAAAAGACAAATAATTTAAATGTCTGTCTCTGTCATGCTTCCTTTTATAAGTTATTCTAGTTATTCTATTCCAAATATTACCAAAATCTACATACTATAAATGGCATAATTGCAAAATAGTACTGCAGACCAACAGCGCTGTTTGATCTGAGATAACATTAATACACATAAGTATTCTTGGATGCAATTACGCCAAGAACAGAACAGTACAAATAAAAGTACACGGTTTTTTAGTAATGCCACCAACCGCTGTTTTAAAATATTTCGCGCAATCGTCATTTGAAAATATCCAGATTTCATGCGGATATAGCCAAATTGGCAACACTGGCGTAGCACTGCTGCTGCTGCTTCTTATTAATGACGCTGCCGCCTCTGTTGCTCTTAATGTTTCTTTTTATGCGCTTATTTATGAGCCCCCAAAAATATATTTATTTATTTATTTTGCATTTTCTCATTGTTTATATAGCCAGACTCTCAGCGCATTCAGACTTTGTATGTATGTATGGGTGTATGTGTGTGCGTGTGAGTGCGTCGCTTATATAAGTGTGGGCGCTGAGCTTGGTGTTTCTGCCATCGCCGCATGCATAATATATATGTATGTACATACATATGTATGAATGATTGTGTTTAATTTGCAGATCTTTATCGTAGCCAAGTGTACGGTTAGACGACACATACATAGATAGACCGCGCACGCACACATTAACTTATACTGCCACCCCCAAAGACGCCGCCTTCGCCGACGTCCGCAAGACAAGTGCGCGCGTTTGTTGTTATTGTAAAAATGATTGAACATCACCGCCGCCGCCTCAGTGCATCAGCAGCGCTGCTACTGCTCTGCTGCTGTTGTTGGGCATCGACTGCAGCTGGCGCAGAATTGGCGGACAAATTGCGCGATGATACGGAACTTTCACAGGTGAGTCAAACACACATACATACATACATATGTATGTATTTATATAAAAAAGACTAGCAATATGTTTGTAAATATTGTATGTAGCTCTTGGCTCATGTTCGTATTTTTACCTATTTATGTATTTAGTCGTGTTGACATACACACACACCCACACCTTCAGACAACCATACAGACAAATAGACACATTAAAAAAATATAGTATATATGTAAGTATGTAGAATTTTTGGCTTAGGCTCAGTGGCTGCCTTCCTGCATTGCCCTTGAAAGGAAAAAACCTTGTGAGAGCGCGAAAGAGAGCATGTGTGAAAGAGAAAGGGAGATGGCGAGGTTGCGTGCAAAAGAGACACCCACACAGGTAGCAGGGACAGCTTCCTCCTTGCTCTCGTTTGCCGCTACTGCCGTTGACAACCTTGACCTTTAGCATTTTCACTTGTTGTTAATGTTGGGAAAAATCGATGCAACTCAAAGTGCAAGCCGCGGGAGTTACAAGCCTAATTGCCAGGTCAAAAATCGGATGACTTTCCACGTTCAAAGTCCAGCATCGGTCACTGGCTCAGAGCTCAGCTTGACTCATTTAGTATGCATGGCCATTGCTGGTGGTGAACATATTATGTAAAAATACATAAATTAAACAAAAGGCAAAGTACAAACATACATTCTTTCAGACACACACACACACACAGCCACATGCATTTAAGTTTATATGTATGTATGTATGATGCATGTATGTTTGCCGGCTGCCATCGTTGCCGTCGACTGAGCATAACAGTTTTTTCTATTCATTTATGTACAGACATACATACATATGTATGTATGTATGTAGTTTAGTTTGCCTTTTACACCTTCACACAACAACAAACACACAAACATATACATAGATATTTACACAACGACTTTGCAGCGACCCATGTGGAAAACACATAAAAGTGTAAAAAGTCAGAAGCCAACAAAGGTAGGCAGAAACAGCAATAGCAACAGCAAAAACAACATCAACAGCAACAACAACAGCAACTTTAACAATTGCCGCCTTGCTTCCTTGGCGTTCGTTCTACTCTGTTAAGCATTTAATGCCCAAAAATAGTTGTCGGTGTCGTTACCCGAGCAAAAAACAAAAACAGAAGACCAGAAATGTGCAGGAAAATTTCACAATTGAAAAGAAAGCGTGCGAGTGTAAGCCGCCAACAAGCAACCACCGAGAGTCGGCAGCCTGCCGCCGTCTTAGTTGTAATTGTCGCTGTCATAGTGTCTTGGGTCTGGCAAGCCCATGCCCATGCCCATGCCCCCACCCGCTCACCCACACCCACACCCGTCCGCCTTTTGCACACCACATAGCGCAGATTGGCAAAGATTTTCTTTGGGGGTAAACAGAGCGTGTTGTTCTTGGCTATACTTATGCACTTATTTTCATAGCTGAACTTCCCTTAACAGTCCAATCTTATACGTACTGCTGCTGCTATATTAATTACATCTGCAAAATCACTGAAAGATCAGAAAATAGGAGACTTAGACAACAATAGATACACGGTCGAATTAATCGCTTTCGAACGAAAAACTGCATCCACCCTTGAAACGAATGTCGAGAAATTGTATTTCTTTGAGTATATTACAGGGTGAAACACAAATGAGGAATGATTATCTTAATCCGATACAATCCGATAATTCAACCTAAGAAGATTATGTTTAGAATAATTTCTATTATCTTCGTTCACTAGCAATCCCTTAATTTGTAGTTAAATTATGTACTTAACAAGTCACCACCGTTTTTGGCCTTAGAAATTAATACAGATCATATAGAGACCACACAAATAATTTTGTATTTTTAGGCATCAAAGGCATTCAAAAATTTTAAGCATTTATAAAGAGTAGCACTGGAATAGATTTATATGTTTTTTTGTTTAAAAACAAATCATTTAACAGCATCGTATAATACCGAGAGTATTAGCTATTACGTCACGTCTCGAATAATCATAAACAGAACATTTTATTAGTTGCGAAATCTTGTGTATAAGCTTTCCTTTTCTATTAAAGTCAAAAAAAGGAGAACTGCTTTATGGTAAAACAAAAGTGCCATAATAATCGGCAAATAGTTGTCCAGTCCTATCATGCACAGTTTAGTAAAAACTAAGTGTTTCTGATGTAATCTTAGAACTGAGAATTACGGAGGATTTGCTTTCTTGTATTAAGAAAACGAAAGGTGGAACAAATTGAATGAAAACTGAGGGATTTCCCATCTTTTGTGAAGTTGTATTGTTTTCTTGTGGCAACTGCCTTTCTATCGAGTCCAGAGTGTTTTTTGTTTTCTGCAGCAAAGAGTAGTTGCAACTTTTTGAAAGGCATAGAAAATAAACTACAGCCCTTAAGTATTCGAGAGCCTTACTTAACGGAATAAGTAACGTCTTTTCTAATACGCAGCAAACACTTCCCTACATCTTTCAACAATCGAGTATAATTTTACTTGTATTTTGAAATTCTTGTAATTACTAATTAAGGGCTCTGATTTAATGTACAAACAGAAACAGATTCAGAGTTAGTCAATAAATTGACTTTCTCGACTGGACTTGACTTTGTACAACTTTTCATACTCGAATATCAAATGGATAGGATCTTGTTACAGAGCGGATTATTTCGAATATGCGTGTACTTTCGAAGGCATTTCTCATGAGTGGATCTAAGTCCCCGTTTACATGAATGTTTACCCTCACAATTATGATGCCGCAATTTCTCTGAAAAGCATTTGGAATGATCCAAATGAAATTTCTGTCAACCGAAACTCCTTCAGTACTTCTCTCCATCCATCCATCCATCCATATGTGGTGGGAGTGACCGACTGGTTGTGCGTGCGTGTGTCTGTCTGTGTTTGTGACAGTTATGAGAGCCCTTCTTTAAATACCCTGCCGCGAATCGGCGCTGAAGCTACTCGCATGTACGTGCGGGCAGTTCTCGGTAATGCAGCGGCATTGTTAACCCCCTGTGCGGCTGCGGCTGACCCCCAACTTCCTGTCGTGCATGCGATTGACTTTGACTGCCCGGCGGTCACTTTACTTTACCGCCTTTCTTTGCATCTCATCATCGTGATCATCATCATCACCGTCTTCGTTGTCATCGTGTTTTGTGCTGCTTTTTATTAATTTCAATTTTAACCTTTGACTGCAGCTTGCAAGTGCAACGTGTGGGAGTGGTTTTGGGGCCGGAGGTGGCTTGGCATTGACGACTGCGTAAGCGGTCTAGGCAGGCATATGTACGAGTATGTGTCGGATCATCAGCGGCAGCATCGAATTCAATTAAATTTAATTAAAGAATACAGTGCGAAGCGAAGGCGAAGCTATGGCGCGTGATGTGTAGCAACTTGTACGATATATGTGTGTACATCAAAGTTTCTATGAAGTGTAATAAATTTTCATATACATATATGTATAGTATGTACATACATCGAGGACATACAAGTATATACGAGTATGTACGAGGCGCAATCATTAGATAATTGAACCAACACAGAAGCAATCCAGTTAAGACTTTAGCGATTTCAACATATCTGTTCCGTAACAACTCTAATGGCTTTTATATTTTGTACAATTTATACGTATTTTATCTCAACATATATGGGTTAATGAATTTAATTTGGAGCAACATTAAAAGCTATAGCATCTGCGTGGTTCTGATAACTTAATCGCATACGTCTTTCGCTTCAGAACGAATCTCGTGAAGGTCGCTCAAAAACGATTGTTGGCTAGCTTTAATGGAGCAACAATTGTCCTTTTGAGAGTCTAGCTTTTACGCCATCTTCACCTTCATTCATTCTGCAAGCCCCTATTATTTAGCTCAAGGCGGCAACGAGTAGTCTACCCAAAGACCCTATCATCGTAATACTAGACTTCGCACATTAAATATCGACAGGCTTAGAAAAATAGCTGCTGCTTTTCTATGATTCATTGTGGTTCCAGAACAAATAAAGCATCAATAAAATGCGTTAAGAACAACAACTTATGGAACGTGCCTCGACCCTAATAGAACCCGAACGCAAACAGAAGCAAAGACGCATTAGAAATTAGATGTTGCTGGTCTGTTGGCGCGAAATCGAGATGCCACAGCTGCCGATGCTGCTCTGTGTCTTCAAAACCAAACAATAGTCCCCCTTCCATTCTCCCCTCCCGGCTGATGGCGTTTCAACAGCAATTAAAAGAAATTTTCCTCAAGCGGGGGCTGTGTCGGTTGCTGCAATTATGCCCAAACTTTACAATCTATATATATATATATATATATGTATATGTATACACATGCATTTATATACTAGTGCTAGCGTGTACATATGTACATGCATATGCATAATTTGTACCAATTTAATTTATTTATACAACACACATAAACACACATGCTATACTCGTAGAGTCTTGCTGACCACCCCGCCCCGCCACGCCCCGGCCAGAAACGAACCTCTGCGACCCGCTGCGACTCGTTTTTAGAGTCCAGGAAGCTGCTTGGGCAGTACTCGCACAACCGAATCCCCTGAGTAAGGCAAGCCGGTCCACTAATTAATTTTAATGGCTCCATTAGCTATTGAATTGAATTTCCTCAAGTGCCACGCCCCACTTAGAGACTGCCACAGAGTTGCCCACACACAACCAAACACACACCCACACCCACCCCCACTCCCACACTATATTTTTCCATGCGCTGTAGTTTGTTTTGGACTAGGACAAAAGATTTGGCTAAAACCCCCCCATCTGATCAACACACAATTTCATGAAAAAAAAAAACAAACAAAATCAAAAACCAAAAACAAAAACGTGTTGAAATTTTGAACTGTTAGCGGTTCTCCTTTTCTTTCTCTCTCTTTCAGAGCACTGCCAAAACTTTCAGGCGCATTATGCCAGTTAGGGTAAGCCGAAAAAAAAAGAAACCACAACAGCAACAGCTACAGAAATACGAAGAGGGCCATAATTAGAGCAAGCTGCCTAAAAGCCGTTACATGCTATTTGTTTTTGCCTCAATTTGGTTAATAATAATTTATTTCTCGAGGGTTTGCTTGTCTGCCGGCAATTCACCAGTTGCCAGTGGGTGTGCCAGCCAGCCGGCCAGCCGGTCTTATGGGGTTCAAAGAGTAGGGTTGTTGCAACGTGCATCCACAACATGGCCAAGAGCCCTCAACTGGCTGGGCGATGCATTAGCCGAATTTGTTTGCACCGTCGTCTGTTTGGCTGTTGGCTGACTCATGACCACTTGCCCTTGACTAGGACGATGGGAGTGGGAATGGGAATGGGTCGCCCTATGCGTCTAGCCTTGCGTCTCGTTGTGGGACTGCAAGTTGGTTCGGTCATTGGCATTTCATGAAAATCAAGTTGCATTTCAAAACCATTTTGTTTTAGGGGTTGTTCGTTTGGTTGTCATTGTCCTTTTCATGTCCTCCTGGGTGCTTTCCAGCGGTTGTGCAAGTCCTGCGCATGTTTGCATAGTAAATGAGCCTTCACTAAAATTGCCCGACAATTGCCAGATAAGTCGACTGTCTGATACCCTTGGCAGTTATTGTCAAAAATATTCAATAGCCAATTCGATTGTCTACCCCCAGAGTCCTTTCAGTCTATTGGCACCCTTAGTCCTCCGTCCAATTTCAAGGGATAACGGACTCACTTTCCTTTTGCATATGACAGCCAGCGTGTGTGCGAAAACAGATATTTGAAACAGCCCTTGATGGCACTCGTGGGAGCTGCCAGACATCCTTTGATGGACCACGCAATTAGGGAAATTGTTAACGAAGCACTTTTCAACGAATTGCTCACATAATGATGTCCCTTTATATGGAAGACCAATTTTTCCATACCCAATTACACTTTCCAATATTTAAATTGTATGCAAAGTTTGTATTACAAACATAGTTTGAATGGCAACTACTGATATACATACATAGCTTTCAAACTTCAGAACCCCATTGTTATATAATGTTTCGACAACTCTGCTGCAGATTGGACTTACTTGTAAGGCCTGTTCTCACACAATAAAATATACTATATATCTACGATTGATTCGGAAACAAATGAGCTGCTGTAATCTGCAAATATTTCCTTTGGCATTCCTTTATTGATAACATAATCGTCTAATGTGTTAAGTATCTGAAAATTGCTATTCGTAGCATTAAGCCTTGGGATGTCGAAGTCAACACGGTCATACAGGTTTCGACTATAATACCTACCTTATTTTAATGGATCTATCTATGGAATTTTGTATGGTTCGAGGGAACATATTTTTACTTTTCTACAGAGTTACGGAAATGTAGCTATCTGCTCTGTCGTCATCATCGCACAACCTGCTCTTTCAATGGCTTTACCCCCACTCTACAGAACATTTGAATTGAATCGGACCATAATGTATGTTATTGCCGCTCTAGGGGTTGTCCACCACTTCAAAACCAAGCCCATTGTTGCTACCTTTTCCGTCAATTCTAGTGATAAAGTTGTTGCGGTGTAACCCAGTCTATTAGTGTGGGGGATTAGCACCGTCATCGACCCTTCGCCATCTGTCCACAACCGTCCACCACGTCGCAACTGCTGTCGAATGCTCTGCACTTTAAAATCGTTGGCCACCCGAGATAAGCGAAAACATTTAGAAAGCGAAACTGAAACCGAAGGACCGATAACGACCAAGTCGAGGACGAAAACGACAACTGACGTCTCCAATTACCAAAAAACGTTTGTCGATACAGACCCAGACCAGAAAAAAAAGACAGAAAAAACGAGGAAAAAAATGGCGAAAGGTGGCTAACAAAGCACAAACATTCCAGAGGCAAAGTGGCATGACTCATTGCGTTGCAGGCGAGGAACGAACGTTTTAATGGAGAGTAGAAAAAGGTGTTGTCCTCGACACGAACACACACACACACACACTGACACAAGCACACGTTTGTGTCAGCCCATGATGTTTGCCGTTGAGAAAGTGCAGCGGGGCGTAGCGGAAGTTGGTCAGTTATGTTATTGGAAGCCGCAAAGTATGCGGTTGCATGTGTCGCCATTGTCGCTCAGGAGAGTGTGCAGTTGCCGGCATAGCTGGTGTGGGCCAGTTGCCAGGCAGGCAGGTGGTAGCTGGTAGCTGGACGACTGTTAGGGTCAGCGGCTGCTATTGAGGGTAGTCCTCGTAGCCTGACTGGCAATGCATGCATTTCTGCCACATGTGCCCATGGACTGTTGTGGCACGTCCTGTCGCAAAGCGTTCGATAATGAGACGCACAACCCACTTACAAATGGGAACACAGGGTGTATGGGCCAACAACCCTCGTCGTTCCGCAGCCCCGTCTCTCAGACACCCATCGTTCGCTGTTCACTTACGTAATTGGTTCAATAAACCTTTCGCTGCACGGGCGGCCCTAGCTGTGGTTCTGTTTGACATGCCGTATATAATTTTATTAGTTGTTTGACGTTGCCATGGAAATTGCCAAGCGCCTTTGGCCAACCCGCCCGTCATAGTTTGCCAAAATCGCAGCTACCAGGCGCCCCTTGTTTGGTTCGATAATATGGGCACGACGACAGCCACACAACCTACCGCCCCCCCCACACCACACACAGATACTCGCAGCAAAAAAAAAAAAAAGGAGAGAGAGCGTTAGAGAATTGCATGCAAATAACACTGTGCAACAAAAGTGTAGAACGTCCACTCATCTGCCACTTTTGCTCTCTGCCTTTCGACTTCCGTTACAGTTCTATAGCCTGCTGGAGCAGAATCCCGTCGCTAACTCGACGTTATCTTTGCGCTCCTGCACCATTTTTGTGCCCACCAATGAAGCCTTCCAGCGGCATCGCGGCTCCACACACGTTCTCTATCACATAAGTAAGTAGTCCTGCGAGTGAGATCGAACTCACATTAACTTTGATCTTCGATCAGTCACCGTGGCGCTCAGCAAAGACCAACTGCCTAAGACGGTGTCATCTGACATGGATGGTAATCCACCGCTTTACATAACCAAGAACCGCAATGGTGATGTCTATGTGAACAACGCTCGCATTATACCCTCATTGACTGTGGAGCTGACTAATCGCGAGGGCAAGCGACAGGTAAGTGGCAATCAGATCGCGTAAGCTCTTTACCAGATAGCTGTAAGTTAAGGAATGATTACCTTTCCCCCCATTCAGGTCATGCACATCATTGACGAGGTACTGGAGCCACTCACCACACTACCTACTGCCAAGCCTGATGCCATCACCAACCCGGATGCCTATCAATTCCTTCAGCAGGCCGATCTGCTCAACATCGGCGACAACCGTGTGCGCACATATCGCTCGCAGGTGGCGCTCATGAAGAAGGAGACCATCTATTCGGCGCCCGGCACCCACACCTTTTTGCTTCCAGTAGATGAGGGCTTCAAGGTGAGTGCTGCCCTCCCCCTCTCTATCCATCCGTTCCACCGTGAACTGTTAACAATGATCGCCCCGCTTTGCAGCTATCGACACGTAGCAGTCTAGTCGATGCCAAGGTTATCGATGGACATGTCATACCGAACACTGTCATCTTCACTGCCGCCTCACAGCACGACGAACCCAAGACTTCCGCGGCCTTCGAGGATCTGCTCAAGGTCACAGTCAGCTTTTTCAAGCAGAAGGATGGCAAGAGTAACTACTCCACTAGTCATTTTGATTGAACCAGACGTTAATGCCTGCCCCTTTGCTTTTGCAGTGTATGTCAAATCGAACACCATCATAGGCGATGCCAAGCATCCCCAGGGTGTGGTGCTGGCGGAGATTGTGAAGGCCAATATTCCAGTTCGGAATGGCGTCGTCCACTTGATCCATCGTCCGCTAATGATCATCGATACGACAGTCACACAATTCCTACAGGTATGTGGGCTGTATAATTTACCATTTTATAGACTTGGAGGCGAAACACGCACACACAGACACACACACCTACACACACACAGAGACACATACAAAGATATACGTAAAAGCAAACACAGATACGGATTGCCGCCTAGCCCGTTGGCTGCAATTTGATAAGACTTGGCATTTTGATTGGCTTGCCACGCACTTAGCTGGGCAGCCAGACCAATAATGCTGCTTGTTAGCTGCCCTAGCAAATGCTTATCAGTTTAAACTTTAAAGGCTATACATATGAACACATACACATTCAAACACACCCAACCACCCACCCGACCCGCCTCAACGTGCAGTTGCGGGCGCCCGTTGCTGTTGTCTTTGCATTTAGTCGAGCTGCCTCTGAAGTGGAAATCGTTGGGTGTAAACTGTTATCGAGCGTTCCTCTATGTGCAAAGCTTAAACCAAAGATTAAAGCTGCACGCCCTCCCCATCCAAAACACTATCCCATTACATGAGTATACTATTACTATTACGACTACATGCCATGTACTGCGCTCAGTCTCTAGAGTGAAAAGTAAAAAAGTTATCAAACACTTCCAGATACAAATGCCCAAAGTCTGATTTTACCTAGAACTGAATTACCAGCACTTACCAGCGATTACCAGAAGTTTCCACAAAGTTTTTCACGCAGCTGCGTAGAAATTTTGTTGGAAAACTGTTCGTTCGGTTCCATGTAAAATCATAAGCAAAATTTTATTTTAAAATAATTTTTAAAATATAAATTTTATTTTAAAAAAATTTTGGGTGTAATGTAAGTATTGCCAAATTTAACCAACCAAAAAAAAAAAAAAAAAAAAAAAAAACGCAATGTATTTAATGTATTTTTATCTATGAAACAACTCTGTTCCAAAATTTCGAAAACCAAAAACTTTCACATCATTCGACTTGAGCTGTAGCTTTGAAGCAGAAAAAAAATAAACCCTACCGTCAGATTGTTGTACATTTTCGAAATTCAATTTGGAACATGTTGAGGATGGAACCTATCTTTCTATAAAGCTGCAGCTCAAGCAGACACCTCCATAGACGGTTTAACGCACTGCGCTTTAATTCGGCATTGAAATTCAAAACAAACAAAAAATGATTGGCTTTAAAAACTTTAAACAAGCAAGCGCCACTTTTCAACCGAACCATCCATCGTCAGAGTAGTTCAAAAACTTCATTGCCAAAACTATCTCATTGCCACCTATTGATTGTATTGGAAAGAAAGCAAGAAACCTATCAGACGCATATCCCAATTGGCTTAAGCTTCCCGTTCGCTCGCTCGTTCGTTCGTTCGATTGCTTGCTGGCGCCACCTATCGCCCGATCACCCGATCGCATTCGCATCTGCAACTCAGCATCTATCGCTAGAGAAATACAAGTACTTCATTCCCACATCGACATTTTATACATTGTTGTGCATTCGAAACTCAAATCGTCGCCGCCCCCATGCTCGGCTCATTACTGCGCGCATTTAACTTTCCGTTCGTTTTTCTAAATTTGCGAAACCATTTGTAAATTGTTTTTGCTAGCCAGTTGCCATTTTCATTTTACTGACTATTGCCCTTTCTTTTATTTTTTGTACATGCTGAAAAAATATGCAATCTTCTAAATTCCACATCGCTCGAAAATTGTATTGCAATTCGAACCCAATTGACTACCAATTCGGCATTATTATATGTATACATAAATAAACAGTCGTTCAAGGTAAACAAATTTTGGAACTAATTACATTTTGTACACTTTGTAATTTACGTATTTATTTGACTTTCGTTCCCATACTTACCACATACCTGTATTTGAAAAGCATGCGGCTCACCCAAACATTTTAGTTGTCACCTAACGTTTATCTGCATGTTGTTAGCAAAACTAAATTCTTTAGTACTATTCTGTTCACGACCTTATGTTTAAGAATTTCTGATTTGCGAGCAGAAACCCACCCTTCGCACAAAACGATCTCAAACTATAATGTTCCCTCATACCTGCAGATTTGGTACCATTTCTAACAATATATTTGTGCATGGGAAAATTGAGTTTGTTGTCGCTTTTATCGGGCCTTTTCAACTTTAGTAAAGAGTAAATTACTTATTTTTTACCCTGTAATGCTAAAGAAAAGAACGCTATCAAATTCAAAAACAAGAGAAACCAGAGAATCCCTCACTTCTTATTGCTATCTTTGTATCTCGGATTATTTGCCTAGTAAGTCGTAAAAAGTACAGTCACGTCTTTGTTAGTAATTAAGCTAAGTGTTTTTACATATTTGACTATCTTGTTGGCAGAATTTACTTTTGCAGATATTAGGCATTAATTTTCAATTGTCACGATAGATGATAATCTTAGAAATGGGAAACTGTCTACAGCTCTTGCATTAGTTCGCAACAATCTCTTCTGAAGTGTAGTTGTTTTGAAAACTTTGTTATTTAAATTGAAGCTTAGAAGTGATTCCGGTTTGGATTGTTGATTATATAGCATAGTATTTCCATACAGAGATTTAAAAAACAAATATTTCAGATTCTGCTAATTCCATAAAGATATAGGTATAAACTTCGGTGGTACCGAGGATAATATTTTCGGTTGAAAACCCCTTTTTATTAATTTGTTATTTAAATTAAAAAATAATACTTCTTATTCATTTTAATTGCACGCAAAAAAATTAAAAAACTTTTTGAAAACTTGGCCTTGTAAAAAAAAAAAAATTCTTACCGCCTTTTATAAATGATAAACGATTTTAAAAATCTTTAACATTGTGATTCATTTCAAACATTTTTCTATCCTGTGGCGGAACTTGCACTGCGCGGATCCCGAAAATAAAAAAATTAAACATGAAAAATATAAAAACTTGAACTAAACACGAAAACTTGGTTTCACATTTAATTATCTTCAAATAAAACCGACTTTTTGTGTGCGATATTTTCTTGTTCTACAACTTCTACATATTGTACTTCTTCTCCACCCGTTGTGTACACCGTGTACCGATTTAGTTTCTGAACGTAAGTAATTAAAAACACCACCAACCACATCCACAAACACACATACACGACACATCAGTCAGTCACAATAGCGATCAGTGCAACCGTTATGCTCTTTTGTCCATCACGCCACGCTACGCCCACATTTGTTTATCAAAACCCTCCCAGCAAGCCATTGCATTTATCAAGTTTTAATTTCATGTTCTCTAGAAACTTGGCACATTATGTAGAACATCATTGGCAAGCTGAGAGGCCCATGTCAATCACAAGCATTCATCAATAGGATTCCATCACCACCACCAGCATACTTTTTACCCAATAAGCAGCTCCATTTGATCGGCAATACAAACCCGAATTGGCTCCAATATTTATATTCTTTTTAACCTCCATTTTGTAAATGTTGTGTACAGTTTAAAACGATCTTCTGTCTTAGATGTTATGCAAATACTTCCACACACACACAAAAAATACAAGCAACCAACACAGTAATACTCTACTATTCAGAACATAGCTTGCGCGCCCTCCCTACCCCATTAAAAACTTCAACAGCTGAATTGTTATTTCTTAGTCCTTCGTTTCGCTAATTTTGTTATCTCTGCACGCCTAACAGAATCAAGAAGTCTAGGCTAATAGTTCGATTCTTCTTTGAAGGACAACGAGAATGGCGCTTTGCGCAAGTTCTATGAAGTGATAATGGATAATGGCGGCGCCGTACTCGATGACATCAACAATTTGGCCGAGGTGACCATTCTGGCGCCCAGCAATGACGCCTGGAATGCATCGTCCATCAACAATATCGTTAGGTGAGTTGATGCTGTAAAAAGCGTCAGGATAAAAAAAATTACATTTCTATCCGAACTTTTTTTTGCAGAGATCGCAAGAAGATGAGTGAGATCCTGAACATGCACATCATCAAGGAACGTTTGAATGTCGAGAAAATTAGACAGAAGAACGCCAATATGGTGAGGTTCCTAACTTTTACTCAATCATTCAAGTTCTTATGGTCCTTCCACTTCTATCACAGATTGCTCAAGTCCCCACAGTCAACAATCGTACCTTCCTGTACTTCAACGTCAGAGGCGAAGGCTCTGATGCGGTCATTACCGTGGAAGGCGGCGGTGTCAATGCCACCGTGGTCCAGGCCGATGTAGCACAAACCAACGGATTCGTGCACATCATCGATAGAGTGCTCGGCGTTCCACACACAACGGTGCTGGGCAAGCTAGAAAGTGATCCCATGATGAGGTAACTACGACAGCAAATAATTGATCCCGATAAACATTCGGATTCGATTTAATGATTAAAAAAAAAATACAAAAAGTCAATTAACAGTGAGATTAAAGATGATTCCTTATAGTACTCGGATTATAAGTTATGTATTCCCCGAAGAGTTTCAGGAAAATTTCAATAATTTCTGGAACTAACGTAACCTATTTCTATCAGAGTCATCATCGTGCTGATCAATATTTAATTTAAATAAATTCTGGCGTTTACCAAGTCGTCAATTCATTAAACTCTTTCCCGAAGGGTGTATGACAGAAAGTCTTTATATAGGTATATAGATATTTAGGTAGCTTTGCCTTATCCCTATTTATGGGTTTCTTATTGTCTGCAATTGGTGCAGCTTATCATTTAACTGCCATAGAAGCTTAAGTTATTGATTGGCTGTTCCTTTCTACTTTATAGCGATACGTATAAAATGGGTCATTTTTCGAACTTCAACGATCAACTAAATAATACGCAGCGCCGTTATACGTTCTTTGTGCCACGCGACAAGGGCTGGCAGAAGACCGAACTGGACTATCCATCGGCGCATAAGAAGCTCTTCATGCGCGATTTCGCCTATCATGTAAGTAGCAAAGTGAATCTGAATGTCGTAGAAATCTTATGTACAACAAACAATTTACAATCAATTGCTTTCAGTCAAAGGCCATATTGGAACGTCATCTGGTAATTGCGGATCGTGTGTTCACCATCAAGGACCTAGCACAAATGTCGCTTGTCAGCGATACTGTGCTGCTGCCCACATTCCGCGATTCACTCAAAATTAAGGTGGAGGAGGAAGCTGGACGTAAGTAGAGCTTGATTGCCACAGACCTTGGCGAAATGCTTTCAATGTTTGCTTGAAACTATTGGTGCAATTTGTATGCGTTGGTTACTAACTAGTATATAACTATTTTCTTTAATTGAATTGAATTCTTGCTTTGTGTGTTCTAACAAACATTTGTATGATCAACCAAAATAAAAAGATCTACATGATGAGTATGCTAGTCACGAATGGACTGGTGAGTGCTGCCATTTCTCAACCCCTTGCACAACCACACACTATCAAAGAAACCGGCCATTTCAAAAATGTCATACCTCAATACACCCTGCTTACTCGTATAAAGAGCCGCCACATACATAGCTTCCACATCGATTTGAAAATGCTCTTGAAATATCCATATATATTATAACTTTCTGCTCTACTTGCAGGCTATGTGATCATATGGAACTACAAGAAGATCAATGTTTACCGACCTGATGTGGAATGCACCAATGGCATCATTCATGTCATCGACTATCCGCTGCTGGAGGAGAAAGACATTGTCGTGAGCGGAGGTAGCTATCTGACAGAATCAAGCATTTGCATCATGTTGGCAAACCTCATAATGATAACAGTAGCGAAGTTCTTAAACTAGAAACTTTAACTGCAACTTCAACTCCAAATCAAACTCAAACCCAAAGCCGAAACAGAAACAAAAACATAAACAAAAGCTAAAGCAGACGCAAAACGCATTCATTATGTAAAAAGAAACCGCAAACAGTCTTCAAGTCAATCAACAATTAACAACAACAACAGCAAATCAAACAGAAAACTACCAGAACAAATAGCAGAAACAACAACAACATGAACTCTAAAACGAGCTCAAACTCAAATCAAACTAATCGAATATATAATGCTGTACAATATTAACATACATACATACATACATACATACAGGTGTACATGTTGTTGATATGCGAGCATTCATACATACAAGCAGATATGATGATCCTTTTATATACATACATACATATACATATACTTATGTCACAAAGGAAGCAGAACTCAGTGCAACAACAATAATAACAAAACACATACACACCTATACATACACACCCATGCATCCGTACCCCATGATGTCCTCATCTCCGAATTGGCTTTCATATTGGCAGCTGTATGAACAATTTATCATTTAAGTATTAAAGTGTCGCGAGAGCCAGAGCCTGAACTCACTGAACTACTAACTGGCTGCTCGCACAACCCACGACTCCCCCCGCTAAGGCCTTATGTATTATATACTGGACATATATACATATGTATGTACATGCATATACTTGATGAAGACACCAGATATGTGCATGTCTATTATGATCTACTATTATGTACGAATTATTTATAGTTTTCATTTCGTCATTTTTGCTCGCTAAGTTCTTTGTCTTAAGTCTATTCCCATGGAGTTACATAAATGTTTAATTTTAGGTGTAAATTTCTCTCCATTGTTTTATTTAGTTTATGATGTATTTATGAGTTGTAAAGTGACGTTAACGAGACCCTAACTTTTAAGTAGAATGTCGAGAGAAGAGAGAAGAATTGGAAGCAATAAGCACGCATCACACATTCTCATAACCATTAACACACACACACACACACACACACACATACAGACATCACACATACATCTGAATTTGAAATCGTGTGAACATTTTATAATAAACTGAAAGTTTTTCATTTTAATTTGATGTACTATTTTAAAAATGTGAGATAAGAGTCAGCCGAACATCCCTGTCTTAAGAGTAGAGTGTAATGTATGCCTACAAATAAAATAATGAAATCAAATTGTAAACCAACAAGCAACTCTGCACTTAGTTGTTAGTCTGCTATGCATGTGCCCCTGCCACACCCATGCCCAACACCACACTCACACGCACGCACACACACGATAAAACGTGATTCAAACAAGTCGAGCAAAACTTTTGGAAACTGCCATTAAACTATTGCGACAATTCTTACACACCCCAGAAGAGAGTGGAATGTTGTGTAAATAAACTTTCTATGCACACACACACACACACACACACATACTCAAGAACTTGTGCATACGACTACAAACATACATACATACTGAATCGGATGTTCGAAAAGTTTTTATACAAGATTTTAAAATACTCGTATGTCAAAAACAAATCAACAGCAGTCGCATTTTTAAATTTTGTATGTTGTAGTTGTTATGTACCGTTGCAAAAGGCAACAACAATAGATATACATACATATACAGGAAGCGAAAGGTCGAGGAGAACTATATAGTTTGTAGTCTGTATATGCAACACACAAGTACACACACACACAACAAAACCAACAACAACTAAAACTAGAACTACAAATCTAAGCAAACTTAAGCGCTAACCTTACGAACTCTCTTTCTTTATCTTTCTATTTTTATCTCTCCCCATTACGCTGTATGTTTTAGGTTAGACATTGTAACTAGCGTGTGTGTGTCCTAACTACCAAGCAACGCGCTAAGTGTATAACTATCCAGTAATAATAATATCAATACGAATAATATCTTAAAGAAATTCAGAAACTATCAGCCTACAAGTACACACACTATCAGCAACAAAGAACAACTACAACAAACTCACAACCAACCTACCAACAAACCAACCAACCAACCAACTACCTACCAACCACCCACACCAAACGAACGTGTACAAAATTGTAGCTTTGTATGTTGCAGTTGGCTAAGCTGTCCTGGCGTCTAGAGCAGACCCAAAAGCAGAGCAATCCAGAGCAACCACCACCACCCACGCCCGTTCGTTCGCTCGCTCGCTCGCTCGACCCCCAATCCCCATTTATTCGAACACATTCGTTTTTCGCAATTCGTACATGTGTGTGAAATGGCAGCTTGTTGTGTTGACCAACACCTTTGTTCCATAAATACCCGTTCGTACCCTGTGTGAGAAAGTGCAGTGCTGCAGTAGCTAACTAAAGTAGAAGTAAAGAATACGCTAAATGAAAATGTACACGTAAGCTTTAAGGATTCGGTTTAGAAACAGGTGAACCGAGATCGGAAGGAGGCGAAGGATATAGGCCGACCGCCTTGTAATTGTATGTCGTAGTCAGTAGTTACACGTTAAACAGCCTGTGCCCGCCCAAAGGCTTAACGTGTAACTAGTGCCTTACTAAAGATAAACGTATTACCTTAACCTTTATACAAATTTAAATAACAATACAACTAAATGTTAAAGTAAACAAAAACAAACACAACAACACTAATCGTGTTGTGAGTGCAAATGGCAAACGATTGTCGTTGGAGTTAGTGTGTCAAGTCGAAGTGCTTCTGCCGCCTAGATGGATCCTCAGCATAACTAATCCTAACATAAATAATGCATTTGCATTTAAACATGCATACACATACATACATACTACATACATATATTGAAAGATGAGATTATATTTATATCGCGTAGCAATTGCAACAGCAGCCACAAAAAACACCAACAAAGAACAATAGTTTCTGCTTCAAAATATACACAAGAAATATTTATGATTATTATGAGCAACACGCTATTTACACCAAAATATACGAAGCAAACAAACAACACACACGGATACTAATTTTATCCAAACAACAAAAGATATGAAGAGGAAAAGCATATTTTTCATAAATTTAATTAAATATCGGAATAAAAAGTATATATATATGTATATGTAGTTAATTTAATGTAAAATTCCAAAGCAAATTAAGATACCTAAATGAAAATACAAACACACATGTATCTCAATCTCAGTATATTCTATATGTGTATTTAGCAATTGAGTTTTGAAACAAGCGTTACATGTAGAACAAAGCTTAAGCTATTATGATAAAGAACCGTGCAAAGCATTATATTCCATTTTATTTTGCGACAAACGCTTTTTCCTACAACAAACAGAAAACAAAACAATTGAATCCAAATTTTAATCACTAATTTTGTCTAGCATTAGTTATTGAATTTAATAAAAATTGTATTAGAAAACTAATGTCAGCAATAACAAGAAACTACCGCAAGCTTAAGCGAATAATAAAAATTCAATACAATAAAAACTACGTCGCTTTTTTTTTATATGGTTTAATCAAATCTTTCCATAAAGATTCCACTTCACACACACTTCCGTTTGGTGACAAACGAGTTTGTAAATAAAATAAAAGAAAACAAATTTACTGTCACCTAATCAAATTTATTGGATAAACTATGAGGCGTCGAGAAGCTTCCTTAAATTTAGTTTGTGAAAAACGGCGCAGTCTTGCTTCAAAGCTTGGCGCGAAATTAACTAAAGCAGCGCTGGCAGCCCTGTCTGAGCAGAAAAAACCTATCGCCTGCAAAATATCGATAACATACACTCACAGCCGCACTGACACATCTTTACACCTTTGGCGCAGTTGGCAGGCCGCCACTGATGAGCAGGGAAGTGCATATCGAAAGAAATAAACGGGGAATACAAAAAAGTGTGGAAGATGCAGGTGTAACTTCCAATCAGAGAAAACAATTAACTTTGAGGCAATAAAAAAAGTTGCAAGTATCAGACGCGTCGTCGTGCCTATCAACAACGGCACGTCGATTGCGCATTAAAATATTTCAGATTCCGGAACAGCAGGCAGCTGTGCTGTACTGTGAAAAATGAGCGCCATGAAAAAGCGCACCGCCCGTTGCAACTCGGACACGGTAAAACAAGAGGGCTCTGTCAGCAATGGTAACCCGGTTGACCCGGAGATCGACAATGACATAAGCCTGTTGCAGCGGCCGCTGCGTACAGCGCACACGGGCTTCGAGGAAGCATGGCGAGCCTACGACAACGGGACCAACGAGGTGAGTGCGTATTGGGGAGTACAAGTATGTGTGTGTGTGTGTGTGTGGGTGTGCTCTGCTTGGCGTACGTGACCACGAATTTCGTAATATGAGTGGTGCATGCTTTTGCATGTGTTTGTGTATTTACTTTCGGGATAATGTTTAAGCCGATCTCTTTTTTCAGGTGCGCCGACTACTCACACAAGAGTGCAGTCTTATCTACGAGTGTAATGTGTGTCGCAACATGTTTCGTAGTCTGGCCAATTTCATCAGCCACAAGCGTGTGTTCTGCTGTCTGAGTGCGCGCACCGTCAACCAGAATGGATACGCAGTGAGTGCACAGTAATAGCGTCTAATTTGCAAGGCTGTCCGCTTCAGACCTTAAAACTAATGTGCTTAACATTTGCAGGATCAGAACTCAAGCATGATCATACAGACCGGCAACGGTCCATCTAGCCAGGACATTGAGCATATGCTAAGGAGCCGCAGCACAGGCTGTTCCCCAGTGCCACGCGAAGCACGTCCAATCCGAGGTAGCATGCGCGATCTTAGCGGCGTCATTGAGCGCTTGCGTCGCGAAAAGGCGCCATCCACCGTGCCTTCGTCTCCCACTGTGCTCCAACTGGAGTCGGTGCCCACTTCCAGTCAGGCCGTGTATCAGACTGTGAAGCGCGAGCACGCGGACAGCATAAAAACAGAAATAAATGAGGTGCACGACATGCTCAACAATGATAGAACCATCGTGGGACCTGATGGCAAGGCGTTGACCTCAAATCAGTATGAGCGCCAGGGCGGCGGAAGCGACTCTGGCGAGACGGCGGAACAGTCCGTCAGTGATGAGACCGAAACGAACATTATATGTGAAATATGTAAGCCGCCCCCATCGAGACAGGATGTCCTACCAGGACCTTATTCGAAGAAATCAAAACATTTTTAAATATAGAAGATTGGCATTCATCGTGTCTTTCAAGAACATCATTCCAAATAATCGAAATATGTATGAATATAGAAGAATATAAGTTGTAGGCCCGTCTTCGCAATGAGTGGCTAGCTTTTATCGTGTCGATATTTTAACCTCAGCCCCTATTTGACTGTTTTTTTTTCGAATAGGCGAAGAATAAGTGATTGACTCACGTAAAGCTTTCGGAGAATTGGGGCCTCTAATTAAAATTAGGTCTGCAGTCATTGCATATTCTCAAATGTTGTCTGAAGCTAATTGTCTAATTGAGCAATTGATGTTATGAAACTATTAAATCTGAATAGTTTATCTTCAAGTTGGAAAGGTTCTGTGTAAAAAATGTCACTTGTTTTTGTATTATCGTCCCTAGATTTAATGAACTCGTTCTATCATACTAAGTAGGCGTATGTATTAACGGTCATAATTGTTATTTTTCGCAGGCAATTTGACGTTTCAGACGAACAAAACCCTGGAAGTGCATATACAGAAGCATCACTCATCATCGGCCTTTGTATTCCAGTGTCCTGCATGCTCGCTAACTTTCTTGCAGGCAGCTGCTGTGATACGCCATCTCTCTAAGGATCACAAGTAAGTCCCATCGTTCTGTAATCTGTAATAAGCTTTTACCCATTCCTTTGTATTCTTAGAAAACCCACTCGTCGCATTCGCATGATGCGCAACACTATTCTAAAGCGCCGCGTGCAACAGGGAAATGTGCAACCGAAAGGTCCAAGTCGTGAACTCAAACGATTAAAGCTGTCGGACGATGTCGTGGGCTACGAACCTGAAGCCGCTGACGTGGCAAGCGAGCAGCGAAAGATCATGTCTCTTTGCATTTATTGTGAGAAATCCTTCGAGCGTCGGGCCGCGCTGTCCACCCATCTGCTTAATTGCCGCGCAAAACAAAAGGCATTGGCCAAACCTGCACCATCGGTCAGGAAATTGAAAAGTAAACTAACTGATAGTACTGATGCTGTGGAAGATGATGCTGCTGCCCCAGCCGAGCCAAGCGACGCAAGCATTAAACATTCACTGGATCAGGCAGCTGATGATGTGGACGAAACCGACACCAATGCCTTGAATGAAATGTTTGCCGATTTGGCCGAACAGAACGACGCCTTTGCTGCTCGCTTGCAGACCGTTTCGCTGGACAAGCTTCAGCTACGCGAGAGCGACAGTGCCAGCGATGAGAGCTCCACCAGCGAGGACGAGCAGGAGCGGGAGTCGGGCAATCCCATCGGTTCCAATGAGTCCAAGACGAACGATCCCCAGGCACCAAAGATAAAGAAGAAACGCCAAGTGCCCATTGAGAAGCAACTGCGTTGCAGCTGCAAGATCTGCCACAAACAGTTCAACGCACTGGGAAACCTGCGTCGTCACATTTCCATGTTCCACTACCGTGCACGCCGCTTTGGATGTACCATGTGCGACTACCGGGCTTTCAGGCGATACGACATTGTCAATCATTTGGGCTTCACGCACAAAATCGAAGGCGATCGTGAGCAGCTTACTAAGCAGTATGTGTCCACACATGAGTGTAAGTACTCACGAGACGACGTCGATGGTGATATAGTGGTGCTCGGGAAGGAGGAGGATCCGGCACCGTCATCACCGCCCAATGAAGACAATGGCAGTGCGCCAGCAGAGAGAAGGGCACCCAAAACCTATGAGAAGCGTCTGAAACGGGTGAAAACAATTAGCGAGACGCCGATAGACCCAGAGCCTGAGCCGATGCTTGTTCCAGAAACAATCGACGAACTAGCCGTCGAGGTAAAGGAGGAACTTGTGGAGCACGCGCCACATAAGAAGCGCCGCAAATCACGCACTCAACTCTCCCCAGATTCGGGCGAACACCAGCCGCGAACCTTAGGCAGCGACAAGCGTCCAATACGAAAACGTGTCAAGGCCGTCAACAAGGATTTCGTCTACGATCTCGTTAGCTTCAAGGCAGATGCAGCCTCTTCGCAGCAAGCCCCGCCTCCTCCTGCACCCGATTCTATGCGCGCCAAACTGCGGCGCCAGAATGGCGCAGCGACGGCGGACGAGAATAAACCCAAGTTGTGGGAGGACTACATAACCGAGGCGAAACATGCGCTAATTCAGGGCAGCACACGTCGTGTAATGCTGGAGCTTGTGAGACAAGGACGTGCGGTGTCAGCCACGCTGCCTGAACTGCCCGCAGAGCGTCCGCAAATACGGCCTCGTCTCACCTCGCAGGCGCGCAGCGAGTGCGGTCAGCGGCAGCCTGTACTGGACATAATGAACTCCAGTTCGTCCGAGTCGTTTATTGAGAAGATCGCCAAGCGTACGGCTGCCGCTGGCAAGGATGCGGCTGCCATAAACAATCTGTGGAACAAGGTGAACACGGTAATTGCTCAGCAGAAGCTGGAGCCAGAACAGGCCACCACCACCGTACAGCTGGAGGACCAAAAGACACCCAATGGCAAGCACAACGCTGTCTCGCAACTGTCTCCGCCATCGCCACCGCGCACCTTTCAGGCTATAGAACCGCAAGCAACCACATCCCCCACACCAGCACAACCACTACCTGTAATTCCAAAAGCTATGCCCACAACCATGCCTGCATCAACCGTAGAGTGCCTAAGCAACAGCAACCCTGCCCATGTACACACCTCCTTATTTCCAGCGCTCCCCAAGCCGCCCTCGGTGCTAGCGGAAGCAACCAGCGGCACCATTCAATTAACTTTGGACAGCCTGTTGCGCGCTGCCCTGCAAAACTGAGCAGAAAAGCTCGAGAGATGCAGAGAGGGAGTGGAAGAGGGAGAGGAGAGAGAGAAAGAAGAGCAAACAAACAAACAGATTTCAGTGCATCTTTTCTTTTTTGTTTCATGTTAATTATATTTTGTTTTGTTCCGATTCTCATCTCTCCACCTACCACCTACGAGTATCTTAACATGTTTAGTTATTACGCAATTGTGTCCTTGTTGTAAAGCGTTACTTTAAGTTATGCACCTACACCCACAAACACATACATGCTTATATACATATTTAAAATATATATAGTATAGGCACTTAGGTTTTAGTTGAAAAACAAAACACGCAACCAAAACAAAGCATCAAAGTATAGAGCAAAAATGTTCGGCTATTAGCAAATATTAGTTGATTACTTAAAACCGGAAACGGGAAGTGAAGAAATTCAAACAGAAATGAACAGCAACTGTGCATTTTGAGTATGTACCTAAAAGGCCAGCGTCTAAGTTACACATAATGCAATTCATATAGTTTAGTATAAACATACATAGATAACATATGCATGTACGAGTATATATGTCTACATATATCTGCATGCACTAGTATTATTCATTATGCGAAGGCCACTGAATGCTTGCAAGCAAATATGTTTCCCTAAATCAGTAAGCTCGTTAATTGTCTCATTTGTAGTATATACAAAATATATTCTCTCCACACACACATGCACAACTTTCTTATTATTCCAATTGGAATTTTCCAGGCAAAATATATCATTACATCAATTTTCAGCTTATTGACGACATAAAGAACTTATTATGGGGCCTGTATCCGTATTCGACCAGTGGTTGAATTCTCCGGCATAAAAAGCGGCTAAGAGCACAAAATTCAGATACTAGCTTCAAGGCAGAATGTTTATAGCAGTACAACTAAATATTTTTAAAAAATTAAAGGTATTTTCAAATTTTGTTTCCCCATAAATCGATCGAATTCGGAAAGGAATGAGCAAATGGCGAAAGTTTGTAGTGAAAGAATATAGCTAGACCAGATATTATAGAAGAATATGATCAATAAAAAGCAGCTCGACGATTTGAAACATACCCATTGCACAATTTTAGCGAACAATATTTCGGCCTTACTGCATATTTTTCTTTTATGGGGTATACCCAAGTTTTCATATATCCACCACGCTATGGAACTCAAAACTATGTTAATACTTCCTAACCAACTATGTTATACTATGTTACAAATTAAAAGAAAGGATTACAATTTGAAACAAAGAGAAGCAAATGATTTTGAAGGAATATTCAGATAATGAGGATGCCAAAAAGGTGGGGAATCGGGCGGCAATTAGTCAAAGGTCGTTTTGTGCCCATATGGGCTTTGGAATCTATCTTCAATATGCCGCAAAATATTTAAAAATATAATTAAAATATTTCCATCAAATGCGAAAAATTAGCATTCTTAAACAAAAAACAAAAGAGCAACAATTTTGGATTTCAATAAAAGAGAATGCATTCCTTTTCTGCAATATAAAATTGAATTTGGTTTGACTGGGATTTTGAAAAATTATTCTGAAGATACAGTCAGAAATACAGGGTGCGCCATCTTTTATGTCGGTATGCAAATATTGAATATCCTTGAAAATAAACAACCGATTTTCAAGTATGAGATATTTTTATTTAATTTGGTTCTGTGCAATTTCTTGAACTGAGGTTTTCAACACTGGTCTACTCAAGTCAATCGGTTCACTAATGACAAAGTTATTCAATGTCTAGATGCCGACATAAAAGATAGCGCACCCTGTACACATTTGTACTCAAATACGAGTATCTCGAAATTCGAAACCAATAGGAAATCTAACCTGAATATTGCTTTCGTCTTTGGGACTTACTTTTCAAGTCAGACTTGTAAAATAACAACATTTTGAACGCTTTTAGGAACAAAAGTGAACTCGATTTTAAAATTGATTTATTTGTTCATTTTTCGAAACTATTTGCTTGTAGTGCTGCCAATGAGGACCGCACATACATACATACTATGTAGAAACTTAAGAATTGTAAACAACTAGAGCCTTAAATCAAATCACCAAATTATTGTTAATGGTACTAAACCACACACACAACCATAACGACGACAACAACAAGTGGCATTCACACATACGTGTATGCAGATACCTATAAACATTTGTACATTGCTGCAAAAATAAATGTGGAATTGAAAGTTTGCCCGCACCGCCGCCTGCTGGCCGAATTGTTTACCTTGACTAATGTTTGCGCTCAATTGATAAAATATAGAGCAGCCATATGGGCGTGTTCTCTGCCAGTGTACATGTGTGTGTGGCAGAGTGGCAGAGTGTGTATTACAAGTGATTCCACATCCTGCCGCTGTTGCTGCGGTGGCTGCTGGTGCTGGTGCCAACAATGGAAATTGTGTCACGGTCAGGAGTGTGGGTGGCAAATGGGCAAATGGGTAAATGGGCGGGTGCCGCCCGCCAGCCAGAAAACCGTGTCACCGCAGCGTTTACTTTAAAATCATGCTTGTGTGTGTGTGTGGGTGTGGGCGTGGGTGCGGGTGTGTATGTTTGTGTGTGTAATTGGAAACCGAAAGTGAATACGCCCAGGCCTTGAAAGAAGCTGCCGCTGAACTAGAAAAGTACGAAGAGTACGAGTACGAATCAGAGTCTTTGTATTTGTATTGCAGGCTCGGCAGCCCGAGACGAGGACGACACAATTTCTAAAAGAAATGAACTTAAAATTGATTTATTATTGCAGGGGTGCGGGGCAGGGACGCCTCCGACGACAACTACGACAACAGCATCAAATTAACGCCACTTATAAAGGCATTACGTTTCAATAGAGGCACGGCAGCGGCTCCTCTACCTCAAACCTCTTGCTATACAAGCAGCTTTTTGCATTTCCTTGTTGTTTTTGCCCTTCCTCTCGTATCATACCCTGCAGCCAATGGGTGTAAGGGCATGGCTAAAGGTCTAGACGCCAGGTGGAACGTGGTGTGCTGTCCCCATTTTATAGGTGCATACGCCGGTACGATCAGCATGTCTATACAAATCGATGCAAATTTGTCTGTCAGTATGAACGACAATAACTTTTAAGCCCTAAGAGCTAACGACACCAATCTCGACATAGGAAGTTAATTACACTCCGTAAATAGGCGCATTATTTCATATCTGCCATAGAATCGACCCCTCTAACTAAAGCTACAATCTCAACCCAATCCGGTATTTCTGAGTTATACGATACACGTACTTATCAAATATAGTAGTTGCCAAAGGAGCGTTTGTTGTAAAAGTCATTCTTGCTAAGCAACAATGTCATCTATTACAATATATTCAATCTCAGTTTCATGAGTTTTTGAGGTCTTATCAAAATCGGTGCACTATTTCATACGTATAGCGCCCGTAGCGACAATTGGTACAATATAATGGTTATGGAGAACCATTTGTACACAGTAGAGAGATATAGAGATTGTTTTAGATTATTAAGTGAAATAGAGCATTGAATCGGAACACAATTTTCGAAGTATTTGATAATTGGAAAACAATTATTTGTTAGTCATCAAAAAACAGTAGATGTAGGGAAAGAGTTAAGAAAGTTGGGATCCCAGCTTCAACTACGGAGTGCAAAAGGTATGCTTTGCTTCTGGACCGACTCAATATGTTGCTGATGCTTCCGATGCTGCATGAGTAGTATTCAAGCGCAGGGTGTAGTTGCAGCTAAAGGGTATGCAAGAGTCGGACTGGCGCGACTTTAACGTTCGTACTCGTCGCTTCTTTTTTGCTTTTTATGCAGAATAAACTGCTTAAGTGATTTCAGGTTGGTTTTACATACAAAAGTACCACAAATAACAAAGCTCCGATGGCTGAGTGTGTGAGTGTATGAGTGTGTGGGTGTGTGTGTGTGTGTGATTCTGTGTAATATGAGTCGGCAGAGTCGGTGTCGCTGTCTTTGCTGCTTGTTAGGCTGCCGTTGATCATCATGACGAAGCCGATGATGATGAAAAATATGATGAGGATGACGATGGCGGTGGCGATAGCGATGACGACGACGACGACGACGTGGACGATGGCAGGCAGTCTATGAAATGCCTTGCTGTTGTTGTTGCTGCTGCTCTTATTGTTGGGGCGGTCGTGGTGTGGGATAGGCGGGGGGGAGGCGCTTTGGGTCGCTTTATACATACAAAACAAATATTATGTGAATGTGTGTGCATTGAGGGATTCCGGTGGAAGGCAAGTGGTTGCAGGTGAGCGCTCGCTTATTGAGAGATCTGCCTGATTGAGGCCGTAATTGCTTGGTCTCCACCAAGGCTATACAGCGGAATAAGGCGAAGGTAGCAGGCAGAATGCTTTCTATATGTACTCGCATACACAAACACACATACATATATATGTTCATATGCACATGTATCTATTTTTTAATTGAGCAGCATAGTGAAGACGTATTGATAGGGGGATTGGAATTGTCCGTCGGTTGCAAACATTTAATAAGACTTAAATAAATGTATAAGCATATAGTACATGCACATATGTCAAAGCTGCTTGCAACAGTTTCTGGTTAAAAAGGTAAAAGTTTTCTATTCTCACTTAAACAAAAGTTGCCATAAACACATAATCGGAGTGACATTTGAATTATGCTTAATATTGAACAACTCTCATCATAAAGCAAGGGAAAGTGCTAGAGTTTCCGCGACAATGATGGATGGGCAAGTCACGGCAGGCTTGCCGTGTGGAATTTTCAGTGGAATTTCACATCGTATGTAGTCCTTATGCTCACAATTCAATTGATTGCTTAAGCGTTCTTTGCAATTTCAAGATAACTTTCATAAACTCTTTTAGTTTAGGAGAGATTTCTGAAAATCATTTTCTGAAATATAGTGTTTGCGTTCAGTTTTTGAGCGCCAAATTATTTTATATGGAAAAATTAATGAATAGCTTGTGACAACGAAATTTCTCCGACTATAATATTTTCTTCAATTGAAAGTGGTGTTGCGAAGGAAAGCCCAAGTGACGAAAATTCTGTTAAATAACATCTCAGGTTGAATCATTTTATCAAAACAGCTCAATGATGTGCTTTAAGTTGAAGCCTACAAGTATATCAAATTTAGCCTGGCAATGGGCTTTCAAATGTAAATGCAGTCCTATGTGTGCGTACTCCGCGCCCAGTGACCCACAAAAGTGAACTCGAAATGTACGCGACGGCTTTTATCAACTGGCTTCTAGTTCCCCCAGTGGGTGGGTGCCGACCATCACAATCAGAGTCACAAGTCGACACCAATGCCCACAGCCAGATACGATTCGTTGCTGCTACGTGACCGGCACACTGATGTGCGCGCGGAAAGCCTATAAGAGTCCAATTGAATGGATTGCAGTGCTCAGTGCCCACAAAGTCAACTGCTGGCCATGTCGTTCTGTTTGCAGTTATCGCTGCTCCTGTCCGTTCAGGGCATCCTGGGGCAGATTCTATATCCGCCACAGTACACTACAAATCGGATTGTGGGCGGAGAGGAAGCGGCTGAGGGACTGGCACCCTATCAGATATCCCTTCAAGGCATGAAGAGCGGGCACCATTCGTGCGGTGGTGCCATCATCGATAAGCGCTGGATTGTCACCGCGGCGCACTGTGTGATTGGCAAAGAAGCTTCCGCGTTCCGCGTGTTAACTGGCACGCAGAATCTGCAGCACAATGCCTCCAGATTGTACTATCCGGACAAAATTGTCATGCACTGCAACTACAAGCCGCGGATGTATCGCAATGACATAGCGCTGCTCCGTTTAAACGAGTCCATTGTATTCGACAACGCCACACAGCCAGTGGAGTTCGATCATGAACCGCTGGCGGCCGGCGAGAAGCTGCTGCTCACCGGCTGGGGAACCATGTCGCTGGGCGGCGACGTGCCTGTCCAGCTGCAGAGCCTCGAGGTGAAATATGTGCCCTTCGAGGAATGCCGTGCGGCCCACGACAACAGCAGCCGTGTGGACATCGGACATGTGTGCACGTTCAACGACAAGGGGAAGGGCGCCTGCCATGGGGACTCAGGGGGCCCGCTCGTGCACAACGGCAAGCTGGTGGCGCTCGTCAATTGGGGCCTGCCGTGCGCCCGAGGTTATCCGGATGCGCATGCCAGCATTGCGTACTATCACGACTTTATACGCACACATCTAAGTGGTTGCCAAAAAGATGGCGACGGCACTAAGACGGAATGCGAAGCTGAACAGGAATGAGCTAAATATGAACGGATAGTTAACATTATACAAGTATATTCTTTATATGAGGTACAGTATAAAGGATAGCTCTCACAATGTTCTTATTTATAATTTCAAATTTAAAAAATAGTCCAAGCCAATTTAGCTGAAATTTTGTTTATTTTGTGGTTCCCTTCCTATGGGACCAACTTGGGACTCAAGCTAAATTAAAAAGGAGTTTGTGGTAAAAACATTCACATAAATAAGCTTGAGGAGAAATTTAATTAGACTACCGAAGCCTTTTTTTTACTGAAGTCAAGAATCAAGAGTTTTTGGAAAATATGTATCTGCACTTCGAGAAACTATTGGGGTCAGCCTATTCGTCTTGTCTTATCTTCTCGACTTGATGATTTTAAAAAACAAAAGTGGGTTCCTGGGCAACTAACATATAAGTATAAAAATAATATGCACAAAGTATTACGCGTATGCTTATTTCATTTATCTTGTGTACAAGCATTCGGCAAATTGAATTCAGTAATATGCCACGCTTAAAAGGTCCTTTTTAAAGATTATGTAAGTTAATTAAATAATAATACCTGTTTAAGGATTTATAATTTGTACTCTGGGAATCTACATTTCCATATTTATGGAATATAGTTGAGCTAACGTTGCAGGTTTGTCAAGTTTCTTAGCAAGTGCCTCTCTCCTTAGTTAATTTAAATGGTATATAAATCAGAGATCATTTAAAATTGAAAGAGCCAATAGACGTAAGGATTCCAAGTGGTTGTAATTGCACAGTGTAATCATTTTAAAGGAAGTACTAAAGATTAAGATTAAAGTTCGGTGGAGCACTTTGAAGCAATATTGGTTGTTCAATAAGATAATCGTTTTTCTCCTCATTTAACTATAGTTTGATTTTACTTTTATATCTAAAAAGGATTCGTAAGTTGTGCTAATAAGACAATGAAACCATTACAGAAGAGTACGTCATATTAATATTAGTATTTGATCTTTAAATTATAATATATTATCATTCCATTATAAGAGCTTAATAAGCTCATATCCGGCCTGCATTAAATGATGTCCTTTCACTTCCTTTAGCTATAGTTTTCTACATAGACAATGAAATCATTATAGAAGTAGTACTGTGACTTAATATTATTGCTTGATTTAGCTATAGTTTTCTACATTCCGTATACTATATTATTCGAATACAATGAAATAGTTTTAGAAGAAGTATCATGAACTAAAACTAATATTTTATAGAAACTTTGAAAAAACTTGTTGGAAGATTTTAGTCCATTTTAGTGCACTATTGGTTCATTTTTGGACTCTTAATAACTGAATGGGATTCTTAATTAGACAATGAAATCATTATATTTGTAGAAGTAGTACCGTGACTTAATATTATTGCTTGATTTAGCTATAGCTCCCTACGTTCCGTTAATTATACGGATACAATGAAATAATTTTAGAAGAAGTATCATGAACTAAAACTAATATTTTATAGAAACTTTGAAAAAACTTGTTTGAAGATTTTAGTCCATTTTAGTGCACTATTGGTTCATTTTTGGACTCTTAATAACTGAATGGGATTCTTAATTAGACAATGAAATCATTATATTTGTAGAAGTAGTACCGTGAATTAATATTATTGCTTGATCTTTGTCTTAAGCCCATTATTGTTTTCAAGCCCTGGATTAGCTAATCGTATCCCGACTGTACCAAAGGATATCCTTTCGGTTCATTCCAATAGTTGTACAGCGCATTATTACTGATTATCAGTGTGTATATAAGACTTCGAGCAGATGCTGCTGCCGCTGCTGGCGCTGCCTGTGTCTCTGTCTCTGTCTCCGTCTCCGTCGCTGCTGCAGCCAGAGACGGCAGCGAGCCCCACTTGTGGTGTGTCCAAAACATGAACCGAAAGTGAAAGACAACAGCAACAACGACACATACACATACACAACAACAACAAGAACAGAGGGAAGTGTGTGGGCGTGTAACCTACTAACACACAGAGGCTCTCGCACACACACTCGCACGCACACAGGCCTGACACTGGCGGCACTCACGCACATCAAAAGAGCGCGTGTGAGAGCGCGTGAGAGCGCAATAACAAATAAAAGCTCCAGTGCCCCAATGGAGGAGGCTGTGAGTGAAAGCAGCATCTTCGTGTGCTGCCTTACTCCTGTGTGTGTGTGTGTGTGTGTGTGTCTGTGTATTGGTGTCTGTGTCTGTCATATGTTTGCGGGTCGTTTGCCGCCAGTGGAATTTCAACGCGCCGTGTTGTTGGCATAGGACGTTGAAGGACACCAGAAGCCAGACCTAAAGCTACAGACACACTCAGGGAAATTCACGAAATAGCATACAAATCTAAAATCCAAGCAAAGGCAGCCAATCCTGCCTTTTAAGAAAGCTTATTTTTAACATAAAAAAATATTTTCTGCATTTAATGTGTTTCCTTAAAATAATTTTTTATTACACAGCTATTATTTGTTGATGTTTATTTTCCCTATCTCTCATAGGATTGACTATTTCCTGTTTGACTGGAACCCATATATTTGATGCACATACATTGATTTCTTTTCAATATTTGCAATATGAATTGAGTTATGCCCCGGACATATATTTCTAAAAATCAAAACTAAATTAAACTCTAAACAATATACTTGTATATAACAATGTGTAAGTGCTTTTTATACCCTGTACCCGTAGGGTAGAAAGAGTATATTGGGTTTGTGCAAAGTACGTAACAGGCAGAAGGAAGCATCTCCGACCCCATGAAGTATATATATTCTGAATCAGCATGACGAGAGAATCGATTTCCATTCGTCTGTCTGTCTGTCCGTTTGTCTGGATGAACGCAAGGATCTCAGAAACTATAAAAGCTGGAATAACCAAAGTTGGCATCTAGATTCTCCTAGGTCCGAGAAAGGACGAGTTTATTTTATTTTTTGGAATTTCCGGGTATTTAACTGTCGGGCTTGCTAGACTGTAGAGTTCTCTCTTGTTTTTAAATATCAAGTGTTCATCTGCTATTCGCTACTCGATTTCCGTATTACCCTCGTTCGCAATAGTGTCGAGCTCAACCAGCTAATGAATAAAATCTTTACTCTAGTATGTATGAACATAACCTTTTGTTTCCCCCTGGCTAGTTTCTGGATGAAATGAACACATTTGTGGAAACTTTCGGCCTAACAACTTTAAAAGCTGATTTGAGTCAGTTGCCCTCAATTGGAATTAATTAATTTAAGCAAAAATGCAATTTCTCCAAAATAAAAAGCGCTTTTTCTTCATCATTTTTTTTAAGTGTATTGTCGGAGTCGTCGGATGTGTGTCGTTGCTGTTGTCCTAGTCCTCAACGAGAGCTTTCGGATTGGCTTTGGCTTCGGTTTCGGGCGACGCGCTCGGCATCGCAGTAGCCGCCGAGCAGCGTTCAGTGTCTCAGTTGAGTCTCGGCCGTTAAACCAAACTGAGGTGTGAAAACGCAACGCAGCCGTCGAGTGGACGCAGCAGCATCAGCAGCATCAGTAGCAGCAGTAACAGCAGTAACAGCAGCAGCAGACACAGCAGAAGCCAGTGCCAGTTAGCCGCAAAGCGGAATCAAATGGCCAACGGAAAAATTTAGACAGAGCAGAGAAAAATAGTGCTCAACTAGAGAAAAAAAGCAAGGAAATCAGTCAGTCTGTAAAACTAAACGCTGGGTGCATGTTGCGTGCGTTTGTGTTTGCTCGCGTCTCATTTCGCTTTCAACGCAGCCAGCGGCAAGTGCGAAGCATTCGGACACGGACTCGGACTCGAACTTGGAATCGCAGTCGGGCTCGGACTCTAGCTTCGTTTTCTATTCAAACTATATAATACAAGTGTGCAACTGTCACTGTCTGGCGACCCTCATCCCCTCTGTCCTACGCGACTAGACGCCCACACACAGCCTTTCTCGTCCAAGGAAGGAACGAAGGAAGCATTCATTCAGTGCGTGTTTATGTCCCGCCTGCCTGCGCCCGCCTTCCCGCTGGAGTTTGATTGCTTTGGATTTGGATTGTGTTTGTCGCTGAAGTGGAAGAATTTAAGCCAGCAAAAAGTGGCATCGACTCAAATCCCAGTGACTGTAGCGAACAGCGCCTGAAAGCAGGCAACAAAGGACGACGACGACGACGACGAAGACGAGGCAGGAAAAAACAATAGAGAATCTAATTAGCAGGGCGTATTTGTATTTGTTGTTTTTCCGCTGCTGGCCTTTTAACACAATAACAGTACAGACGACGACGACGACGACTCATCGTTATCAGCATCAGCATCATCACCGTGAGCAACAAAAACAGCAGCAACAACAACAACAACAACGACGACGAAGACGACAGCCCCATCGACAGTCACGCATCGTTTCTGTTTGTGTGCTTCAGTCATTTGCCATTTAAGAGCCATAAACGCCGAGATGTTGGCAACAACAACACAACTACAACAAGGAATTCATTGAGGTCTTTCGGGATATTTACAAACGACAACAACAACAACAACAACAAGCACAACAACAGCGAGCAACAACTCTGCAGAAAAAAGCGAACAAGTTTTTGCTCAACGAAAACGAAAGCGACGCTGACAACGCTGCTTTTGGTACTGGTACTGGTACTGGTTACTGGTATTGGTTACTGGTCGCTGATAACGGAACGCGCGCCTTTTTCTTTCTGCTTAGCAACATGCAACATTTGCTGCTCCTTCTGGTGTCGCGTCGCTGCTGACATCACCTCTGCGTCTCTCTTTCTCTCTCACTCTCACTCTGGCTGTCGCTCTTGCCACACGTCCACGCCTTTCTCTAAGCCGCTGTCTTTGCCGCAAATGAAAACGAAATATTAAACGCTAATGAACTGAACTCTCGTGCTATCGCGATATTAAATTGCAAGCGTCGTTTTAAGTTTGAAGAATTACAGTTAAATCAATTTCAAAACTAACTAACGAAGCTGCCAACTAACAACTGAGCCGAACGTGTAACCAACCAACGGCCAATAAAATGTTTTCCATGTGCTCCAAAGTGAAGCCAAGAAGCTCAACGTCCTCCATCCAGCTTCAGCAGCAGCAGCAACTACAACTACAACATCAGCTGCAGCAGCAACACCAAATGGGTAAGTTAAAAGGCGCCACAGCCCCAACAGCTGTGTATAGTGTATAGTGTATAGGTGTGTCTGTGTGCGACTGCCCCCATTTGACGAAACCCTTGAACTCGTTTTTGTGATTTCGCTGGTCTGCTGCCTGCCTGCCTGCCTATTTTTCTCAATGAATTCGCACACTGACACAAAGCGCGCGCTTCTCCGTGTACATACACGTACATACGTAAGTGTGAGTGATGTATGTGTGTTTGTGTTTGTGTGCCTCTGTGTCTGTGTGAGTGTGGAGGTCTCTATCTGGATGCATTGTTGTCCTGGTGTCCTGGTGGTGGTCTGTTGATTACGATGGGCGTGCAACAACAATATTCTACAGCAATCAAAGGCCTGCCACGCCCTCCGCCTACAGCTTTCATTAAATTATTAAGAGAAGAGTAGAAATCAGCCACAGCCACAGCCCCAACCCTAAATGACACACCCACTCACATACCCATGAGTACACATACACATACACAAACACACTCACACATACTATAAACGAGTACACAAGAACGCTGTCAGGAAAAGTGAATTAAAGCGACGACAGCCACGACAACGACAGCGCCAGCGCCAGCGCCAGTCAAGTGAATGCCTCGGCAGGTTGCAGCCACGTGCATAAATCATGCAACATGCACAGCACAGCACAGCCAGTCGCCTCGACCCTCCCCTCAGCCACCAAAGCAATGCTCCAACGATGGCCCAACAATTATGTCTCTACACGGCTGATGTTGCTACCTAGTCCTGTCGTCGTCGTCGTCGTCAACGTTGCTGTTGTTGTTGTCGTCTGCAGCCACTTGCAATTTAAACTAAGTTCGGTATGGGTCTGAGTGTGGGTGTGGGGATGGGGGTGCGTGTGTATGAGGGTTGGGCATGTACTTGTATGAGTGCACTGAAGTGGCACACATGCTGTCCGTTTGCCGCTCAACCTGCAGCAGCAACCTCTGTGGCATCCGCAGCAACAACATCGGCTGCAGCTGCAACATCGCAGTGTCCTTCAGCGACCTCGTTCTCAACGTTCACATCGGCGTCGGCGTCGACGTCTCTATCTCTGCCTCTGCCTCCTTCCCTGTCTCTGTCGACACTTTGTGCAGTCGAGCTGCTGTTGTTGCTGCCTGCCTTGAATGCAGGTTATCGACGCCGAAAAGCAGACAATTTCACGAGCGAATTACAGCTCGAGGCCTCGAACCTTTCTCAATTGCTGTGTAAGCTTATTACATGGAAAGCCATTCAATACATACTATACTACTAGGAGCATAGTATAGTATGTACATACTCGTATACAAATTGTCAAACACTCATTGTCAGCCTGCTGGGTATGCCAATTCGCAGTCCTCGGTTGACTTACTTGCGCCGATTATTCTGTGGAATTGTGGAATTCAACCGGCCTGCTGGCCACTGAAGGCCCATCGAGGCTCAAATGCTGAAATGCTGAACTGGTGATGACATATTTATTCTTCAAGTGCAGTCATAGGTTGCTGAAAATCCACTTTACGCTCTAGCGGTGGAATTGACGAGATTGCCATCAATCAATCGTCTGGCGAAAGATATTGCCTTCTATAGTGCTCTCAATGACAATGCGAAATCTGTTTGAAGAGCATCTGCCATTAAAGCCCCAAAGTCTGAAGTTATTATTTATCTCACCAGCAGACGAGCATGCTGGCTGGTAAGTATTTGCTTAAGCCAGTCATAAATCAAACAAATTCTTTGGCTATAAATTATACCCGTATATGTACTGAACTGAAAGTTAAGAAGTTATGCTTAAAAGTCCAGTAGATAGAGACGTGGCCAACCCCCCTTTTTATAGTTAATTAAATGCTGGCAAGATGAAAAGGTTTGACGACAATAAACTTATAAATAAGTTAGTTAAAAACAATACATATCCTCATTACTTTGAATAGCTGCCATAGGAACTATCGGTAATCAAAATTCTTAGTAGTATCTTGTAGTTGTGAGTTAAATCTGTTCTGCGCGAATTTTTCACAATAATCTGAAGTTTCATTGAAATAGGGGATTGCTCAAAAATAATTGATGGAAAAAAGGGCTAAAGTATAGGGAATTCTAGAATCAAGCTGACGCTACTTTAATGTATTACTCGTATTTTTTCATTTGATCAATACGAGGAGTTTGCCAATCTAAATATATCCATCAGTATTTTTATAGCCTGTACCCAAAGGGTGAAAGGCTATACTAGTTTTGTGCGCATGTATGTAACACACAGAAGGAGGCGTGGCAGACCCCACAAAGTATATATATTATTGATCAGGATGAGAAGCCGAGTCGATATAGCCTTGTCCGTCCGTCCGTCTGTCCGTCTGTCCGTCTGTCTGTCCGTATGAACGCAAGGATCTCAGAAAGTATAAGAGCTAGAATAACCAAACTTGGTTTCCATATTCTCCTAAGGCCGAGAAAGTACGAGTTTGAGTTTTTTTTCGATGCACCCCCCCACTCCCCCGCAATTCGTGTTTTTTCTTATAACTTCCGTAATTCTCGGAATTTTGAAATCAATTTTGGTAGGTACATCCAGTTAGTACTAATGTGTCCGTATGCCAAATTTCATCATGATAGGTCAATTCTGTAGAAAGTTATAGCCATAAGTAAAATCGCTGCTCATGCGCTGCCTCTGTCGGCAGCGCTGCCCGCAGCTGTTGTTGTTGTTGCTGCTTTGGTTCAACTTTGTGCTGCATACATACACGCATATAAACACGCATAGGTACGTGATGTAAATGTATGCTGTTAAAACTGAACATAAACATGTATTCTCATTTAATTTAATTAATTCATTCATTTTTTTAATAATTTAATTTTTTTTTTAAATTTTTTTTTTTTTTTTTTTAATTTTTCTTTTTTGTGGAGAGTACAGGCTATTTTACTGTCGGGCTTGCTCGACTGTAGCGTTCTATCTTGTTTTATTTCAGCTAGATGGGTGAAAGAGTTGGCTGAATGCTTGGAATGTATGTAGAGGAGAATCTGTGCTGCAATATTGTGTTCGGTTTTGTAGATTCGTGTGTATGGGTGAGATTAAAGATAGATAAGCATGAGAAAGAGTGGGTAAGCTTAAGGATAAGAAAAGGTTATATTATATTCTGACTTTTTAAGATGTGCACATTCTATAACTCATAAAGCTCTCAAAAGATAGATTGTAGATTGTATTTTTGTCATTAAAGCAATTGGTCTAAACCCAAGTTTGAAGGCAAGCGCTTATATAAGCAATGCGAGCGGGGGAGTGCATCAAAAAAACATTCGTCCTTTCTTGGTCTTTGGAGAATTTGGGTGCAGGATACAAAAAGGATGCATGGATGCAGTCTTAATATGAGTCGCACCTTTTGCTAATATATTTATCCATAAAAGCCAACAAGGAAGAACTATGTGCTTTCTGAAATGTTATAATTGCTAAGGACTCATCTGACTTTTCTAACTCTGTAAAATGTCAGTATCTACTTACAAGTATATATTCCAATTTGGAAAAAATGGCTTAAGAGTCGACAGATTGAAGCTTGACCCAGCACATGCGAAAAGCTTACCGCTGATATTTTTTCAGCCCCCTCCCAAACGCACTGGCATTGGAATAGAAATTGACGCCATTGCGGATGAATATGAGATGAGCTCGAGCTTAGGTGGGCAGTCGTTGGCGGTGGTTGACGGTTCGTGGGCTGCGTCCCTGACGCGTGAACTGTTGTTGCCAATTTGAGAGAAGCGGAAATTTGAATTGCATTTTTTTTTTGTGCTCCGCTTTGGTGCGTTTTTTGTTGGCTTCCTTTGAAACGCGGACACATTTGGAGCTTCGAATGGTGAGCGCAGAATCTCAGTAGCCAGTGGGTTGGGTCTGTGAGCCTTGAGGCGAGCGTTGGTCGCATTAAAGGCCAAACAATGGGCGATGCGGTGGGAGTTGCGTTTCCATTTAATTGTCACATATTAAGCTGCCTTACTTTCTCCCACTTTCACTTTCACTAACCCTGTTACACTAATTGCAGGCGCTGGCGGCAAACAAATTAAAGGAGGCTACCTACTGCGCTATAAAAGTAAGTATCCATCCAAGTAGGGAAGTGCTTTAAGGCACTGATGATGCGAACGGAAAAGAGACTGAAAATGCGACCCGCATTTGTAACTGACCGACCGACTGAGTGACTGCTTGACTGACAGCTGGATAGATGGATGGGACACAGGCGTAATGGATGAGCACGGTTTATGATGTACTGACTGCGACGATGACTACGACTACCCTTATCAGCAGCTCGACAACAACGACAGCAACGAAAGGAGCGACAACCGCAGCAGCAACAACAGCAGCAACAGCCAACACAGCTCAGCACATGTGACAATCTGCCAAATAGGCACAAGCAGGGCCCCAAACATGACGCAGCTGCAGGGCGGAAGTGGGCCACGTGGGTGGGCGAGGAGGCGTCAGCATTACATTTGCATGGAGCTGGGGCAGGGCGACTGAGAAATTATTCATTCATGCTTTCAAGTGTAATTACTCATGATCTGTGCATGCCCAAGGCTGTATGTGCATGGGGATTGATCGGAGGCGCTGCAGGCCTCGACCCCCCCTCTCCCACTATAATTGCAAGGACAATTATGGGCCAAAGCTTACATAATCGTCGCTTTCTTCCGCAGAGCAATTACTCTGGAATCGCTGGGCCGAGGAGTGGGTTGTGCTTTATGATGATTCTACCATGGCTTGGTTTACAGAGCCAGGTCGTTCCTCACCTGCGGGCAAGATTTTGGTGAAGGAGGCCCCCGAAATGCTGGCCATAGCGCACTGGACTGGACAGATACCGCGTCGCCCCCCACTGCCAGACGGCTGCAGTGTGTCCCAATTAATTGCGTTGGGGTCACGACGCAAACGCTCCAAGGTCTACTGGATGCTGGCCAAGTCTGAGCAGGAGGTTAGCGACTGGATCGACGCTATTACCAAAACGCTGCCACCACCACCACAAATAGAGCTTGTGGTGGACAAGCCGCATCTAATGAATGTGCTACGACGTCCATTGGTGCGCATACGACGTAAGTATTTACCCCTTTGTAAGGTTTTAGGAACAGTCGCTAATTTATGATATGATTGGACTTGAAGCTACGGGACCATTGATACAGGAAGATGAAGATTGTAACCAAAAAAGTTTCTCACAAACAGAACAAGTTAATGCAGCGCAATTCGTTATTGTGTATTATCTTAAAAGTCTATCAAAATTTCGTTAAAAAAAAGAGTGAAGAACAGGCCAATGGAAAACGGAAACAGCGGGCCTACTACAGTTGGCTAGTCGCATAAGAAACAGGCTCTAATGTCGTCGCCTTCCTAGCCGAGCAACCTGACAGTACTGCCCTCGGTTGGTAATCGTTTGCTACCAGGATTGATGATGATCTATCTTGCTCTATCTTGCTCTCTCCAAAAACTAGTTCAGAGCGAGCCTTAGCGAGAATATATTAAGTAGTATTTACGCTTCGGTTTGAAATACCTTGCAATGAGCAGACATACTTGGAACTTTATTTTTGCATGCCAGTTCCAGAAGTGAATTTAAAATGTGCCCAACATTCTATTAAAGGCTTAGTGTCGCATTCGAGTTTAATTGAGATCTGATTTATTCCTCTCTCCTTACAGCGGCCACTCATTCCGAGGTGAAGCAGCGAAAAGCGGCGTCGCACGGGAGCAGCAAGCATCATACCTCATCATCGGTGCTGGCCACCCAACGTGCGCTCTACAATCAAAATCCGCTGGTGAAGAGCGACGCGGCGGTGGCCATACTGAGCAAGAAGCCCGACTCGAAGGCATCGCTGGCGTGCGCGCTGCCCTGGGGCCACGGCTGGGGCTGGGCCACGTTGCCTAACGGCGTCTGGAGTGGCGGCCTGACTTGGTCGCAATGCGAGGACACCTTTACGCTGCACGCACTGCCTACAACACACTGCACCAACCTCATCGACACCTCGTGCAGCGGTGCCGTTTATCATACGGACATTGGCGGATTTGATTTTCATTCGACGGGCGTAGAGGATTTGGGCGGCGAGGATTTCGACTACGCCATGGACTGTGGAGATTTCATTTTCTAAAGGGCATCGTGCATCGCATTGTAGACCCCCGACTTTGTCGAATTCAAAGCTGCCCGCACCGGCAGCGGCAGTCTAACCCACCCGAAGTGTGCGATCGTCCCAAGCGTCGCACCGAAATAAAAACAAATCGAATTAGAGGAGCAGACCTTAGCCTAGTGTGTAGTATGCATGTATGTATGTATGTTCTATATATTTTGTGTACCTTGTCACTTTGCCGCCCCCTTCCCCCATTCTTGAGTTAGCCGTTGCAACTATCATATTCAAATGAAGAAGGAAGAGTCGATGAGAGTCCAAGTCCCATCCTTGTTGGCAAGTGTGGCAATTATAGACGCCCCGTTTGTAGTGTGGTTACCATTTAGTGTGTTCTCTGCATGTGTGTGTATTAGCCGTAAGTATGTGTTTGTGCTTGTAAGTGTGCCAATACTCTTTAGACTCTCGTACGAGAAGTACTCGACTAGAGCATTCTAATGCGTCGATGCCATGGCAATAAACGAATTCCGATTGCAAGTGTGTATATAAGTGTGTGTGTGTGTGGCATATGAGTGCCATATGGCATATGGAAAAAGCAACACTGCGGCACACACACGCATGCACGCGTCCAAGCATTGGCAGCGCAAAAAAGTAGGCAACAGAAAATGTTTGCATTCAAGAGAGAAAAATAAACCAAAGCCCCAATATCTACGCAATTTGTAGAACTAAATGAAATAGTACATATATGTATGTAAATGTACATGTATATGTATATGTAGAAACATAATGCCTATGAATATTTTTGTTACAATTTGTAAACGATTTTTTAAATTCATATTGTTTGTACAGAATTTTGAATTGTGTCCTCTTTTTGTGCGCAATTTTTTAAACATTTTTACATGTGGAAATCGCAGGCAGCGCGAGTTACTCGAGTAAGCATAGCAAAATAATAATAAAAACAAAACAACCAAATAAAACACACACAATAAATGTTATGTGTAATTAGAACATGCTGGTTATGTTCAAGCGTCAAATTTTTATAGTTCGTATATAGATATTTATATGTAATAATAGCAAGATGTGTGCCAATCCCATCCATGAATGTGTCGCGTACATTATAGCCTACAAATAACTTAGCCTAAAACAATGACTTATAAACTGCTGCACGTCTATAAATATACACATATACATATATAGTAAATATATAAATATATATATATATATACATAGAGAGCAACCAACAATGAATATAAATATACCTTTAAACACACACGCCCACCCGTACTGATGTAAAATTTATCAAAGAAACACATTAAGAGAAAGTAAATCAATTTTATGAAAGATTGTTGAACAAGTTGTCGAACAAATAAAAACAAAGTCACGCTTATAAATAGGAAAACCTTAGGGGTATTTAGAATATATATGTATACATAATTATAGGAAAAGTAAAACAAACTTATAAGTTTACAAAAAGCACTCATTAATGCCCGAAAACATACATATAGTATTTCCCCCCCCTGACTGGCAGCTTCGAGTTTGCACGGAACATTTTTAAAGTGTTTCTATTCTTCCTATCAATCTAAGTATTCGATATCTGATGACAGCCGTAATGGTCTAAGCAAAGCCTGATGATATCAATGTTTCAGAATTATAATACAAGCAAATTTTTAATGAGCAGCTCTTCAGTAATAAGTTGCCATTTTCAAATGAAAACTTTAGAAATCAAAATCGAATCCAAAAGCCGTGCAATCAGTGTATTTTGAAAGGAGGGCTTTGTTCAGACTTTTGAACTAGACCACTGTCCCCTACTTAAATTCAAATTAAGTGTTGAGCGAAAATATAGAAATATGGATTCTCGTGCAAATAGAACGCTAAATAGTCCTCCACTTAGTACTCAGTGCACAGAACACAGAACACTCGGAAGCAATTACGAGGTTCACACACCTCGCCTTTCCATCAATTTGTTGAACATTAAAACCAATTTTAAAACAATTGTGCACACGTGTCTCACGTGTGCCAAAAAACGCCGCTACGAGAACCTTACGAAAAATCGTATAGAATTAGTAATCTTAACAGTTAAGTGAAAATTAGAAGAAAGTTCGAGTAGAGCCAAAAGTTCAATGCTGTGCAGGTTTTCAAAAAGTGGCATAACAAGGACATACCACATACTTGAATGGAAACTATAGCAGCAGGCAGAAAGAAAAAATAATAAAGGAAATTAATAATTTAAAATTACGGGTAAACAGTGCATTCTTGCCTCTCACCAGTATCGTATGTCGATTGTATGCCGATCGCATTATAGCCTAAACACTTAGATGTATTCGATGATGTATACTAGTGGAGGTAAATGTCAAGCGAATATGGCATAGGAACTTATATACAAAGCTGCATATAAACCCAAATATATATACATATATATAGTATATATTTATGTAAGGCAATTTAGCAACAATATCGAGACCCACTCCTGAGCGCCTGAAGCCTTAGCCAAATGCTGTGCAGATTGCAAGCAACCCACACAAATCCTTCAAAGCATGTACTAACCAGAAGCACTTGCAAAACTAGGAGGGCCGACAGACAAACAGTTATGTATGTAGTGAATAATGAATGTTGTAAGAAAAAGAACTCACAGTAAATGTAACAGCAACAGTAACAAAAACAAAAAAAAACAAATGTAGACTAAAAGACTTAAGCAATTGTCGTAATGACGTTAAATTAGAGCGCATTGAATGTTGGCTTATAAAATGTTTAACTAACATATTAGAGACAGAAACAGATATGAAACAAACAAACAAACAAACTCAAAGCGAAATTTTAAGCAAAATGGCGAATGCGAAAATAAAAAGAATTACTTGTAAATTCAATAAAAATATAGAAAACAAAAATAAGCAAAAAGAACATAATTTCGTAGAACAAAGAACCTTCGACAATCACACATTAAAGTTTAACAAATTAATTCCATAAGTTTTAAGTGGTGTTCCGTTCGCATGTTCGCAGCTCAATAGTTGGCCAACGAAAGGAAAGCCAACCTGAAGTTTTGGTAGCAACTGTGACGCATTTGTGTTGGACATGACGTTCAAAAGATAAAAAGCGTTGTTGCCTCGCTCGAGTGTGTAAACAAATGCCCCCAAAATATACGAAAGCCGTGCCGTTGTAGAACACTTTACCATATACTAGCTATTAACTTATTGAACAGCCAATACAGCGGTTAACTAAGAAAGTCTCAAAAATTCTATAAAATCCAGTTCCATTTCGCTCGCCTGAACAACCAAGAAAATAATTATACAGAGAGTATGAGCGCAGGGATCATCAAATCAGTATTCTTTTGGGTAATTTGTTAAAGCTCCGCAACTCATTACTTACAATTCATAGAGTGCTTACAAACAATAGAACCTTTGGCACTTTTCGGTCTACAATTCCGACAAAAAAAGAATCCTCCAACTTTTTCGAAAATAAAAATGCTTTACTTTTGAGTTCTATCTCACAAATTCAACTCGTTAAATGTGTCCTTTAAATAAAAGAAATAGAACACCTGTTCTTCTTGTCCATTTATTCTGAAAACCACTTTTCGGTCTACAATTTCGACAAAAATAGAGTCCTCCAACTTTTTCGAAAATAAAAATGTTTTACTTTTGAGTTCTATCTCACAAATTCAACTCGTTAAATGTGTCCTTTAAATAAAAGAAATAGAACACCTGTTCTTCTTGTCCATTTATTCCGAAAACCACTTTTCGGTCTACAATTCCGACAAAAAATAGAGTCCTACAACTTTTTCGAAAATAAAAATTCTTTACTTTTGAGTTCTATCTCACAATTTCAACTCGTTAAATGTGTCCTTTAAATAAAAGAAATAGAACACCTGTTCTTCTTGTCCATTTATTCTGAAAACCACTTTTCGGTCTACAATTCCGACAAAAATAGAGTCCTCCAACTTTTTCGAAAATAAAAATGCTTTACTTTTGAGTTCTATCTCACAATTTCAACTCGTTAAATATATCCTTTAAATAAAAGAGACACCTCTTCTTCTTGTCCGTGTATTCTGAAAACCAACAGGATGGGTGGATGCGATTTAAAATACTCGTTTACCAGTGTTCGGTAGATATTAGCCATGACATTGAATAATTAGTTTTGCCCAAGTTTTTCCACTGTCTTTAAGTTAAGAGTTCAGTTTATAATAACTTGACCTTGGCCTTTTCAATAATGTAGACCAATAGGCCAAATATGGGAAGTATGTTGCCATCATTATCGTACGACTAAGGAGTCTTGGCTTAACACTGCCACTACACAAATAAAATGGATTGTTTATTGTTTTCAATATGCTGTTTAATTGACAGAAACAAATTCAAATCATGAATAGAGGGAACGTCAGCCATCACTAATGTTAAGTGCCATCCAAAACTTCATGCACATGAATAATTAATGTATGTACTATATGTATATTCTAGTTATTTGAAGAAACAGAAAGAGAGCTCCAATTAACGACGATGAGTCCCTCCCCTATCTTGAGTTAAACAAAATATTTTTTATAAAATGTATATGGAAAAGTAATTGGATGTAACAACAACAACAACTACTACTACTAAAGACAACAAACAAAACAATTCCAAAAACCAAGCAAAATGTTAACAAAACAAAAATTATACTTTAGATGCAATTTTTTGTAGCAACGCAAGTCGTAAACGTAATAAAATGCATTTCCGATCTTAGCTGAATAGCCGGAAAGTCGTACTTATGTGTATTCTAAACGAGCAACACTATTTTTTGCTGCATATGTGTTTAAGAGGCGAACTAAAACAAAACAAAAAACAAGTTTAACTGTGAATAGAACCTTAGGTAGCGCTAAAATCGAGAAAACGCAATTGATGTAAAATTAGAAAATTAAAACCGTAGAATTAACAAATGTCAAGCGAAATGCAAATAGAAAAATGTTATAAATGTGCAATCGTGTAATCGTGTTCAGCTGATCGGAAAGGTGGAGCAACCAACGCGGCTAAAGAGACATGGGCAGAATGTATCGGGCGCTTTAAAAAATAAATTTTAAAAATTGTTGCGTATACGACCCGTGGACCAGTCTCTAGGTTTGCTCTTCAAATTAGATGCGTAGGATTAGTCAGTTCGTCGTTGTTGATGTTGACGTTGATGTTGATGTTGATTTTGGTTGCCGTCTCACTGTTAAACGTACCCACTGTACTACTCGTATGTGTATGTATATGTAACGCCTTTGAATGTATTCGTATTCGTAACCGTACGTATTCGTTGTACTTGCAATATATAGATAGTATTGTATGTTGCCCAATCCCAGGGCGATAGCGCCAAGTGCTGCATTAGTCCATGTAAGTTGTGTGTAATGCGAAACGAAGCATACTATACAATACATACTTATATACAAACAATATATACCGACATACTTATAGTGAACACAAAGCGCTTATACAAGTAAACCGAAATATTGAAACACTGAACAACAACTGCAAGCAACGGAAGCAACAGAAATATGTAACAGAATGTAACGTTTGAGCCGACGAATTGCAAATTTTCGGATATACCGAATAGAAGAGACCTTTGGCACAATTTGGAGATAAATATAAATAGTTTGTGTACTATTGTAGTACTATTCAGATGCCAGAGATTTACCTTCACTCTGACACCCAATGAGATGAAAAGCCAACTTGTATCTTGATATTGGCGTCAATAATTTCAGATCATAAATCAATTACTTCGTTTGAATAATCAATCATGTTGAAAGATTATCTCAAATGGCAGTTATCAGAAAAGCTGTGACAAAGGTCTTCAAACAAAAACGGTTTGGCAAGAAATCAGCAAAGAACGCAAGTTTTATAAACGTGTCTATGAATTATGTATGTATGTATGTATGTAGCCTATTCAAAGATTTTGCACAAGGGTTAGGAACATTTTTAGAGCACATACATATTTGCAAAACAATTTGGCAAAGAGACAAACAACTAATGGAAAACATCCAAACTAATGAAAATCAAATAGTTAAGTTTCGCTCGAACTGTAAGTGTAAGGCGCGCTCTTTAGGTTTCAAAACCACAGCAAACAAATGAATAAAAATAACAATAAAAGCTATATGACAAAATAAAGAAACGCAAAGCGAAAACCAAAACAGAATATGATTAATTACGTTTTAAGCATTAATGCAGAAGAGGCGAGAAGCTCGAAGCCAACAAGCAACAACAAACAGCAACACCATCAAGCTAAAGCAATGCATAAAAAAGTGTCGAAACGCTGAAGTAAACTGCTAAAAATGTACTTATGATTTTATTTGGCTTCGGCTTCACTCCAAGCTGCCGTCATTAATCAAACACAGAGCAAACAAATTGGTCGTTGAGTCAGTCGACGGATCGCACATCGACGGCCAGAGGGAGGGAGCTAATAGAGACAGACAAAGAGAAGTAAACAACAAACACACCATTGTACTCGCATACACATGAATTATAATTGTAAAACAAAAACGAAAGTACGTGTAGTAGCAACAATTCAGCGATAAATATAGTACATGTTCTTGTGGAATGAAACACGCACATCTCTTTCAATACTCCATCCCATGCATGGGCCATGGTGCGAAGATGACAGAAGAAGGTGCGGCATCATTTGGTGTTCGTGCCTGTGACGTCACATGACGATTCGTGGCGTTGCCATAATGTTAACATTGTGCTTTTTGTGCGTATTGGCACCTGCTTAGTTCTAAAATGTCGCTGCTTTGTGTGGGAGAGTGAGAGTGTACGAGAGCAAAATAATTATTTTCGATCCTGAACCAAGAATGAATTTCAAAACTTTGCTATACGATATTGCTCGCCCCATTTTAGATGGTTGGACTATGTCTTATAAAGGTGTTGTTTGTTGGCTAGATGTCTTAGGTGTCGGATTAAACATTTCCTAATTTGTAACACTATATAATATCTATATTTCTGTGCGATGCTTTTCTCAGAGGTGTAGGTAATATGTTCAGACAGGCTGTGTTTATTTCCATATTTTTAGCCAGGGATTCTGTGCAGCGGACGACTTGCACGTAGAAGGTAGAAAAGTTCCAGTCTTAGATGGAAATACCTTCTCCCTTGCGTCTCTTGTTTCGATACTGCAACTCCTACTCTCGTGCAAGATCGATCCCTTCAGGGGCAATCGGCCGCATAGCAGCGCAGCAGCGTCGGCGCAGCTGCAACCGCAGCCGCAACCGCGAACTTCGCAACCCGTTCGTTCGTGGGCCGGTCCGAGTGCGAATGCGAATACGAGCTTGGCGCTTTGTGGTGATGTCTACCGCAATCTTGTCGCAGTCAGTCAACGCGCAAACTTCCAAGCAAACAGTCGAGCTACGACGACGTCTCAGTGACCAGCCGAACGACCGACAAAGCGAATTTTTGTTTTCCCTCGTTGCCCGTTGGTGGAGTGGGTGCCAGAGCACGCGGCGTATGCGTAATTTTTATCAACCGGTCACTCACATGTGTCCGCGTGCAACGAGACTGTCCTGCTCCTGCTCCTGCTGTGTTCCTGCTGTGTCCCAGTTTGGTTCAATTGTGGGCTAAGTGGCCGTTTGTGTGTCAATAAACTCGCGTGCCACTCTCGTGGACTGTACCCGTCCTTCTGCTGTTTCCCTCCGCCACAGACCGCCACATCCAATTGCCGTTGTTGGTTGGGCGCAAACATTCCACAACACACACACACGCAAACACACGCTCGCTCTCTCATCGCATAGCTGGTAAGTAACTTCGATTGCCGCACTGGCAGCTGCTCAGCGTCAACATCATCGGCGTCGCGCCGCGTTCAACTTGAAGTGGAAGTTATGCAAATCAGAGCCACAGCCACAGCCAGAGCCAGAGCTACGGCCACAGCTGTTCCATAGAATGAATAGCAAACGTCCAACAAACGCACCCATATACATACTTCACATACCTACATACATATGTATATACATACATACTTGTATGCATACTACTTGAATATGCAAAAGAAGGAGAGTTGAATTAGTCAGCGACAAAAGTGTGCCAAAAACCCAACATAAATAACTGAAATAAAGATAAGCAGGGAGTGTGCTGGCTGCTTTGCCGACTTTCGAATGCTCTGGAATTGTAGTGTATAGCAAATAACATTTTAGCTTAAGCAAGCCATTTCCAACAGACAGCTAGAGTTGATTTAAAATTACATTTTAGCTCTGTCCTCTATTATGAGAAACCTCTGAAAAACTCTTTCTTGAATATCAATCGGCAGTAAAATAACACTTCTTATAATATATATATATATATATATATATATATATATATATATATATATATATATATATATATATATATATATATATATATATATATATATATATATATATCTACTTGTATATATATTGAAACAGTACTGATACCATTAGTATTCATATTTTTTCAGCTCAAAATTCCGCAGTCCTGAGCTAAATCAGTTTGTTATCAAAACTTCTATATATAATACTTGTGCAATGAAACATGAAGAGAGAGACCTAAAATTTGATTAAAACCAAGCAGCTAAGATATTTTGAAGTGTGAAGTAATAAATATATACTCCTATATTCCCCTATATGAAAATGCGTTGCCATAAAGAAATACTTCCACTTAGAAGATCTTGTTGACTGCTTCACAATGCTCAAACAAAAAAATCCGTCAATTGAATAAAAAAATGTTATATCTTCGTTTAGTTACCATTTAAGGCAGTGGCCAAATAATGAAGAAAACAATACTCTATTGCTGAAACCACAAAGGCGACCAAAAGAAAAATTGCCTCTTGGTGGACATTCTTTAGCTGGCGATAAGCTTCCACCAGCAACAGTTTAAATAAGAATAAATGCTTAAATACATTAATTCTATTAAAAATCTGAAGCACCATTAATACTAGATCATTGTTTTGAAACTGTTTAAAATAGAGCTGGTTTAGTCATGAAGGTAATAAAGCGCCTTTATGGAAGCTTAAGCAGCAGAGAATAGCGGCTTACACAGTTTTCTATTCTAAAATTAATCCCCTTATTTGGTCGACTAAATACCTCCTTAACAAATGTAATGCTTATGGTATATAATCGTAAATTACCGATTTCCACTGACTTTAAGAGTGTTCTCCCGCATCCAAGCTGATTGGCAATCCCATTATATTTATGAATATCTGACAGTTCCCATCTATTTATGGCTATTTGAACACTATGCTTAGTTTCTCAATTTGTCATCGGCAGGCAAACTAAACTGTGCTAAATCGAGCTGGCTCTGATTTATTTAACAACAATTCATTGCTTCCAAAATCCATTTCGTTCATTGTTCGGTCGTTCTCAGTAATATATTTCAAAATTAGTTACAAAAGTTATTTCATTATTGTAGGTTCATAGTTCTTTTTTCGGCAGTAAACTTAGGCTGTGCAGTTTATTTTTCTTAAATTTCTTGAACGTTTTTTAGCGTTTGCATGAACAACAACACCAACACTATTCATCCACCATTTCCTTGGGCTGACGAACTATCACATCGACTATCTGGCGATCGGCTCACATTCAGTTTGGTAAGCGCATAAAAATTGAATTCAATTAGTTTGCTCATTGAACAGCCCATTTTTGGAGCGGCTGAATGCCGTTGACTGAGACAGAGACTGAGACAGAGACTGAGGCAGAGACTGTCGCCTGCCCACGGCCCATGGCTTGGCACTGGATACGACTCGCAATCGCTTCCAGCTGCCCCCACGCCGAATAGCAGCCAACTGTTCAGCTCAGTTCGCGCCTCCTGCCACATTTAAAGCTGCTCATAATTCGCTTGTTTCATAAATTATTTTCATTTTATTTATTGTTTTTTTGTTTTTTTTTATTAGTTTGGCACACAACCATCATCATCATCAGCAACCGGTGACAACGACTGTTGTGCATGAGTCAGAAGCAGCACCAGTAACAAGATTTCCAGTCTAAGCCAAGTCTACAGACGGCCAAGACGCGTCATCAGCGCTCACGCTCGCATTGACTGCCTTTCTGCTTAGCAGCCCACACACCTGAAGCTAAAGCTCTGCCGCAGCTTACTTTATTTGGCGATGGCGTCACAAGGTGTCGGCGAGAGCCAAAGCTCCAAGCTGGGACAGTTGCGGGTAAGTGGTTCGGGAAGTGCTTCCAAATAATTTCCCCTGCCGTCTGCCTTGCCATTAGTTGACCATTTTGGCCATTATCTCAAGATAGTCGCTAACGTTCACATCGTTACGCGTTCAATTTCCGTGACGTGCCAAAAATGGCAAAGGCTGAGTGGCAGAATCGCCGAGCCACCATAGTCGTCCGTTCGCGAAGTTGCCCGTTGGCCGGGTTTCCCACAGACAGTAAACGAACGAATGAACGAACAGTTAAATGTCAGCTAATTAATTTGTTTTTGGGCTCATATATGGAAAGGCCGCGGCCGCCCACGCAAACAAACAAAAGCGCTGGCAGCACGTAATGTGTTTATTGTTTTCAGTTAAAGGGAGGATGGGAGGAGGGTTCTTGAACACTTGACAAGTGTAGGCCGGACAACATATTGACGGTAATTGTAATTGCCAAAGTATCTGACATTTACTAGAGAACTACTACTAGAGTTTTGTTTGATAAATGCCTTCCGATGAGCTAAAGCTCATGAATGCTTAATCGCTACAGTTTATGCAGTTTGCTTGGAACAAGCAAGTATTTCGAGAACAACTTGTTTTTTGACAAAGTCGTTGAAACCAGAGCTTTTCAGCAGACTAACCAAATAGTAAGCCTCTTATTACCCTACCACACAAGTTATTATGGACAATTAGTATAGCCTTTTACCCTTTGGCTATAAGATAGATTCTCTCGCATTATTCATAATTTGGAATGGATACCACTGCTGGCAGAGATGTTATCAAAAGTTGATACAACATTAGCTAAATAAATAATTTGTTACTCCTATATTCAGAAACATTACTCGAGGCCCGAATGGGACTAGGGACTAATGTAGCAAGATCAGCAAAAAGGGAGAAGTTTTAATAAATACCCTCTACTTGATCTGATTTTTACAGATGGTTTGAATACAAGCACAGCTTTATTTAAGTACAAAGTAGTAGGGGTCATCAAACTTCTTAGACCATCATCTAATTGGAACCCGTACAACTTTAGACAAAATGCGTTGTTCCTTTTAGGGAACAACTGCTGATTAATCAGTCCGGGGCCAGGTAGTGGACGGTAATGCACTCAACACTCCCCCGCAATTTGTCTGTTTATGCACGGAGCTCAAGTGACAAACAGTACTCTGCTCTGGGTAGCCAGCCCCATGGTCTCACGCCCAATTCGCCCAACCCCACCCAGCCCGATATCCCTTGGCTCCGCTGCCACTCGCACGTGCAACAAATGCCGTGCGCACTCTTTTTGTTGTCTTGCACTTTGTTGTTGCTGGTTCCCCCCTGCGCCATGGCAACGTCATGTGCAACGGCGCCATTGATTTTAGTTATTGGCATGCACGACGACAAACAACAATAGCAACTAATCGAGCCCACACGCCTACCTTAGAGTTAGAACAACAGCCTCGCCTTTGTCTTTGAGGTCTTTGCTCGCACCAATTTATGAAGTGTCCACACATAGAAAAGATTTTCGATTTCTTGACAAGTGGTCCCAAGGTGGCCATGGCTGGCTCGAAGGCCACCAGCAGGACAGTTCACAATAGCAGCAGCGGAGACGAGGACAACGGCGGCAGGGAGTATGCCCGCAGCCCACTCCAACTACTTTGTTGCGACGACAGCGGCGAGCAGGGCGGGCACGCCCAGTGCGGCCAAAGTTAGCTTCGCGCAGGCGGGGAGAGTGGCACGGGGCTACATGTACTGGCGGCACGTAAGTTGCATAGATTTGTGGTATGATGTGGTCAGCTTACTGACTGACTGGCTAACTGACTGGCTGACTGACTGACCGACTCTTCGACTGGTCGGTTTTTCAGGTGGATAGATGGGTGGGTTAGTGGGTTGGTTCGACAGTTCGTTCTAGTCATCGTTTCGTGTGTTGGTGCGTGGGCGAGAACCCAACTGAGAAAAGGTGTGTGTTCGAAAAATATATCAATATGCCGCCTGCCTACCATATAGTATACGTATCGTTGGTATTTCAAAGTGCGAAAAGACAAAGAACAAATGATAGTTGGAAGACTAAGCCCCATGATCCTCTACATTTTTGTTAAAGACGTTTCATTTATTTTTAAAAGCATACTTTAAAAAATCAACTACAGTATATTTGAGATTTAAATTTTCTGGAATGCAGTATTAAACTTTAAGGAGAACATACTAGACCAAGATTTGCATACAAACTAATATAGGTGAGTACCACTAGCTGTCATAAATCTGCTGTCTGCTGAGAATTGCTAAAGGTTTTGTCAGCAACAATTCTTTGAACACACCCCTTTCATTCATTGTCGACTATCTGTGATTGGGGGGTGGGGCGTGTACACATCCACTTAATTACCACTCGCGGGTATTGGACATACTCGTACGTATACATGTTGTCTGCGCTTTGGGCCATCCCTGGGGCAATCGGTGCTCTGTGTCCGTTTAGTTGACACGCGCACTTTGGGGCTGTTGCACGAATATGTTGCAGCCGGACGACTTTATCGCCATGGGCGTCCATGACGAAGCGTATTACGACTACGAGTATGACCACGAGCACCATCGCATCATGCCACTCAAGCTAAACGAATCTTGGGCAGCGAGGCGACTGATGGAGGCACTTAGCCACCTGCCGCCCAATAATAATGGCAATGCCAACAGCAACTCGGCACCCGCGAACGGTGCCCAGCGTGGACAACGCCTTTCACCCATCTCCCCTCTCTCTACGCAGATGCGCTTCCAGCAAAAGACGCAACAGGAACAGGAACAACGACGTCGTGAACTGAACACATCATTGGCCAATGGCAACGACTCAATAATGTCGGTGGAGGTGCCGCCTGGCGCTAAACCTAATCGCCTTACTGGCAACGGCAAGGTGCGCCAAATGTTCGACGAACGACGCCGCGGTGTCGGCATTGACCGCAGCCATCCACTCAAGCCGATTGGGACAACGGGCACCACTTCGAACGCCACAGAAAGACCAGCACGGACGTTGGGCGGCGGTACAACCACCTCCCGCTTTGGAGGAGCGCGCGCTACCCAACAACTAACCAAGGGGATGTCCACAATGAGCCTCAAAGAGGGTCCGGTAACGGGTCGACGGATAACCAATGATAGCAACAACAACACCAACAACAGTAAATACAATGCGACTGGCACTGTAAATTCCAATCGCCTCAGGCCTGTGCTCCCCAAAAAAACCCCTCCAGGCACCGCCGGCTATGGAGCACGCTCCATTTCCACACCGCCCATTAGCGCCAAGCTCGCGCCGCGCTTGGCGGGAGGACAACAGCAGAAGCAGCCCATATCACAGCGGGTACCGGCACGTAATGTAAGTGTAAATTGTTCAGAGCTCACAAATTCCACCACAACCACTAAATTGTTACAATCTACATTCTATCTGTTATGATAGACGCCATGACAGGCCGAAGCGAATTGTCATGTCCGTCCGTCCGACTGTTCGTCCATATGAACACCAACTGCCCCTGAACCGAACCATTGGTTGGTTTCAAATCATGTATAGGCTCAGTATTTGGCATAGCTGCCACATGTAAATAATCCCATTTAGTTTTTGAAGATTTCTTTGGTATTGGTACGATTATATTATTGATTGATTATGATGCCTCAATATAATCTCGTTGCAATAATCGGTTAATAGAAAAGTTAGTATAACAAAGTTGAATTTAGTTGCCGTGAGGAACAAAACAGCGGGTTCATGGTATTCAAGGATGAAAACGTGGAATAAATTCACATTCACTTGAGAATTTAAAAACCCGCAGTCAGAAACCCTTCATACAATTCGCCTCTGTGTATATTTTCAAAAACGTATGCTTTTCCGTATTTGTCAAAAAAAAAATCGGTTAAAAAAGAAAGCCGTTTTGTTTCTACATTTCCAAGATTCTCATACAAATCAACCATGAACATAGCCCTTATACAAGATTACCCAACGGAATTCAGTGGATTTTCAACAGCTTCCTAGCCTCCACCCAAATCAACATATTCTATATCATACATACAATATCTGAGTAGCTGAGCTGTTCAATTCAAAGTATTATCTAATACATTTACCTTTTGATCTCCCCTTTAGGCCAACGTCAAATCTCCAGTTACCAAAAATACGATGGTAAGTTAAATCCACTGCAGTGTATTTCTCTCGCGCCCACTAATAATTCGTTTTTATCCTGCAGAGTCGCCAGACTGTCAATTCACCGGGTCCGACTCAAAGCAATACAGCCGGACCAGAAGGGACCAGCAAGTGTCGTTTCTGCGGCCGCAGCTTCCATTCAGAGCGCTTGCAGAAACATGAGGCAGTGTGCCAACGCACCATGTTCACCAAACGCAAGATTTTCGATGCGTCCAAGCAACGGGTGAAGGGCACTGAGTCTGAGAAGTATGTAAAGCGTCCAATGCATCGGGCTCAGTCACAATACAGCAGCGCCGCTCAGCAAATGAGTCTGAGCACGGGCGTGAAGAAGAACAATTGGCGAAAGAAACATGAGGAGTTTATCCAATCCATTCGCGCCGCCAAACAGGTGCAGGCGCATTTGGCCCGTGGTGGCAAACTCAGTGATTTGCCGCCACCGCCGCCTTCAGAGAACCCTGACTATATCCAGTGCCCGCACTGTGGCAGGCGCTTCAATCAGCAAGCAGCAGAGCGGCACATACCACGATGTGCCACCATGATACACAATAAGCCGCGTCGTGATGGACCGCCTCCGTTGAAGAAGCGCTAAGAAGTGTTCTGTTACCCAATGAGATTAAGTACGAGCCCGTGTTTTGTGAGCTCAATTATATTACATGTGATAAAGGAATTGATGAATGAAACGGCATTAACTTATGTTTCTTTTTTGTGCACTGTGGCTAGTCCGAGAGAATTTCGACATCGTTGTTCGGCTGCGAGGTCGCCCTCTCGCGTTGTATGATGGCTTTGACGCCCTCCGCAGCCTCGTTCATCTCGAGACCTTCCAGCATGTAGGCCCAGTTTTCAAGCGTGGCATCATCATCGTCTGATATCCAATTCGTTAGCATTTGCATGCAGGCCACTCCTGGCGTGGGATGATTCATTTGGAAAAAGAGCAGCTCATCGTTGGTGAAGCCGATCTTCTTGCCCACCTTCATCCAGGGCTCTCCAATAAGAGGAATAATTTCCTCAATGTGCGCGCGCGTCACCATCAATGGTTTCTCGTGTGTATTGTCGTCCTCGACGACTGGCTCTGTGTCCTCCACCTCGAGATCTTGGTCCGGCTCTGGCTCAGGTTCCACAGACTCCTGCTCAATTAATTCGCTGCCACTGCTTGTTGTCAGTCCATTACTGCTTTCCGTCGAGTTGATTGCAGCAGCTCCGCCACTGGCGTGCTTAAGGAGCTCCTTCTCGCGTATAAGGCGCTTGCGCACCACCTCCAGATAATCGGATATCTTGCACGACGGCTGCGAGACAAATGTGAAGAAGTGTGGTGTCTGGCGCGCCAGCAAACGCAGTGCGCGCCACTCAAAGGCGGGATCAATTTTCTCGTGAGGAGTTTCCAGATAGGTTTCTAGCTGTGGCAAAAAGTTGCGCTGTTCACTCTTGCACGCTTGTAGATTGTCTGGAGAATAGTTCCACAGACGCGTCAGATTTTCACTGTTAGGAGACTGGCATTGTAGACATTGGTAATGTACTGGAGAACGACGACCTTCTACTTACTTGCCCAGAAAGAATTTGCCGCTTCGGGAGGCCTCACGCAGGCAGTCGCCTAATGCACGCTTTGGTCGCTTTGCTGGTGGAGCCTTGGCCTCATCTTCGCTGGGTTCTGGCTCTTCTGGTTTTTTGAACTCCTTGCAGCCCTCATTTTTCCAGTTGTTCCACATCTCTTCGCGCATAAGCATGTGTTGTACGGTGCGGGAGAAGCGTTTCCCATTTGGCGGCGTCTCTTCGAGCAACTTGTACACACGTGGCTCCGTCTCCTTGATGAAGTCAGATTGAACGGGCGCGAGGGTATATGCGTCACTACAAAAACGTAATGTTTAATTGATTTAAGCCGCCTTTAATACTTATATGCCATTCTACTTACGTTTTGAACTTGACTGTCACCTGCAGGTACTGGAATAGTATTAAGAATTGCACCAAAACGGAACGCCGGAAATTTGAATCGGAAAGTTGAAGAGCCAATAGCTTGGGATTTGTGAGAAATTTGGCAAAGAAATGTGTCGCTTTGCGGACGGTTTGCGATGCAGCAGCATCGGTGGCTGCATCATCAACTTCCATGGCCTGCAAGTTTGCGTCGTCGCTACTTTCGTTGCTGCTGTGACGTACATCTTCCAACTTGAAACTAGAGAACGACTCTAATATGGTCTCTGCATGCTGTAAAGTCCAACATTATAATCACTGTTATCATTGAATAGCGTAGAGTTACTTGCCATATTGAACATCTTCCACTGTGCCTTGTTGTAGCATTGGTTGGGATTCCGAAAGAAATCCTGTAGGGACCAGAACTTACAATACAGATCATAGTCAATCTTAATCGGCAGATCCTCAGCTGTGTCCTCCAGCTCCTTGTTGTCTATATCATCGTGGTCTTTGCTGTCCAGGCCATACTCTGTTAAATTATCCAAATTGAACTCAGACACAATGTTCAAGCCCGAGCGTTCGGAGAACGGAAAGAACTTGGACAGAAATAGCAAAATACGGCCACAGAAAACGGTGTTCTGGGTGCGAGACAGGCGTCGCAGCAAATCGTTACACATGCGCAAAATATTGTTCTTGCACGAACCAAAGAATACCTCCTCCTTCCACACTTCAACCAACTGCTCCACAAACTGGAATATCTGCTCACACTTGCCCAAAGTAACCACATCGAACGTGTCTCCAAGGAGAACCACAGGAATGGTGTTGGACACAATTTCAGCACGCACTGCCTCCACTGAGAGTTTCACCAACGTGCCAATGCGCTCAACGTCATCGCTTAGACGATTCATCAGCACATTGCGAAACGCCTGGTCCATGGGCGAGCGTTTGTCGTGCTCGGAGTTGGCAGTGAAGCTCTTGTACTTGCTCACTAGCGGCTCCACGCTGTTCTGCTCAATTGCCTCCTCCATGGCTTTCTGTAAAATAAAAGCCATGTGAACAATTGCCGGCAAATGGCATTTGTTAGATCGCTCACCTCACAGGCCGCTTGCAGCCCAAAGAAAGAAGCGGTCTCCTCCATGACTGACGCGCGAATTAAGAGAATCCGTGCATACGTGTGTTGCAGCCTGCCAATTACTCCGATAACGTAGGGATGTGCGAGCACTACTTTCAATGTTATCGATATTATGTGGACGTCAATTTTTTTTTTGGTCTGGCAGGGCTGACTATCGTATTTTGTATCGAGCAGCGCCAAAAAAAGCTGCATTCAAATTTGTGTGCTATACGAATTTGTATTCTTTATTTTATTTTTATTAATAGCTCTTGGCACGTAATGTACTTGGGCACAGTTGGGCTGATATGCTAATATTGTGCAATATGTAATTATTATAAAATAAAAAGAAATAAATTATATTTTCACGCAGGGAACGTAAATTCAAAAGTCGTGGTTTTTGCCTGGAGGATATTTCAAATTTGTATTTTTATTAACTTTCTCAGAAAATCGCACATACATACTCATATTATTATTTTAATTTAGCTATAATTGCTACTTACAAATACTTTCTAAGCTTTAATTTTTGTTCAATTTTATTGCTTTTGTTCAATTGAATTCGTTAGCTTTGTTAGCAATTGTTCCTTGTTGAATTTGCTTCGTCATATTCATAGGCGTGTGTAAATTATTTAAACTACTAAAAGCCTAGTACTCGTCATGCTTCACTAAAATATGTGTGTGTATGTATGATGGAATTAACTTTAGTAGCAGCAGTTATAGATCTGTCTTGCCATGCACTAATTAAAGCTTATAATGGAAATAATTGTCTCATGTTTAAAGCGATTAGGCGCTTTTCGCAAAAGCATTCTAAATAAACTGTTAAAGTATTAAATACGTTAATCAAATTACTGAATTGACTTAAAAAGATTAATTCATATTTGTATGTATGCCTGTAAACAAACAATATCAGATTAAATATAGTATAGCAACTACGGTAGGAAGTTTTAATAACTGGTTTTAGCAGCGCCTTTGTTAGTACGGTTGTTAGTTGTTTGCAACATTTCACACTTTGTCCAACTTTAACACTTAATGTAAAACGCAGATACGCTACTTGCCTCAACAACAATCTGTGATTCAACAATATTCACACACAGTTTAAAGTATTCAGCTTACACTACTCCTGAAACATTTGCTAACAACTTAATCTCAATTTGCTTAATAAAAACGTTCAACTAGGAAGATATTTAAGATTAACTTTACGTTCGACTTTTGTAAGTTTTAATTGTTTTGCATCTTTAGTTTTGTATTCGACGAGGTACAAAGTTATATTTGAAAATTAGATTTTTGTTGTAAGCATAATGAGGTACATATGTATCAACATCATCGTCATCAGAGCATGACAATTTAAAATTATATATAAGTATATAATATTATATATGTATTAGTATAGTACTCGAGTATTTTGTATGGAAATCACGTATAGAAGTGCCGCCCCTTGGATGGCGGCCGCCACCATTTCTTGAAAACGCACCAAGAGATTTTTGTATGTTGTTCGTTTTGTTTCGTTTGAATATGTTTAATAACCTTAATACTTAATACCACAGTCGAAGAATGTACTATATATATTGTATGTAAATATATAGTATATATATACACATATCTATATATTGTTACTGTTACAGCATTCGCTCTATACACGGTATATATTGCAATAACTTTATTCGAATTTCCTTTCTACGTTCTCCTTGTCCATATTTATTTCTACATGGCTATGGCTATGGCTATGGTTATGGCCGTGCCTAGTCAGCTTGCGAATTGGCGCGGCTCTTCGCTTGCGTTTCGCGTGAGTGTCTGCCAACTCAGCATAGGTTATTGAAATTGTTAGTTAAAAGTAGCAGCAAGTAAACGGGTCATAGCTCCACATGGGTCAGAGTGTCCTCCGTGTTGTTACTATACGAGTTGCACGTCTGCATGGACATCCATTCGAAATCCCTAATGGTGGCCTGTAAAGAATACAAAGTATTTCATCAGAAAACGGGATACTAGTCGGATCAAATGGTCTTAGGACCCACCTTATGCATGGAGTAGACAGCCACCACCACCAGCACATGCATTATATTATGGGAATTCAGATAGAAATCAACTAGACCGGGAAACCATTTTTCGGGTATACGCATAGCTCCTATAGCGCCTCCCAAAATGGAAACGCCATCCTGTAAGTAGAGAAACAGAAGTATTGGACAATTAGGTAAACTCACTGAAAGGATAAACGATTTCTCTTGGAGCCAAAGCAGGCTAGCACTACGTAAGGGGTGCTGACCAGATACAAAGGTGTGACTTACAACTTGAACCTGTGCTCACAGACCGGCAGTCAACAGAAATCCGTTTATTAGATGAAAGAGTTAATCAATCTAAAACAAATGATATACGAACCTGCAAATAAACGTGAGACAGCGCCATATGACTACCGCCCACCAGGCCCTGGATACGCAGAAAGGTCAGCACAGAGCGCATGGAGAACGGCAAAGCGAAGCACAGACGGCGCTGCCAAGGCGAGCTTGCTGTCAGGGCCTGGAGAAGACAGAAAAATTAGGCTCTATTGTTTTCTAAATTATGCTTAGAATCATCTTCTTATACTCGTAAGTAGCACCACACAGCAGGTCCAAAACTATTTATACGTCGGCTCCTAATACTACATTCCCTTGCTATAAAACCCTTTCTGTTCTGTATTTATTTCTAAATCCATTGTTATATTTAATACCATTTGTTATATCTAAGTTTTTTTTTCATATTTCAAAGACCCATAATACGTTTTAGAGCCCGGCACAGTTCTCTCAAAGTTATTAATCAATTCCGTTAGAAATTGAAAATCAAAAGTCACATACAAGTATAATAATAATATAAACTTTTACCTAGAAATGATTTCATTATTGACAACTATGTATATTCCTAAATTACATTCCAAATACGTAGAAAACTGCTTCCTAAGCTCAGCTCAGAAATCCGAAAATATGTCTCTAAATACGTCCATAAAATATGTTCATCATTGCTAGGTATTCGAGTACATACAAGTACATACAATTGGAGTACAGACGAAGAGGACCATAAAGGTACAAACCTCTCTAGCTGTCATCTATCTGACTCTATTATTGTAAACAAATTCCAGATTATTTTAGGAAAATTCCTTCTCATTCACAATTATATGTAAGCTTACATTTTCGAAGTTATTCGTTCAATACTATTACAATAATTCTTTCGAGTATAGATTGATAGTTCGGTGATTATATATTATATATATTGAAGCTCTGCTTCCAATCCTTACCTTGTATAGGCCCCACAGCGAGAGCAGACAGTACGAGACAATGATGAACCACTTGAGCTTAGGCGTAAAGCATAGCGTCGTAGCCGTAACAAGTGGAAGAGCACCTGCCGGAAAGATGAGTAGAGATGATGAGTTTGAGAGAATCGTTGAAATTCTGCACCGTTCATGCCAATATAGAGCAAGTTTTCCTGTTTTAGGGGCCAATAAAATATATATTGGTAGCTAATTTTATGCGTTTTCTACGAGCTGGACGTAAACGGCAAAAAAATGGCAGTCGCCCGTCTTTCCCAAAAATGTTAGTTTACAAATAAGGCTCATGAGATACCGAAAAATAGCCGAACTACTCGTATTATTAGGCTTGTCAGCTAGAGCTTCGCATAAAATCGCACAAATCGTCTCGGCTCTCAGTTCAGTGCTTACGCAGCCACCAAGCATGCCTCACACGCGAGTCTGCGTCGCTCTTCTGTTCCTGGTCAGCGGGCTGCTGGCAGCTTGTTCCGTGCGGGCAGGCCTGCTCGATGAGCTGAACCTGCAGCATGTGCACGACATAATGCGCGAAGCGAAGTCGGCGGAAATGCTCAACTATATGAACAGAGAGGCGGCACCCTGCGACGACTACTTCGAGCACGCCTGCGGCAAGTGGGCGAAAATCAATCCGGCCAAGGAAGTGCTCTCTGATCGCTTTGACGCCTTGGAGCGTGGCTACCAGCGACGTGCTCGGCGTCTGCTGGAGCAGCCTAAGATGAGCACCGACAGCACTATGGAGTCGCGCGTCAAGTACTTCTACGAATCCTGCCTCAATAGCACCGCCTTACAACTGAACTATCGGGCGCATTTGGTGAGCGTGCTGGAAGAGTTCGGGGGGCTGCCCGCACTCAAGGGCAGTGAGTGGGACGAGTCCAAATTCGATTGGCAGGACGTCATGACACGAATTTTGCGCGACTATGGCGTGACCACACTGTTGGACGTAAGTGTGGGCGCCGATCTAAGCAATAATAAAGTGAGCCGATTGTACTTGGGGGAGCTGGAGGGATTGGTAAGCAGCGAGGCTCTTGCCTACTACGCCAATTACAAAGCAAGCATGGCCACGGAACTGTCGCAGATGCTGGGATTGAGCTCCTTGGCGGCTATGGAAACAGCCAGCGAGATTGTGGATCTCGAGTTTGAGCTGGCACGCGGAATTTCCGAGCCGTTGGCCGGTGTCAGCATGGAGGACAAGACGCGTCTTCGAATGCTGGACGAGATGAGTGAGTCCTACAAGCCGCAATTAAATTTTACGCGCCTTGTTAGCCTCTGGCTTGGCCTAGAATATCAGCTGCCAGTCTACGAGCATGTGGAGAGCTACCTATGGAATCTTCGCAAGCTGCTGCAGAAAACGCCCAACCGCGTCCTTGCCAATTACATGCTAATAACATTATTGCAGAAGTTTAAAATCGATGTGGAGCCGACGGCGGACCAGCAACGGCAGTTGTGCACAGAGAAAACAACCGAACACTTTCCCGACTATATGGATCGATTGGTCTACCGCTCCCTAGAGCTGGACAATCCCCGCATGCCGGCCAGCTTCAAACAGCTCTGGCTGCAATTGAAGACTGCCTTCAGCGAGCTACTGGAGTCGCCGAGCTCCGACTGGCTAAGTGAACAGACACGGACCGCTGCTGTAGCCAAACTTAAGGCCATGAACTTTCGCATAAGTGGCGCGGAGACGGAGGAGTATGAGCAGGAATATGCCTCCCTGATTATAAGCACCGACGACTACTTTGGCAATATACGGCGCATTCTGAAGCTGCGTGCCGAGCAACTAATAGCAAGTCTGGCCAAAGCACCTAGTCTGTCAATGTACCAGAGCAATAATCAGTCGCCCCTCTATGCCGATGAATTCAACTATGTACTGATTCCAGTCAGCTTTATGCAGCAGCGTTATCTCTGGGACGATGTGTATCCGACAGCATTGAAATTTGCCACCGTTGGCTCCATCATCGCACACGAGATGGGCCATGCCTTCGACGATACTTGCCGTAAAAAGGACAGCCAGGGCAACATCAAGAACTGGTGGGATCGCAATTCGACGGAAGCGTTCGAACGGCGCAAAACCTGTCTGATACAGCAATTCAGTGAGCTCAAGTTTCGAAATAAGAGCATGGCGCGCTCAAATGCACAGGGCGAGAATATTGCAGACAATGTGAGCATCCGGATTGCTTATGGCGCCTACACCCGTTGGCTGGAGACGGAGCCGGGACTAACAAACACCACGGAGAGCCTACCCCATATGACAGAAACGGCGGAGCAGTTGTTCTTCCTGGGAGTGGGACAGTTGTGGTGTGTTGATCATAAACGTGACCAGCATTCCATGGCGACCATCGGCGACGTTCATCCGCCCGAGCAGCTGCGACTCTACGCCATGTTGGCCAACTACGACGAGTTCGCCTATGTCTACCAGTGTCGCGAGGGCTCCAAAATGAACCCGCACGACAAGTGCGTTATGTACTAGTGTTCCTGGTCTGTCGGCAGGGCTGTAACGCGGCTTGGACTTAATTACACTAGTTTTTCAAATACTCGTATAATTCCGTTGTATTAAATAAATTCCGATTCACGTACCCAAGGTGACGTTGCATCTAATTATAGCCCCTTATCAGGAGGAACTCTCTCAGCACAAGCTTTGATTAGGCATTTTCTACACTTACCGAAACTCTGGCTCACCCAGATGCCAACCATGTCCAGCTTGAGCAGTCTATAATAGACATTCTCGCCCTTCTCGATGTTCATGAACAGATGATAGACGAAGCTGCCGCACCAGGGCGCAACGGAGCCGAAGACGTGGCAGAACGATAGAAATCTATAGCCTCGGTCCCACGGCATAAGTCCCGGCACTATGGCCAATATATAGACGATAGGTATAGCTGCAAGAGAGAAAGAGAGGGAGAGAAGAAAGCACAATAAGCTAATAGCAATACGTTCTTGAAGGGATGATACATGAAAGTGAACAGTTTGCTAACTTTAAATTAAAATCTTAAATTACATTTAATTGTTTTGAGCCTAGACGAAAGGGTGTTTGTTGTTCGACTACGACTCTGGCATTGCGATTGCTTTGTGTAAACAGCATTTTGAAGCACGATTCAAAAAAAGCTCTCATCGAATTTGGAACTGTGCCAAAGAAACATATTGCTTTTATTTTCAAGACGACACACACCACAACCAACAACCTTGACTAAATAACATTAAGTTGTCCATGAAATTAACGACTGCAGCAATAAAAGTATCAGGTACATGAAAAAAGCCCACAAAAAGCGATTCTCATATTCAAGACTCTGGCAATTCAATGTTTGGGACACATTTCGAATATTTCAACCCATTTGGAAAGTGAAAAATGAATTCAGCTTGTCAATCAAAGTCATAATATAATTAACCTAAATAATGATTGATGGCTTAATTAAAGTTAGTGTTAGAAGTGCAGGCTTTAAATTAAGAGGTAAAGCATAACTATTGGCTCGCTTGGAGCAAAAACTTTGGAAGGAGTGTGGCTTAAGGCATGGCTCAATGGGCTTCTTGGCACGATTTCTTTTATCAACATCTACTTAGTAGTTACTAAATGGAGGAATGCATTCACAGCTTCAGCAAGTGCTCTTAGAACTCCACGATTTCATTTGGATTGTTTTTAATTTCTGTAGCAATTGTGGCCTTGCTGGTTTCGCGCACCCCAGCTTCCTCTGCCTCTGTGAAGCGTATAAGAGAGTAATCTAGCGTACTCTCAGAACAAGATTAGAATTTAACCCACCCCATTGCTCCCAGCATTGTGTAGACAATTAAAGCTGATAACTAGACACATTCCATGGCTCAGTTTAGCTACGAGGTACGAGCTCGCGAGACGATGTCGACCTGGCGCTTCAATCTCCTCTGGCTGCTAATCGGTTTGGCGACGGCTATAACACGTTCCTCAGCCGACGGCAATGGCAGCACAATCATCCAAAATGACCTGACCACAGACATTGCCAAGCAAATAATGCGTCGAGCGAAGGCGGCCGAAATCCGTACTATGCTAGACACTCACACACTGCCCTGCGACGACTTCTATAGCTACGCATGTGGCAACTGGAAACGGCATAACCCGGCCGATATTCTGAGCAATAGCATGACGGACAACTTTCAGCTGATCTCCAAAGGCTTCGATCGACGACTGCAGCAAGTGCTGAGGCATGAGGCCAAGACGGGAGTGGAGACAAAGCTGCAGCGCTTTCATCAATCCTGTCAGCTGGTACATCGCGACGATGTTCACTACAAGTTGGCGCTGGAGAATGTTTACAAGGAGTTTGGCGAGCTGCCAGCTCTGGCGGGCGAGAACTGGAATAAATCAGACTTCAGCTGGTGGCGCACTGTGGCGCAGATTCAACACAAATACGGGAAGCAAATTATCTTTGCGGTAGACATTATGCGCGATTTCAAGACTGGCAGTGAAAACAGAATTTATTTGGGCACTCAGAAGTACGAAAATCTGAAGGAGGGCACCATAGCCAAGGACCTACAGCAGTTTTTTGGCGTAAGTAAGGAAGTGGCCAAAGCTACAGCCAAAGATATACTGGAGCTGGACGATAAACTGAAGGCGGGCAGCTCCAATACTCGCGATGCCGCTCTGCAAGACTTGCTGAGCCTGCAGAAGGTATCGCAACTACAAGAGCAATACGGCTCCAATATTAATTTGACGGAGTTTCTCAGCTTAGTGCTTGGGGGGTACGTACCCGAGCAAATCTACACGTACGACGGAATATATCTGGAGGCCACATTCAGAACGACCAGCTCGACTGCGCCCCACACGCTGGCCAATTACATTTTGTGGCGGCTCTTGCAGGAGTTCTTGGCCGACGTGGACTCCAAAGACATCGACAAATGGTGCATTGAGAAAACTAAAAACTACTTTGGCAAGTACGTGGATTATCTGGTCTACGCGCGCTACCGCAATGATGCCGTTGAGGCCGAGGTCTTCAGCATGTGGGAGGAGATACGCGCCACATTCCGACAGGAGCTAGCAGGCGACAAACTGGACTGGATAGCCAACGAGACTCGCACAACGGCCATTGAAAAGCTGGAGCGCATGGAACTGGCCATCAACTCCTATACGAATGTGAACTTTGAGGAGCTCTATGGCAATGTAACCATTGATGGGCTCAACTATGTAGCGAATGTTCAGCGCCTATTGGCGGCTCAAGCCGAGCGCAAGCTCCGTAGTTTGAACAATCAGCCGACCACACTGGAGCCAACCAAAGAACTAAGCTTCGCTGCGTCGTACAGCCTTTTGGAAAATAAGATACAAATACCAGTAGCGTTGCTACAACCGCATTACCTTTGGGGCCCCAACTATCCCGAGGCGCTCAAGTACGCCACCTTGGGCTCCCTCATTGCTCACGAAATGATCCACGGTTTCGACGATGATGGACAGAAACACGACGCGAGCGGCAACTTCTCCCCCTGGTGGGACCGCAAGTCGCGCTATGAGTTCGAGGCGCGTAGAAAGTGCTTCCAGGCTCAGTACCATAGCTACCAGTACGGCGAAACTAAGCTCCCGGACTCCAAATTGCAGTCGGAGAACATAGCGGATAATGCCAGCGTAAAGCTGGCCTACGCGGCCTATCAGCGTTGGTTACAGAAGCAGCCGCCCACGAATCCTATCATTGAGATACGGGAAACACTTCCTGGCCTAGAGATAAACAATCGGCAACTGTTCTTCGTGGGCTTCGCCCAGCTGTGGTGTGATGATGTGCAGACACAGTTTCGCTCGAAAGTGGCGCTGGATTCACACGCGCCGAGCAAGTTTCGCGTCGTTGGTTCGCTGTCCAATTTCCAAGAGTTTTCCTGGGTCTTCAACTGCCCCCAAGATGCGCCGATGGACCCCAAATACAAGTGCGCCATTTACTAAAATGCTACTGTACTAGGAACGAATCGAACTTTATTGCGCAGTTTTTCGACTCTACATTTTAAGAAATACGTGAAACACTTTGTGTAAAAATGTATATTTTGCGAATTAAATTCCTGCTTTGAATAAATTATTTATTTTATTATTCAGCTAATTTTTAGAACAACATAGCAGCTTTATGATACTTGTATACTTAAAAGGTCTCAAGAAGTATCAATAGGGAAGCCAATTTAGAATCTTCGGTAATCCGCTCTCAACTATTAGCTGAAGCATCTGTCTGTTAACTTGACCTGCAAAGCTTTTTAGGCGCCAGCTAATTGGTTTTCTGGCTTAGGAAAGATTGGCCCAAAATGTAATAAGTACTTGTTTTACTTTTCTTCTCTAAAATTCACCCATTCTAACACTCCAATTGGTATTCGATTTAGCCTAAAAAATATAGCCATAGATGTTAGTTCCTTTAAAAAAAAAAACAAATGTTCACAAAACTGTAGTTTCACGACTTTATTAAAGTCTCTCAAAATGTATAGAAACCAACAATTTAGTGCTACTTCGAGGTAATGCCATACAACTGACATTTCTGGCTGGGGTTCATCGTCGTCTCGGCGGCACAGCGATGATCCCTGGCGAATGCCTGAAAGTTCGAAAGCGGGCCAATGACGCGAAAAGCGTTTGGAGTGTGTATGTTCAGTAGTGAGACCTTCTCCTTGAAACGATCGTCGGCATCGGTGCACCAGAACTGAGCGAAGCTCAGGAAAAAGAGCTGCTGAGGAGTTTGCTGCAAGCGAGGCAGAGCCTCGGAGCCAATTGCTGATGAGGACAGATGTTTTAGGTAGTCGGAGTAGGCTTTATACGCTAGCTGAACGGCCGCATTGTCTGCAATGTTTTCCGCCTGCAGATCACTCTCGGCCAGATAATGACCATCCTGCCGAAAGCGTCCGTATTGCTGCTTAAAGCACTTCTTACGCTTCCCATACTCTGCCGTGGACTTCGCATCCCACCAGTCCGCCTGGCTGCCCGCCAGCTCATCAAAGCCATGCACCAGCTCGCGCGCTAGCAAATAGCCCAGAGTGCCGTATTTGAGAGCACGTGGATAGTAGCGGGACCAAAGAAAGTTCGGTTGCAGTAGCGCCACAGGTAATCGGACTGCATTCTCCGTTGCCAGATAAACGGGTGCCAATGAAGACCGTTTTGTGGGGGCCGGTAGTGAAGCCGGCTTCTCACTGAGACTCTTAAGGCGCTGTCGTGTCTCATGTTCCAGCACGGCTCGCAAATTTGTCAGGTAGTCGTGAGGGGCGATATGAAGCTGCGCGTACCGGTCTGTAAAGTTAACATCGGCATAGCCATTGATTTGCAGATGCGTTGCATTCAGCTTCTCCAGCGCCAATTCCCGAGTGGTTGCAGTTATCCAAACGGAGCTGGTGTTTTGCAAACTCTCCCGAAAACTGGCCTTGATATCTTTCCATAGGTCCTGGATATCCGTCAACGTGGCAGCATCACCCAAACGCAAATAGAGCATGTGGTCTAAGATCTCGGGGAACTGCTGCCCCACTATGCTGAGACACTGATCCACAGCGGGGGCGTCTAGGTCATAGTAGAGCTTTTGCAGCAGCTGTTGGAAAATGTAATTCGCCAGCACACGTGGCGGTGTGCTGCTAACCACACCCAAGAGATTCTTCTGGTAATCTGGCACATACTCATAGAGAGTGTCGTTGGGCACATGGCCCAGAGCCAGCTCGATGTACTGCGTCAGATTGAAGGTAGGCGCATAGGCAGCTGCCAGATCGGCAGCTGTGCGTGACTGGGTTAGACCGCTGAGTGGCTTGGTAGTTAAGGGATCCACCATACCTTTGGAGAGTGCAATTTCTAGGTTTAGTATTTCCCGTGCCGTGACAGTAGCAAGCTCTGCCTCCACGTGCAGATGTTGTACCAGCTCTTCGGATATGTGTCGTACATATTCCTGACGATAGAGTTCCGCCACTGCACTGCTGTACATGGATTTTGATTCCAAGCCGAGCTTCCAGGGCTGTCCAATGTATACTCGATTACGTGTATTGTTATGGAGATCGGGCGCCACATCCAAACGCAGCAGAATGTCGAACCCATACTTGTTTTTAATTCGCGCTACAGTCTCCAGCCAATTGAACTCACTGGCGGGCCACTCCTGGCCGGGCAGCAAAAACACCGGCATTCGTCCAAATTCACCGACAAGTGCCTGCAACTGTTGGCGATAGAGCGTCCTCGGCGTCTCCCGGAAATGGAGACACGAGGCGTAGAAGCGCTTCAACTTCAACACGGCAGCATCGTCGCTCTCCGGATCGGCGGCCTGTTCGAGCAGACGCAACCGCTTGTGGCGATAGGCGTTATCCAGCAGCTGGTAGTAGTTGGTCTCACGTGGCCGCACTGCTTCAGCCGGATTTATCTTGGCCCAATTTCCGCAACTGTACTCGTAGAAGTTTTCGCAGGCGTCTGTGTCTGGTTGCATGTAGTTGCGCATCTCGGCGGACTTGGCCAACCGCATCACACGCTGCACATAGACGCTATCATTGTGCTGTACTATGAGCTGTTCCTGCAGCTGAATCTGCAGTCCGGAAGCGGACAGCGCTTGGCTGGGGACACTCCTCAGCACGGCCGCAAGTGCGACGAGTAAGAACACTAGCGTACAGCTCATCGCGAACACATTGAGCGACTAAAGAGGTGCGGCGACGCATTTCGAAGCTCAGCTCAGCTGAGCTGAAGCTTTGGCTGCCTTATCATCCGACCGGTCGTTGGTCTGAGGAGCGTTCCTACGAGGGCATCGCGCCGACTGTGATGTGAACGTGACAATTGCGAAGTTTTTATAATCTCAGTGCCTTTTCATATTGTACATAAGTAATAATTGATAGGTGAAAATTTTCAATGAAACAAATTACAAATATTTTATCAATTTGAATAACTATTATGAAGTTTTGAATATCATTTAGGCCACAAGGGGGCATTACCAAACACTTTATAAGCAATAATCACAACAACCTCCATAGAATGGATATATACTTGTAAATAAATAAATTCTTTACATAACTAGGTATGTAAGTTTAGTTTTATAATAAACAAATAATGCATAAATAATATACGTATGCGTAAAACGACTCTCTAATTGTTGTTCGGTAAACATCTGCACTGTTCGCTCTCAAAAGGCAGCATTTGTATTCATATACGCCTCTGCCTTAGCCGCTCGAGTCCCATTACGTGAGAAGGTTTTTAAGAATTTTTATGTCATTCTGCAGCCTCTTCATTAGGTGTGTAGCCTATACTCGTAACTCATGGAACTATTAATTACTTGAAGCATTTCAACTGAGCTCTAGAGCTATTGTGCTCCAGTGGGCCATAAAATGTGCAAAATGACAAAACTTTTTGTTCATGTCAACCTGTATTCAGGCAAGGGGGAGAGGAAGCTTTCTATACTGCCGCTGGTAAGACACTCTATTCCGTAGATTTTATGAAACATCAGTTGAATGATAAACAATTTATATTAAAAGGATTGAAACTTGAGGATTCAAAAGTCCGGAGTTGACAATAACCCACCAATTTTTTAAAAACAATTTAAATGCACTCCTGCCTTTAACTCTCTCTATTTCAGGGTAAAAACTGATCAGATTAAAAAGAGTATATTTGGTTTGCGGGCAAAAATGGGACAGGCAGAGGAGGCGTGGCAGAACCAAAAATATATATTCTTCATCAGCAGATCAAGACGATTCAATTTAGCCCTGTCTGTCTGTCCGTCCATCCGAATAAGCCCCTAAATCCTAGATATAACATTTATGTGTGCAATTTCTCTAGTTTCCAACTCTACCGATTTAGTAATTTTCCATAGCTACCGTAGTTTTTGGATTTTTTTGAGTTACAATCCAGAATGAGGTATAGACGGTCAAACCATTGTTTTATTAAAATTTTGTGTGTTTCTTTTTTTATACCCTGTGCCCATAGGATAGAAAGAGTATATTAGGTTTTTGCAAAGTATGTAACATGCAGAAGGAAGCATCTGTGACCCCATAAAGTATTAATATTCTTGATCATCATGACGAGAGAAATCGATCTAGACATGTCCGTCCGCCCGTTTGTCCGTCTGGATGAACGCCTGGATTTCGGAAACGGATGAGCGCACATTAACCAAACTGGATACTTAGACGCTGGAGTTTATTTTATTTTTTTGATTTTCCCTCCCCACCTCCCGCTACAGAATTTTGCCAATACTTTCCACATTTTAAAACCTACAGAAACCAAACTTTGCACACGTAATTTAGTCACAAATTGTTTCGCATTTCATCCAAATCGGTCAGTTCTAAGAAAAGTTATTAGCGTAACAATTTCACTCAGGGTATTCACTGTCGGACTTGCTCGACTGTAGCGTTCTCTCTTGTTAATTTTTAGAAATATGTAAACTAAACTACACATAGGTACAGAGTATTTTAAAGTCGTGGCAAATTGTTTGGTGTCCGAAATGTGGAAAAATTGGCCCATTGGCTTCAAAAGCAATCCAAATCGCACTACAGTGCGGCTTATCAGCATAGCTCGTTACAATCCTGCAGCAATTGTGTATTTATTATTTACATATATGTATATATATATACTTTCTTAAATATTAAAAAAATGCATTTTTAAACTGGCTTTTAGAAAAGGTTAAAGAAAAATTACTACTATTTGGAAATATTGAAGATTTTTCTTGTAATCATGAAAAATATGTTGATAAGGTGACTTGTTTCGCATGCGTTTTCTTGGAACAATTATAAAAGATAACCCCGAGGTCAGCTCATTCAATGCTTCGCAGACTACTATAGACAGATGGAGGCACTCACGCACACACTGCAAGCAAGAACTAAGCTGTCGGAATCGGTCGCCTTTTAGCTGAGAGCGGTTTTAGTTCAGCGCCTCAAACGAGACGAGCAACAACGTTGAAACGGAAAAATGCTTATCCACAAGAGCCATACTGTGCTCTTCGCCGTGGCTCTGGTGCTGCCCTGCGTCTGGAGCACGCCGCCTCCCAGAGATATAAGTCTGTACGATAGCGATCAGAGCCCCAAGTTCATGTATGATTTAATGAGAGAAGCCAAGGTGGCTGAGATGGAGAGCTTCATGAACCCGAATGTGGACCCGTGTGATAACTTTTACGAATTCGCCTGTGGCAAGTGGGATAAAACAAATCGAGCTGAGGCCCCAGGTGACATAACGACCGGATTATTCGAGCATCTGAGCAAGGCGTTGAATCGCAAGTTGTTTGCATTCTTAAAAGGTAAACACAGTGATCTTGACACGCCAGAAGACAAGCAGGTGAAGAACTTTTACGAGTCTTGTACGCGACTGGGAGAACTGAAGAGCGGGTATAAGCGGAAGCTAATGAGCATTATCAATGAGTTCGGAACTATGCCAGTGCTGGAGGGTGATAAATGGAACAAGGATAACTTTGACTGGCTGAAGACGATCGGACAAATAGCACATACCTACAATATAGACATCATCATAGACGTGGATGTAGGCAAAGACTTTAAAGGCAACGAAACGAACGTTATCTATATTGGTGGTCAGGAGTTTCCTCTGGGGACCCGTCCCGTGTATGTAGACGAAAAATTAAAGACTTTTCGAGATCGTTATCGCGACAAGATCGCAAATACTATGAAGAATTATCTGGGTATTCGGTCCGAATTGGCCGACCAAACGGCTACGGAGCATATTAAGTTCGAGATCGATCTCGCCAGGGGTATGGATGACGATAAAAACGGCAGAGACATGGCTGATTTGGCCAAGCTCACTACTGTGGCTGATATGCAAAGACGCTATATGCCCATTATAGACGTGGAGGCGCTTGTGCGCTTGACCCTCAACAAGGCCATTGACGGTCCCATTTACGAGTATAATGCGCCATATCAAGAAAATGTAATGGCCGTCATGCGTCGCACACCACTGCGAATAGTGGCGAACTACATCTTCTTCTCACTTATCGACAGCTTCATACAGGAGACGGCCAGTACTCCAGCCTTGCAGGATGCGAATTGCATAGATAAAACGAAGCAGCATTTTGCAAAGAATCTGGACAATATGCTCTACCGCCGCTACAATACCAAAAGAAATAATGGCATAGGATCCGATACGGCAGCCGACATAGAGCTGATATGGGATCAGCTAAAATCTACGTTTACCAAGACTCTCAACTCGACCGAACTGGATTGGATTTCACCCGAAACACGAAGCTATGCCATAGAAAAACTGAAAGCCATGAAGCTCGAAATAAACTCGTATGCCAATGAGAATTTCACGGAGGAAATGGATGGCCTGAACCTGACCAACGACGACTTAGTAGAGAACCTCCGTCTAATCGGAATACACGCAGCTCGACAAACGCGCAACGATGTGGGTCAGAAGGCAAAGCCTCTAGAGGCGGGAGAGCTGCTCAGTTATACGCCCGCCAATATCCTCATCGAAAATGTTATCAAAGTGCCGGTAGCATTGCTCCAGCCCTTCTATCTGTGGGATGCCAGCTATCCCAATGCCCTCAAGTTCGGCACTCTGGCCACCCTGATTGGACACGAGCTGATTCATTGCTTTGACGATGCTGGTCGCAAATTCGACAAGAGCGGCTCATATCATGACTGGTGGGACGAGAAGTCCGCTGAGAATTTTCTAATCCGCCAAGAGTGTTTCAGTAATCAGTACAGCGAATACGTCTACAATAAAGCCCGATTGCCGAAGTCAATCTCGCAGTCGGAGAACGTAGCGGATAATGGCGGTGTGCGACTGGCCTTTAAAGCCTACCTAGAATGGTACTCAAAGCAAACAGATCCTGACAGGGAGAAGCTGCCCAAGTTTAATTACACCAGCAAGCAGCTCTTTTTTATCAGTTACGCCCAGGTATGGTGCAACGATGCTGTTCCCCAGGCGCGCGCACTACAAACCTCAACAGATCAACATGTACCTGGTATGTACCGCGTAATCGGGCCTCTCTCCAACTTTGAAGAGTTCGGAACTGTGTTCGACTGTGCCGTGGGCACACAAATGAATCGTGAGAATAAATGTAAAATGTACTAGAAAGCAATGAAATGGAATCCAAGTGTGATTTCACATAATGTTGATGATTACTCTAAACAAATTGCTTTCTCTGCAAAATAGCTTTAAAATATCACTAGTAGGGTATTAACGACCAGCGGCTGAACTGAATAACCAGTGAAAAAATGATCTGGGATGATGAATTGATGTGATTGAACTTCGCGTATAATTTGTTGTTTACTTGGAGATGCATATTTTGTTTAATGTTTTAACCATTTAACCTGTTTGTTTACCACATGCCGCAAATACCCAATACAAATACTCCGTTTGGCTGTAAACTATTTTTTAAATTAAATTTTTCGAAATCCAAAAAATGTGAAAATAAATTTTTCAAAACCGCACGCTATCGAAGTTAATTGATTTCTAATGGTCTCACAAATTGCAGAAATAATCAACGGAACGGAAATGTTGGTCGCACCCCCGGCCCAACGGCAATTTGAATAAAATTGGCGCCAACCCCGTCGCATGCATAAGAGTGACGGCCATAATCTATTTATGGGCCTGCACTTGGCTTTGACCGTGATTGTTATGCCTCCAACGACAACGACAACGACAAAGGCGACGATGACGATGACGATGAGGCTACGGGGCAACGAGTCTACGCCAAAGACGACAGTGACATTGGATCAATAAATGAGCAAGCACTGTAGACGACCCCCACCCGCATCCACATCCGCACCCACACCCCAACCCCCACACTCACCGTGCGTCAGAATGTTGATGGTCTCGTTGTGCCAATAGAAGAGACTGAGCAGGCAGCCCTTGAAGGTCTGCAGCGGACGGTATCCCCTGAGCACATAGGGATTGAACTGCAGATATTGAGGCATGTCCTGCCACTGCAGCAGCTGGGCTGGCGTCAGTCCGGCACTGGAGCCACTGGAAGCGTTGCTTGATGCAGTTGTGGGTGTGGCGGGAGCAGAGCTTGGCGTGCCGCCGGTGCTCGTGGTCGTTGTTGTCGATGTAAGCAAGGCAGATGTTGGCGTTGTGGAAGCGTTCGTGGAAGACGTTGACGTTGTCGGCGTTAACGGCGTTAACGGCGTGGCCACCTCCGGCTTGGGATGTTGCTGTTGTTGCAATGGTTGCGAGTGAAGCTGCTGCTGCTGCTGCGGCTCGAAGGCATATCCGTGTGACTGGGCCATGTATAGTCCGAAATACTCGGCCGATTCGCCCATCGCTGCCGCCGCCAAGCACAGGCTAGTCGCAGTCTTTACATCCTGGTCCATACTGGTGGCGGATTTCCGACCGATCAGACCGTTAAGCGGAGGGGGCGCATGTGCGTCGCCATTGGCGGTGGGCCCGCCTGTGTCCGCCTTGCGCAGTTCCGCCGGCGTAGGCGGAGGCGTTGCGGAAACAGCCTCAACTGTGCTGCCCATATACTCAAGGACCTCCTGCTCAGGACTGCCACAGTCCTGGGCAATGCTGCATGGAACGTAGCTAGTTGTCGGCTTCACTGCTTTACTGAGCAGCTTCGTTGTCTGTTTCGTTTTTGTGGCGCTCTCTGCATTGAAGTCGACGACAACGGCGGCAGCGGCGGCGGCAGCGGTGTCCATGCCTTGTGGATAAGCGCGGCGGGGCGTCAGCGTCGGGGCTTTGGTCTTAGTCTTCGTTTCGGGATCAAGTGGTGTCTGCTAAAATGGCGGCAACTGAAAGCGAAAGCGAATGCCAACGCTATGAATTATAAAATAGAGCGCAATGGAATAAAATGTCAGACGCATACACAAACACACACACACACACACACACACGCACACAGCCACACAAACAGAAGTCGCAGACATTGAGAAGTGCCGTTATTTGTTACGTATACGCTGGCACATCCTGTGCCAAAAAAGCACGTGCTTACGTATGTATGTACGTTGAACGATGCCAGGACAATGTCAACACTCCGACTCGTGACCCAAAAAATATTTGCAGCTGTATAAGTGAAAGCGCCTGTATTCTTCTATATCAGCATATCGGTATGTACACGCTCGCACATATACACACATACATCTATGTATGTATGTGTGTATATATCTCTGAATATGAGTGGGTGTTTGCGCGTGTGTGTGTGTGTGTGTGTGCAGGCCGCTTGACTCCAACAGTCAAATTGAATATTTTATGTGAAATCACGCGACTTTTTGGAACTCTACCCAACTAAGGTTTCCTTACTTAGGATAGTGCGACAGTAAAAATCGATAAGCAGTACTTTACTCACTTCTTCGGCCATTGGATGCGCACACGTTTTGCCGTATTTTTGACTATCAAAAATTAAGGCTACAAAATGGCTAAAGAAACAGCAACAACACCAACAGCTACGACAGCGCGGGGAATGCACAAGAATTTCTTACGTACGTTACGAGGACCTAAATTTATATGCCAAAGCAGCAGCGCAGGGAATCGAACTGGGGGTGAACACGTTTGGCTATTTGTAAACTTCTGCTATAAACTTGGGTTTAGTTTGCGGCTGCTTTTATAATAGTGATGTCGGCGACGCATTCTGCTTTAAACCAAAGCCACCAAAATCATATTATTGCTCAGGCATTGCTTGATTTGTTCGTTAATATTTTATAGCCAAGTTTACCAACACGCGCGTTTGTCCGCAGCACACGACCGTTAACGCAAGCACGTCAATATCTGACTGAATCGTGCGTTTACTACGCTGCCACGATACCGTTATTTGACGTATTGTTATGCAATTGAAACAAATAGCCAGTATTTTCAGCGAAAGAGGCAACAGAGAAGGCAGAGCGCACGCGCATTCCAAATCGTGCGACCCAGCTGCTTAGAGTGGCACAGCCACAGGATCCAGTGCTCAGAAAGGATAGTTCATTTGAATATGCCGCTGAATTTGTAACGGTTGATTGACCAAAACCGCAATCGCTTATCAACATTGACGAAACACAGAGTTGCCAGGACAAAGTAAGGGATTTTTGAATGCCGACGAACATAGATGAACGACATACAGACGAGTAGGTAATTAAAATATTTATTTAAAATATTTAAAACAGCCTTATAAGCTAGAAAGTGGAAAAAATTTGTCTGTATAAGCAAAAATCTTACAAATAAAATTAACAAACAATAGACAACCTTTTCAGAGAAATGTAATTAATTAAATATTAACGAATAAAATAAAAACAAAAAAGGGAATCAAATTTCCCACCGAGTTGGGGGAAGATTTTTTAGCCAGTCCGGTAGTTGACAATTTAAATAATTCCTTATAAATTAATAATAAAAACAAAAAGATTTTATAAATAAATAATTACAATTCATACTCCTTCATACTCCTTTTACAGCATTGAATATTGTAAATAAATTGGATATATATTTAAATGAATTTACAAATAAGAAGTTTGGGGTCTTTCAAAACTCTGTACCAAAACAATATTTATAATAACTATCCATCTGTGTGTGTGCAGTACTTTTCAATGCAATATTACATACAATTTAAATTATTCGGCTCACGCGCCTTTTCACAAAATGTCCTTTAAGGTCAAAAGCATTCGATTGCTGGGAAATTTAGGAATTTGTTAATGGCGCAATCGATAATGTCCCACCTCTGAAGCAGTCAGTCAGCTGCAGACGCGCTTGGCTTGGTGTATTTAGTTTGTTATATTCGACGAAGTGTATCTAATAGCGTTATGTGGATTCTGTTTCAGCAAATTATGCAAAATGCATAGCTCTTAGCGTATGCTTTAGTTCAAATAACATTAAATTAATGGTTGAGACGGAGCACTGAAAATCATAAGTACATAAACGCGCCAAAATTAGAGAGCAAAAGTAACTGCAACAAGTGCAGTTTTTTATCAATAATACGTGGATTTGGTGAATTAAAAACTTGGAAAGAACTAATGTGCGCCAGCACACTTGAACCGGCAACATTTTCTTGGCAACAAAAGCTAACTCAATTAGTTGGCGTCCTCTGGAATCGCTTGTATTTACCTTTTCTGTCACTGCCCTCGCTAACGCAATCAAGTACAGCAAATAGAACAACACAAAGGGATAAGCGGAGCGTTGGTTGGAAAGGAGAAGAGGAAGAAGAGGTAAGTCGGAACTTCAAAAATTGAATCTTTTATACGAAGAATAGCATTGTGCTTGCTTGCCTCTACCTGCGGGGTAAAAGGCGGTCGCTATCAGAGCCATATCCAAGCCGATATACGATACATAACATTTTTAAATTGTTTTTTTTTTCGATATCAATAATGGTTTGCATATGTGTCTGTATAAAGCACAACAACAATTTGTTTATAATATATTCGTCTTTCATATGCATTTGTAGCTTTTAAACTACTGGCAGAGGATCAAAGTATTAATAGTGATGGATGCTCATTTTATTTTAAATCCAACGAGTACTGTAAAAAATATCGACAACTTTTTGTAAAATACCAATATTTGTTGAAATTGTTGGAAAATATATATAGAGAATATATTGTCAATGATTTGCCTTATTAAATACATTGACGAAAGAAATACAGTAGTAAATATGAAACATTTCACCTAACAATCGCTTAAACTAATCCGCGCAGCTGTGTTCAATTTGCAAAAGGTGGCATCATCCGCAACTGTGTAATGTAGAGATGGCAACTCTGCAGCCGTGGTGAATTTTAACCAAGTGACGTGAATGATAGCAAAACACGACTTTTACAATAAAATCCTATTTTATCAAGTATTCTGTGGCTCGGGCTACTCTGTTAGTGTAACTAAACAGTGCTTAGACCTACCATTTTCTGGGAGTATAGCAAGAAAAAGTCAAATAATCAAAGAACTCTGCACAATAAGGTGCGTAAAATAGATCAGACCAGACGCTTGCAAGCCCAACAACAACAAAGACCACACAAAAATCAATTTTCGCGGTGCCTTTTATTTTGTGTGTATTTGATTGACCACTAAAACTCGTTTCACGTGCTCACTTAAGAAATAGCAGCAGCTGGAAAGCAAGAGTTTAAGGTATTCCCATCATGCTCGTATCGTTAATATTGTATTGGGTCTTATGGTCTGTTTTCCCACACTTATACACACGAACACACTCACAAACACATACACGCACCATATGCCTGTACTTGCACTCACCTCTTGTGAATGCAACAACACTTCTGCCTCTGATGTGACGTAGCTAGACAGTGAGCGCAAGGGCGGCATAACACTTATTGTCTTGCTATGCATACAATTTTTATAAATTATTAATATAACTATATGTGAACTTTTAGATGCCACGAACACGTCGGCGCCATCACTCAAGAGATCGCTCCTCGGCCGGAACAAGAGACAAGCGCAGACGTCTCGATACTGGCGATCTTTCACCGCCCTTAGCTGAAGCACCATCGCCGTAAGTTGCACATTGCTATCCCGGGCGCATATTACGAAGATGTGCATGTGTCAGCCCTGTACTATATTTATGGTTTTTCTTAATTATATAAATAGGCCGCGCATAACCAAGACACACCATACCAGATCGGCAGCTAAGCGAAGGCGACATGAAAACGATGCAAACAGTTCACATATTTCCAAGGAACCAACGTAAGTTTTCCCTACCCTTAAAACTTAAAACGAACATTTAATTCAGCGTTCAGTCGGCATTTAACTTTAACTTAATGGATTCTATACAATGCTATGCGAACTATGTATATAGTACATATGTATAGGCATACATATTCGTCATTGCACGTCTTCCGCTCACACACAGTCCATTAAAAATGTTTCTTATTTAAACAACTACATATACCTTATGTTCAGCATTTTGAATCGTCTTGAAATGCTAGTAATGCTGTTTACAGATTTATGCATAAGCTCAGAATTGATCCCCTATTTCTACTTCGCGCATTTCCAAATCTCAATAAAAATTCACTTTTTCTACTTGTTCGTTTGAAAGAGATGGTTTTACGAAAGCTAAATTTATAATCCCTTCCCCAAATTGGAAAAAACAGTGATTTATCATTCAAAATTAGTTTTCTTTTATTTAAAATATCATCCTTGACGTTAAATACAGTTTTTATAAGTACTTTTGCCCCTCAAAATATGTGTTTACAGGCGTAACTTATTTAAATCTTATTTCAAAAATCATTGGCAAGTCAGGGCTGTAAGGCGGATAGTCCATGAATTCGATGTTTTGACTGCTCAAAAACTTTCTAGTGTAGGCCGATATTTGTGTGTGGTCAAGGATGGCCTGAACATGTCCAACTTTTGTTATATTTTGATTGCTTTTGAACACTTTAACAGTGGATTGGTCTTTTGTTTCGAATTTATATGCATTGAGTCATTATTTAACACCTTTTACGTTGCCATAGA